CGACAAAATGAAGGAAATGGCCGCTGTAGGCATGCACGCTGATCTCAAGCTACATCTTCAAGTTGATGACCAAAACAGAGGACTTTGCAAGACATGATGGAGCTATGGATGGAACATGTACCGTCATCTATGGTACGTGAGCCTTGGAAAGACTGGAACTATAAATTTATCTTGAACAGGCAGATTAGCATATATTCTCCGTACGATGCTATTTCTCATACCAGACATATCCTGATTGAATATTCAAAGGCCATCACGAATACCTAAATCACCATGGCCAACCCGAAGTGCGCTTGATGTGCATTCGGTGGCCGGGAAGCGTGGACCCCTCAAAAAGTCTCCCTTCCTGACTGGCACTGCAGTTGCTATGTTTTGGATTCCATTCCTAATGCTAGATCGTCTTAAACATGTTTATGTTGATGGTCTCATAAATGGGGTGGACATCAGGAGATTTACTGATGATTTCAGCGCCCAGGCCAAAGCTCAAACTACCGTGGTGAGTGCTACATCGTGGCCTAATTGAGAACACTTACTATTTGTCTGACAGGCAAGTGTCATTATGGCGGTCAATGCCAGCATCCTTGCAGTCCCAGGTCTAGGTACACAACTGGCTATGAAGGCATTGTGTTCCATCTCCTTCATTCTCTGTGTCTACAGCATCATCGGGTGTGCAATTGCACAACAATTGGTTCAAAGCTTGAGATACCTTGACTTTTCAGTGCGATCATCTTCTTTTTTTTTGTTTGCAGCCTGGTCTGACAATATCGATTGGATAGGCATATTACTTACAAGAGGAGATGGGCACTTTTGTGATCCTTGTGAGTATACTGATGTTCACATTCCTGATGAGGTGAAATAAGGTATTCATCGCAATGAGTCATTACTGACAGGCGCACTAGAGTTTGGCATTTGCCATCATTGGAGTTCTAGCAGGGATCTTCACTGTTGAATTTGGCCTTCCCTTGTCCGAAAGGATAGGATGCGGGCTGATCCTTGTTGTTGGGGGAGGGCTCATGATTCCATTGACAATGGCCAGCTTTGGGCCTGGACTGATTCAATGATGGGGTTCAATACCCTTGTGCTCTATATAAACACTACTATGTAGTCCAATATTGGTCCAATATACATGAATGCCTCAGCTTCCATGTGACACTGTTTGAGCTTGTGTGTGAACTTGAAGTTGTTGCCGCATGGAACGTGAGTACACACCGGATATGACTCAACTGTCTGCCAAAAGCTACAGTTCCTTACTGATGTGACCAGTGAATCTCATCAAGATTCAGTTGGACATACACGACACAGAATGATTGATTTACTATCCGCAGTAGTATGGCAGGTATATATCTTCGTCCCACTTCGCCTCCCCTTTCATCCCTAGATGTCACGGTTGGTAGCTTCTTAGAGTATCATCATTCGTTTGGCTGATTTAAGTTGAGCAGGACCCTCCAGCTCGCACTGTCCTTGGAATGTTGCTCATGGAGAGATCCAACATTTGAGCCACTGGTAGGCTTGCTATAACTATGTCACCCTGAGTCACTATCTCGTTGTTCATGTATGGGAATCCAATATGTGAGTGGCCTCATTTCCATTGCAAGTGATCACTGACCAGACTGCAGTTGCCATCAAATATGTATTGTTGATTGTCAAGTGCCTCTGTGTCATATCCCGCGTTCCAGACCCAGACTTATCACATATCATTTCCGGATCCGGCTGACGTCTATCTATGTCCGGATCCGACCCGCATCTAACTTCCAGTGCCTTATCCCTTTGTATGTTCCTACTCCGGTTAGACTAAATCATTTTCCGTACCTCGTTTCATTTCCGCCCTTTATTTTCCTCTGATCTAATCTCCGGGTTCATTTAACTATTTTCCGATAGACTAGCGTTTGACTTTTCTATACGCTCCGTCCACCGCTTTGTATAGCTTTGGACTTCGCATCTTAGTAGTATATAAACCCTGTAGAATCTATGTACATCTTTAGTTCGAATATTATCTTAGACTCTGCTCATTCCTTCCTCCGTCCGACTTGAGTTATCCTCTCGTCGACCTCCGCTCGTCTTAGGATTGATTCCTATTGACTTATCACCTCCGCCTCTACCTTTGGTAGTCCTCCGCTGTTTCCTTTCTAGTTCGGACTTTGTCCGGATTAGTCTTATCTCTTGTTCCCGAACGTCCGCCGGAATTCCCGTGCATCGGACATCGGACTCCGGACATCGCCCGACGCCCTCCGGACATCGTCCGGTAACCTTCGGATATTGTTCGACAGCCTTCGGAAGTTAGGGGCACGTACTCGGGTAAGGGGCGCAGCGCACGAGCTGAAGCCAAGCCCTTCGGATTTGACCCTTGAGCACGTTCTTAACACTCTGGCATGACAGACTGCTACAGTCCACAGCCCTATTTGTTCCGAGCAATCTCTCATTTGGTTTAGACTGGGCAGTCATGATCACGAATGAGGTGCCAGCAGTGACTCGTTTAACCTTCATCTCACTTACAAGTTATGATGCCAGTTACCATGTAGAGAACCTCACACAATCCACTCGTGTATGTTCCTCTTTGCTGGCCCTTAGTTCTAAAAGAGCATTGATGTTGGCAGACTCGCTATGGGACGTGAATACTTCTTGCTCCTATATGGCTTCAACAGCCAGAGGAGAAACATGAAATGTTAAACCTCATCAAGCCATCCGTGTTTCCTGACCTCAGAAGCCAATCCTTCCATTAACAGCTCACACTAGTCGTGCATCATCATGAATGAGATCATGCGATTATGGCTCCCGATGGCACCACGCTAGAGCATTTCCTATCCTAGGTACAATGCCGTGGATCACCTGTATTTCTAAGCCCTCTTTCAACTGCAGAGCATGTTATTGCTGTAGTACAAGGTACACAGTACACAATGTCACCTATCTGATTGATTTGTTTTGAAGGTAATAAACTATCCACCAACTTGGTAAATTGCGGAAGATGCAGACTCTTGGTAGATGAGTGCTATTGGATGCACAACCTTTGGTGAGTTGTTTTGATGGACTTGCTGCTTACATGACCCGGCTCGCTCATTAGACATTTGAGCTTAGAACTCATCCTTCCACCTATGCAAGACCACTCGAGATCAGCTATTCAACTGCAGAAGGCTCAACCTATCCAAGTCATAACAGTTTGAGGTGGCTTGAAGCTAGCTCAAGCCGTTGTTCCCATATTGTTGGCTTGTGCTGGTTCGTGCTGGTCCAGGTGGCTTGCGGACTGGACCAAGTTGCACATAGGTGACTTGGTTCATGGAGACCACCAAACTGCTGGAAAACCAGTAAGAGCCGAGCCTGTCCAGCCATAGCTAAACCATGACATGACTATCAGCAATGGATACAAAAGACAGACCAGTATCTGAACGTACTCCTAGACACAGAGGTTCCTGCCAACAGAATATGCTCATATGTGAGAGCGATGGGGACTGCAAATGTAGTACTTTGCTTTATGAAGTGTGGGGACATGGTATACTGGTGGTATACAAGAATGCAGCGCTTGGTGTAGGAAAGTAGCGCACGCTTGGTGCGGAAGAGTTGCACTTTGCATAGGGAATGATTGGAGAGGTGTTTAGCACAAGTTGTGGATATGGCTGCTATGAGGCTACAGATATGTCAGTCTCTACACTGCATTATGACAAACCACACCGAGTAGGCAATACTGGTGGTACGACTATAAGCTTCTGAACTCGGTGCTTTGCGCCACAAGCATGACACTGTTTTCCCACTTTGAGGGGCCTTTACCCTTGTAGGCATGTGACTCATTCCTACCATTTGCAAGCCATAAGAGATTTATTAGAGATCACATTACGATATATGCCGTTGTGAGCTAGGAAAGTAAAAGCCATTATGGTTGAGTGGTAAAGATGGATCATCGTATTGAGATCTTGAGTTCAATTCCTGCCATTGCCAATTTATATTTTTTGAATTTTGCACCATATTTCTGAGCATTATGACTGTATGCGGCCGGGAATACGACGAGAAGATGACACAAGACCATGGATGGACAGAGCAAGACGAGGAGCACGACAAAGATTTGAGGCCAAAATTTCCCACGGTCTGATGAAAACGCGTCCATGATTTTCGAGTATTTTGGTCATATGTCGCCGGGATCTTGATGCGATGATGTCGTGAGACCACTGGATGGAATGACATCGACAAGGAGCATGGTTTTGGACTCGGACAAAAAAGTGATTAATAAGCGATGACTAAGGTGATGCGCCACTTGGATGACAAGAGTCTATTGATAAGCGATGACAAAGGCGACCACAAGCGACCCCCGCTGAGACGGACGAAACGACCACCCTGAAAGCGACCCCCCCCGACGGGCCCCATGCGGAAGGAACGATTGCGGGCCCCCAAGAGGGGAGTCCCCTCCCAATAGGAACCGGACTTTTTTGCGGGAGGTTGAGATTTTCAAGGGCTACAGCGGCTAATCTGCAAAACCACTGAAATGAACGCTTGAGTTACGCGCGTTACGGACGCTTACGAGCGCTTACGACTTCAGTAGCGCACTCTGAAGATAACATGGGCTTGATTTGATCTCTAAAATAATATAGATAAACAGACAACACGGTGCAGTTGAGCCGCAACGAAACAAAAATGTAACTAGTGCAAGTCTGAGCGCAATGCATGATACACCTGGTCACTGTGATTGTAGGGAGCCGAGTCGACTTAGGTGCAATAACGACTAAAAAGGTGCGCGAGCCGACTCTAGCTATATATGGCTCCCAGAAAGCGCCTCAAAGGGATTTTGGATTTTTTCAAGCCCGCTCCTCTCCTCACCACATCATGCCGCGGCCATGCGGACGCTGTCGGTTTGTAACACCGGCAGATACTCAGCATCAGACAACTTTTTGACCATTTTTGACTGGTTATATCAGGTAGGAATTATATATAAGGACTAGAAGTCCTGAACTCTCCAGCGTCACTCTTTCTTCTGTTTCCACTTGTCATTGAAAAGTTTCTGTAGACTCCAGGATACCATGGATACTCGTCCAAGGGTATTCCACCTCCCAGACACCATGCTCAACTGGCCCTGGCCCCGTGCAATGAATCCTCATTTCGAAGTTGTAAAAGCTGGAGTCGATGCTTCCTTCCGTGAATTTAAGGCTCTGAGTGACGAGTCACAGGAAGTATTCGACAAATGCGATTGTGGTTGGACTTCTGTTCCCTCTCAATTTTAAAGATGGCTGAGACATATCGTGTTTGTAGCCCGCCTAGTAGCTCTGGTCTATCCCAATGTGCCTAGAGGTTCGTATTAGATTCCTGCCTATTCACACACCACGGAGCCCTGATCACATTCCTGAAAAATAGAAGTCCTTCGAATCGGCTGCGACTTGCACCATATTTACCTCATTGTGGACGAGTACACCGACATCGAAAATGCGGTAGTCACCCAGGAAATGTTGGATATCGTACTTGATGCTCTGCATAATCCCCATAAGACACGACCCGAAGGCGAATGCATCCTTGGTGAAATCATGCGACAGTAAGTGCTTCCAAATTGTTCGATGATGCATCTGGAGTCCAAGTCATTTTTGTCCAGATTTTGGGCTCGTGCAATCCAGACCGCAAGCCCGTCGTCTCAGCGTCACTTCATTGAAGAATTCACCGCATACCTTTCTGCAACGATTGTTGAGGCTACTGACCGCGAACAAGGCCATTGCCGCAGTATCAATGACTACCTGAAGCTACGCCGGGATACGAGTGCCATGAAATCCACTGTCACAGTATGTGAAATGGGAATGGAGCTTCCTGATGAAGTGTTCTACCATCCCGTTATCGTGGACCTTGTTGACTGCATCGCAGAATTGTGTCTGGTTGACAATGTAAACCCATGTTGAAGGTGTGGTGTGCAACCTGCTAACGACCTTCTACAGGACATGATTTCGTACAACAGAGAGCAAGCGACTGGGGGCGAAAGCCATAATTTGATTACTGCTATTATGTTGGAACTCGGCCTCGACATAAGCGGTGCGATGGCTTGGGCAGCGCGTTATCACGCTGAAGTTCAAAAACGATTTATGGGCGGTCTTGCGAAGGTCCCTTCTTGGGGACCATCCGTCGACGTGCTAGTTCAGGAGTATCTTGATGGGATTGCAAGATGGCCTCAAGGGCTCCATTGTTGGAGTTTCGAGACTCAAAGGTCACATGGATATTCTATTCGTATGAATCATCACTTATACGGAATGGGATTACAGATACTTTGGCACCAGGGGACCAGAGATGCAGGAAACCGGGCTTGTCCCATTGTTGCCAAAAGTTAAGCGCAAAGACGCATTTCCAGTGGCTGGGGTTCGTATTGTCGATTTGTCCAAGATCATGCACCACGAGCAACCATCTGGTGTGCTTGAGTTTGGCCTATTTTCGCCTCTCAAATAATCAGTGTAATGTGGAATTTCGCAATAGCCCCTCCGGGCATACTGTACCCTTTATAAGGACTCACCTTCAGTCGGTTTTACGACAATATATTGTGTTTACGGTAGCGACTCAGGAAATACTATATTAGCATTGTCTCTGCAAATATACGGCGTCTCTTCGCGTTCTTACTTTCGACAATGTTGTGCACAATCGACTGCGAGCAAAGGGATCAGTCCGGAGGTCGAGCAAGGTTTGTGGTAGCGCCAAACTTTAACATTCATCAAATGTAGAAACTCTTCGATTCACTGTCGTATGGAACGTGGGGGATGCAGTGGCTTTCTATCAATATTAATATAAATCTTCAATGACTCATAAATATGATCAATAAGCTCATACTCGACACAACCTGCAAACATTTCCCAGGCATTTCGAGAGATGTGATCAGGTTGCAGACTAATCAACTCGATGTTTGTGGTGGTTACTATGTTGACATCACAGCTGAAATATGGGAGGATGTCGTCGACTTGCTTAACGTAGTCGAAGTAACCCGTGCAGAAATAACGTTTCCCGTTCCACCACCGCTTGATGCTCAGTGGACTATTCCATCGCCTGACAATCAACCGGCGCCGAATCAGGTTAACAGACAAAACAGCTCGTACGCACCCCGGAAATTCTACAAGTATTTTCAGTACTGAAGACCATACGACAGCACTGAGAACGATGACAAAATCACAATCAAAGTTTTTTTTCCATCTGGCGAGATCCGGTCTGCCAAAATCTCGAGAACGGTACGGGTGGACACACTCCTTGCCGAGTCTCTTCTCTATAATATAGTATAAGATTCATGTACAGGATACGATAGCTTGGTGACTCACAGAAGCTCTTTGTCTCCGAATAGTCCCTGATGAAACGGGCACACTCAAGAGTCTGGTGAACGATCTTTCCGACGATATCGCGCATCGATTCAATTTTTCCAAGACTGTCATCTTGAGCTATGAAGCGGTAAACTTCAGCCAATTTAAGACTGAGAATCGATTGGTCGCGCTGTGCCTGAGCAATTATAATCTTCATGGAATTAGAACTTCTGAGTAGGAAACTGGACTCCGGGAGAAACAAAACATACTTTAGATGCAGCCGACAGGACTCCCAGCGCCATCTTTGCGTACGGATGTACCTATATAACGTGATTAGTTCCCTTCCAAACAACAAGAATGACCCATACGTCTGCGATCTTCTCAAGGACAGCATCGATAATCTTGAGGGGTTGGAGATACGTCGTCTCAAAATCATCTGCGGCAGTAAGATCCGCTGGGGTATTGTCGACGGCGGATGTCATAGAAGTCGCATGTTTCCCTAGTGATCAAAGTTCGGCGTGAACTAATTGGGGATCAGGTCCTCCTTCCTCGTCAGAAGGAGTAGCCTGAACCTGTGGGACCGCCAAAATTAGAGAAGAAAATCAAAGTATTTGATGGAAATACCTGCAAAGCAGGCTCTCCGGACAGCCCTTGTTTCACGGAGTCATTTGGAATCTCGGAAATGTGGTGGGATGCTTGTTGTCGTTGGAAGGATGGAAATACAACGTGTCCTGAGCGCCTCTAAGAAAACGGAAGGACTGGAATAGCAAGTTCGAGCACTTACCTCGACTTGCTGAGTCGATGAAGCCTCTTCATTTTCGACGTCGTGGACCGCAGTGGCGCGGTTGCATGTTCGTTTGGAGCGTTTCTGTACAATCTTAGCCGTATTCAGGACAAACAGTATTCACGTCTACGCACAGGAAGCTTTTTGGTTAACCAATTCTTCAAATTCCGCAGGAACTGACAAGATCCTCTACGAGGTTGGTTCTGGACGAATAATGCGCAAGGACGACGATATATTTCAAGAGACGACGTACCAAGCTTTCCTGATTGGATCTGGAAGTTCCTGGAGGAGGATCGATATCTGGCCTATGATCTTCAGTCATCGCGAGTGGTTGGAGATTTAGATTGTTGTGAAAGAAACGGTGGGGTACACTGAGAAGTAGTGTGAGAAGGGAATGGGTGAGTCCCACTCTTTCGTAGAACTCCAAAGAACGTTCGAAGCATGATGGCCAGCATGTTGACTTCAAGGGCTATGCATTCAGCCACACAATTTCCATCGGTTCCGGTGGGGCGAGCCAATAGCTGTAGCAGACACAGCTCAGCAACAGACGAAGTCTATTAGGTACTATACCTGTAGAAGACACAGCTACAGAGGTTGTCAGTTACATAGGTGGTATATACAAGAATGATACTAACCTCAGCGACAGACGAACTACGGCAAATAGTAATAGTCGTGAATCCATCCAACTTGATCTGGAAGTCGAATGTAGAATGGCGTGTCAGTACTACCGCGTCTGACTGCAGCGTCACATGCGCGTCATGCGCCGTCACACGTGACACCTGAGCGCTGAGTCACGACCGCGGCAGGCGCGGCGCCAACATAACAATTCAGGACGCTCGATCCATTTGTTAAATTTTCGGCCTATCATAAACGATCTTTTATTGGTGGCACAATTTACATATAACTACATATTCCCTCATAACAAACAACGCTGTACCAGCCAATCCTATTTGTGCAATGGCGGATTATTTGCTCTTACAACACTTCAAACGGAAGCAAGGGATTTCATTGTAGGGTGCAATGATGTAAAAACCGGTGGCGAGCTCCAGTGGTAAGTCGCCTAGTCAGGATCCGCAGCATGTGGTGTGAGATGAACTCGCATCTTTGGATCCTCTGTGACGAATAGGACTTAAGGTACTTTGGTGGACACTTTCCAGAGAACTCGTTCGCATGTGATATTGTGAATGTTAGGCTGTATCCGATAAAATGATGAGACGACACGTACCTGGAAAACAGTTGAAAACGATCCTTCAGACCTTTACGGTCGCTCGAGGAGGTTTGGGCCAAACCTGGGTCTGATAACCAATCTGCAGTAATGCGCTCCCATCAAAAAATAAGGTGCCTTCAGTGTCCGCTAGAAATAAGTAATGTATGAGGGTTGACGTTGACGTTGAACGTTGAACGTTGAACGTTGAACGTTGAACGTTCGAACGTTGAAGCTTCGAAGTTCAAAGTGCTTGGCGAAGCTGGATCGGTCTTATCCCATCTGACGCTTCGATTATTGACCTACTCTTTCTGTCGCCCACTTCTGTAGAGTGTCCGTCGATGTCTAATTGAAAGCTGATTTCGGAACGCTGGATCCATTTGTAAAAATTTCCATTAGCACAAACGCAATCTTCATTGCTTGTATGGCTTCTCCTACACAATTTGCATAAAGGCATTCCCTCGCAACAAACAACGCTGTACAGCCTCCAGCCGATCCAATCTGTGCAATGGCAGATTGATGGCTCTCGTCCGACACTGCAAACGGAAGTAAGGGATTTCATAGTAGGGTACAATGATGTAAAAACCTATGGCGAAACCAGTAATGTCGGGAAGGGTGACGACGCTCCAGCGGTAAGTCAGGATCCGCAGCATGCGGTGAGATGCCTCGTATCTTTGAATGTTCTATGACGAACAGGACTTAGCCTAGAGTACCTTGGTGGACACTTTCCAGAGAACCCCATTCGCATGTGATATTGTGAATCTCAGGCCGTATCCGATAAAATGATCAGACGACACGCACCTGAAGTAGCGACCAATCGAAAACGATCCTTCAGGCTGATTTGACCTCTACGGTTGCTCGAGGGCGTTTGGGCCAAACCTGGGCCTGATAACCAATCTGCTCCCATCAAAAAATAAGGCGCCTTCAGTGTTCGCCAGAAATAAGTACATATGGATGGTTTTATGAGGGTTAACGTTGAAGTTCAAAGTGCTTGGCGAAGTTTGATCGGTCTTATTAAATATTCCTTATCGGCCCTATAGTAACTGTCCCAAGGTCATTCAATTGGGCAAAATCGCTAAAAACTTGAGTAGCTAAGTTAAGCCTCAGTCTCAACCTATGGCAAGTCCGTCTTCATCATGTTCGCCCTCTTCATCAGCGGTAACCATCCCAATACCTGGAAAGTCGATTTTGAAGCGCCCTCCACCTACGCAAACTGGTATATTCTCTCGAATCAAGGGCTTTCTGCCAACACAATCTCCCGCTTTTGCTAGCGACGACATCAAACCTCTCAAGCGTGCCCATTTTATACTTCCTCAACTCGTCACAGTTTACCCTATATCCTCTACCAACCCTCCGTCAACACCGACGCTCAAAGATGAGAAGCGGGCAATTGAAGAGAGAGAAGCGGAGAGACGCAGCAGAGTTGTCAGAGGCAACTCTATTGGTCCGAACGAAACGGAAGATTGGTGGAATTTGGACAAGGTGGAATCGTTCTACAGAGAGTGTTGCGCATCGAGAGAGGAAGAACCAGATCCCGCAATTTCGGCTGCCCTTAAGGTGACAAAATTTACTTGTGGGTTCTGAGAGTACATCAAGCTAATCTCGAATGCGGCTGCACTCAACAGCGCGCATCAGGCACAAATCCTCGGTCCGTTGATCTGTCTGGTGTACAATTGACACCTACATCTGCCGCAATCCTCTCTGACGTGTTTACGATCGAATGGGGTCTTCGAAAACTCACCCTTCGAGAATGTGATTTGGATGACTATGTAACTTGATTCTCCCCTGGTTGCCTGTGCTGTGCTCACCATAACCTAGAAATTGAAACTTATGCTTCACGCGCTGCTCATACCTGGCACCCTCGTTTTCCTGTCCGTCGCGTCAAACCGTCGCCTAAAGACACCTGCGTTCAAAGTCCTTGGTTTTTATGCCTCACAAGTGCGTCATTTTCGCAGGTAATGATGCACCTGCTCATATTTCATTGTCAGGCCAAAAAATTACAATTCCTCGACCTCTCACAAACAAATCTAGACAAGAAGGCAGTAGATTATATAGTAGTCTCATTGACAACAGCACCTGAGCCTGGTTTAATATCTCTCCGTCTAGATGATTGTTCGCTCAGAGTGCCAGCGCTGGACGTTCTTGGTAAGCTGTCAACGTTCACCCTTAGTCCAATTTCCACTAAGTGTGGCAGCCCGAGTTATTCGTACTTCATCTCTTCGCAACATCTCTTTGCGACATAATCGCATCAATGCAACAGGAGCTGTCGCGCTTGCTACCATGATCCGAGATTACCCAGACGTGGTCCCTAGTACTCCCAACTCATCTACCTTTCCTTCACAAGGAGGCATCATCTCTTCGCCGCCTTCCTCACCAATCCCCCCTTTCACCCATCTACCTCCTCCGTCACCTGTTGCCCGTACAGGACCCGTACTGCCTCCTCCACGCCACCCATCGTCCATGCCTCCTCAAACAACTTACACACCATATGTACCTCGTAATCGCCGAGGTGCTGCAACAGCACAACCTCCCCCGCTCTCTGCTTCTGGTCAGCCCGTCCCCATCATCACATCAAATCCACAGGGTGGTGTCACCACCCGTCATCTTGCGCCAAATGCTGGGCATCAACGGTCGGAGGGCGGACTCCATCCCAATGGTACGGCCCAGAGGCACGATGATGGCCCAAGCGCTGCACTGCTGGACAAGGTGCGCGCTCTCGATGCATTGCCAAGACTCGGAGCTCTCCGCACATTGGATTTACGAGGCAACGACATTCGTGTAAGTATTTTTTTGAATATAGTATTGCCTGTTGATGACGTTGGCGTAGAATGGGGTTACTTATCTGGCACAAGTACTCAAACGAAATAGAACCCTTAAGGTCCTGAACTTGAGCGAAAACAAGCTGGATGTTCAGTGCTTGGTGTTAATTGCCGAGGCACTGGTAAGCGCTGAGAGTCTCTTTGGTCGTCAGTTTTAACAGGAACTTCTAGAAATACAATCATTGCTTAGAAACTTTGGATCTCAGTCGGAATCCCTGCTCCGGTCCTGGTCTCGAAGGCGTGCGTTGATAACTCGCTGCACATGGTGCCTATACTGAACAATGTTTAGATCCAATCACTCCGAACGGCTTTCACATTAAATAATGCTCTCAAGCGCCTATTCCTCTCCTCTACCACCATGACATCACCGGGTGCTATCGCACTCGCAGAATTTCTCCCTGAATCAAACTCATTGCTCCACCTTGATCTCACGGACAATAACTTGGACATCGCTGCCATTATGGCCCTGAGCTCGGGACTCAAGGCTAATCACACGATGCGATGTCTCGACGTCAATATACCTCCAGATGACGAGGAATTTGCCAAGTGAGTGTCTAGTGATCTGTACAGTACGCTTCATGAATATGACCTCACACAGAATGTGTCGTGAAATTCTCAACACTTGTATCCGGAATACGGAGGAAGCAGAAAAAGCGGCACATGTTTCTGATGGACTTCGTAGTCCGGCGAGCAACAAAGGGTTTGGTAAGGGTGTGTGGAACATGATCCAGGAAAGTGAACTAGCCAAATCAATAGGTCAAGGTGGCGGGCTCAAGGTAGGTGTATGTTCCCCGTATATGATCAGCCTACTTACGATTCTGAAGGGTAATGATGAGGTTATATCAAGAGCATACGCGCTACTGTCTCAAGTCGAGAACTCGGTGAATAGCCCAAGGTCTATTTCGGTCGCATCTTCTGGGGTATCCTCCTCGACCGTTGTGTCACCCGCGGACCAAGACCTCGTTCAGCAAGCCAAGGCTATTGTCGACGAAATCACAGAAAAAGTGCAGACTACGACAGACATCGTCCTGCTAGAAGAGCTCCTGGGCCTCTGCGATAAACTGAACAGTGCTATCACACAGTTGTCATCCGCTCCTTCAAGTATATCACTTCTTCACGGTCTTGGGTTAAATATTCCAAGCGCAGTGATCAGTCCCGCTAACGGGGATGCTTCACATGGGAACCCCGCAGATCTGTCAGAAGATGATACACCACTAACTCCGAAGGTAGATAAAGGAAAAGGTCGAGCAGAACCAGAACCGGAGGAGCCGGAGAAAGTGTTGAGTCCCACTTTCATGATAACCGAATCGGAGGACGAGGATGAAGACGACAACAGACTCTTAGGCGAGGAGGACCAAATTAGCGTCCCTTCCCCTGTGGTTAGGTGGGTCACCATACGAGCAAAGTATCTACATACCCTGATGATGTCCAAAGGTCGAAAAGTTGGGTTGAAGAAGAAGGGGAAATCTTCCGAAAAGGTGCTGTCCTTCTTGGACCTGAAGAGATGGAGGGAGAATACGCTGGCGAAGACCTCCGTCGTGAGGTGAGTATACTGGTTATCTAGTTTCGCGATTTTTTCGAACACTGTTGTAGTTGTTGGAGGCTATGGTCGAACGGCCTCCTCCTCGCGGAATAATCGATGAATTTGGTATGGACCTGGATGTGATTGTCCCTGAAATAGCTTCTCCTCCCCCTGGGGAAGCTCTGCGGCCTCCACCGCGTCCGTACATCTCCCGCACTCGTTCCACGTCTTCCAATGGATCAACGGGAGACCTACATTCTCCGAATTCGCCTACGACAATGACTGCTGCGAGAAGCCCCACTTCACCCACATTTCCAGCCTCACGCCCATTACCAGGAAGCTTTTCAGCAAGCCCTCCTCCTGAGCCTCGATAGGGCATCGTGCCCTTCGTATATCATTTATTTGACTACTTTGACTATTCCATCCGAACTTGCCATATACCTGCTATCAATAGTAGTTGGGGAATGTGAAATGTCTATTGTTCAAGGTTTTTGTTTTGCGGTTGCCTGCTTGGATTCATTCCGTGTATATTACCTTAAATTGTGGATTTAATGCGACCAATACGTACGAATAGCAGCTGGAGCCCCTGACAGACGCCGTAGTAGGTGCAACGTTGTCGCTTAGCCTCTTCAACCCTTCATCTCTACCTACGCAAGCACCATGGCCTCCGACGAACTTGGGGCTGATCCTCAAGCTCCAAGGCGATCCTCAAGAATTTCAGGGCAATCAAAAGTAGAGACTCCTGCTCTTACTAAGAAACCGAAAAAACCTTCAAAACCGGGGAAAAAAAGGGCAGCCGAGGAGGTTGACAAAGATGAAAAGAACAAGAAAGTACGCCACTTCAAGCCAAGTTCTCTGACTTTGACTGTAATGCATTCAAGGCCAAAGCTAATGAAGACGAAGCGGTCAAGGAGGATGATGATGTAGCAGATGTACTAGCGCCCATCGACATTGGCGATATTCTCCCCTCCATAACCCTCAAAAACGAGAAAGGCGAAGACATCGATACTGGTTCAATTGCAGCAGAGAAGGGTGTCGTTCTCTTTCTTGTTCCGAAGGCTGACACACGCAAGTTCTTTTGGGTTTATTTTGTTGTTCATCCTAGCAACGGTTTTTCTTCCAGCTGGATGCACTACGCAAGCATGTGGCTTCCGTGATATATGGCAAGAATTTGCCTCGCTTGATTATGATATCTATGGAGTCAGTGCCGACTCCTCAGCTGCTCAAAGTAAATGGCAAACGAAGGTACGTCACCATGCATAATTTCAATGTGCGAACAACAACTTGATGACCGTCACTTCAGAAACAACTCCCATTCCCACTCATTTCTGATCCAAAGAGGTCGTTGATAGGCGTTCTTGGGGCTGGTGATGGAAATAAGACGAAACGCAGTCATTTTGTCTTTGAGAAGGGTGGTAAGCTTTTGGATAAGCGAATGCCTGTGAAGCCGGTAGACAGGTGCGTTCCATGTCACTGTACTGTGTTTTTCTTTCTCATTCGTCGATATGGCATACCTCAGTCCCCGTCTTGCATTGGAGTTTATCAAAGGCCTCAGCTAAGTGAATAGGCTACGAACACGCCCGCTCGGCCAAGTTGATGCTATGAATCCTTTCGATCTCGTTTTGTTTCTAGGAATTTGTACACCATCATGCATCGCACTTTCTAGACAATGACGCTGGCACCAACACTGGCTGTTTCACAGTAATTCAGACTGAAAGCCACAGAGCAAGGATCTCCCAAACAATGTCGAGTGTCGAAAGTATAGAGGCCAGAAGTCGAACATGCCATAATTGCACATATACGTGCCAGAGAGTATCAGTTCCTCTGGTCTTTTGTCCGATGAGTTGTGTTCTTTAAGTCAGCAAGTAAAGCTTACCTGCTCCAATATCATTGAGTACTAGTATCGCCGCGGTTACTCCACAGGCGATGCCAGGAAGATAACAAGAAGGAAGACCATTAGATATATCACAAGGGGCACAGTGATGGCGATGCTGGTAGGCATCAAGAAACATAGGGCTATAATGGAGACTGCAGGTGGACACTCACGTTATCACAGGGAACCATATCTGAGCGCCTCCCACTTGTAGTCTATGCAGATGAAGAGTGGTCGAGAGGTAGGGACAATGAGATGGGAAGAACCTCCGGAACAATCATCGAGTTAATACTAGTACTGTGAATGACAGAAAATGAAGACAAGTTAGTATTTGTTAAACGACAAGCGAGAATCGCGATACCTGCTGGACGTCCTTGCTCAACGTTCAAACGCTCAACGCCTATACAATATATCTCACCCTGGGAGCGTCTGCACTCTTGCAAATGCCGGCAAAGAAAGGTAGGGGATTAATACTGCTTGACATCGAGGACCGCGACATGCGGGTGCTTATCATGCCCACTGGGTCAGGTGACAAGTCTGCATCAAGGATGAATAACGTCGAACTGTTCCTGACCCTTCCAGGATGAATGTTACACTAGTCGTGACAGACATCCGTTCGTGGCATGCACACTGCGAAGACCAGCTTCAAGATGGACAGCAAGTTGGTTTAGCCTAACCGGGGCGACAACAACGATGAGCCATCCATTGTCGCTAGTGGCAAGCAACGAACTGACAACTCCAATAACATTATTGACTACCATCATCCCTTGGCTTTTTCGGCAATCGTCTTCTTTGATTCTGTACCCCCTTCCGGGCAATTTCTACTTTGTACCACCATAGGGGAATACAGAGCAGTAGCGTTACTGCCGGGTCGATAGCTTCCATGTCCCACTGACGCTACAAATCACTTTGTGAATCTTGATTCATTGGCTCAGTCCCAATTGACATTGAGAGAGTTGTCTTGAATTTCTCGCAGTCACCCGGCTCCGACCATCACCTCTCTCATCCAGGAGTTACACAAAGCCGACTATGTTCATGGCGACCTTCGGGATGCCAATTTTGTTGTGAAAAACAAAAAAGACTTCATGCTGCTCGACTTCGATTGGGCTGGATCGAAGCAAGAGACCCATTATCCTATACGTGTTGATCAGAAGGATATTCGACGTCCTGATGATGCGCGGAATGGGAATAAGATTACGACGGAGCATGACTTGGAGATGCTAAATTTTATATTTGATCCTGAGCAAGATGGTTTGAAGTCGTCTACAAAGCCCCGCCGTGTATCTAGTGAAGGGCTGGCGATGACATAATTCATTTTCGCTGTATCACCAAAAATCCAATTTGCTTACATAATACATATCTTGCTCCCAGTCGCATCACCGACGGTTTCCTCGAAGAAGATAAGTCGATCCCTGAGGATTTGAGTGTCATCATACGAGAATTCCTGAATGCATCGGTTGACTCAACCGATGGCATCCAGGAATTCTCGTATCGCGCCAACCATAGAAGGATCGAGTATGATACCGCACTGGCGGAGCACATGCCGAAATGCATTTATCCGCGCGAGCTCATCCGAATAGAAGGAGCACATCATTTCCGAAAGTTGCCAAACAAGGTCGTTATCATGGTCAGTTGGTTGTCGATTTTGACAATCATCCACGAACTCGGCGAAGATACGCTCGAGAAGAGTGACCGGAACAGGGTCCGCGGCTCCGCGAGGACGATTGCAAAGTTACTCTTGGTTTTTCTGCTTTAGAGAGAATGCGGCCGGTCTTGCACCAGCTGACGGAGCACCTGCACCCTTCTTGAGATAAGTGAGACGTTGTTCAACAATTGGAAAGAGTCGTGCAACGTCAGGACGCTGTACGACGACATGAACACATCCGTCCTCTACTCCATCCGTGAACATTGTGGACAGTTTGGTTGACGGCTTCAACTCCACGGATTCGCCTCCGATCGTGCGGAGTAAGTGTAGGTCGTCCAAATTGATCTTGACCTTCCAAATGATCATATCGTCAACATCCAATCGTAGGCGTCAGATCACTTACCTTCCATAGCTCGAGATCGTCCGCGTCAACATGGTCAAGACGTCGCTTCTTCGCGTCTAAGAAGTTATGATTCCTCTATAGCGTCCGGACCTCAGGCATAGTAAAACAAATACAAACAACCTTCTGCTAAAGCAACCGTGGCACTAAGACTCAGACTCCTGGCCTGAGGCAATGACATATATTATAGAACGCCCAGTAGTGAAGAATCGATTGAAAGTAGGCGGCAAGGTATTAAGATTAATAATTGAAGCTTGTGCGAGAAATGTCGCATCTCAAGTCGAGGGAGGTTTAACTAAGGCGAATAACTTGTAGACTATCATACTAGTAGTACTGTTTATAGTAACTACGCCTGCTACGCATATTGGGATGGCGTTGGTGGCATGCCCCTGCATCCAAGTCTCTCTATGTGCACACAGAATCAGAGTTACTATCATACGCCCACTCTCGTCACGGACCAATATATCAACTTTTTGTACAGTATAAACTCGAACAAAGGGAAAAAATAAGGTATAGAAGAAGGGACGGCGATTTCACTAGATGCGACGCCCGTCATAGCAATTAATTAAAATACATCCATACAACTCTTGCACCTTTCCCATAATTTACCCCACCGCCCTCCGTTCCACTGCCGAATCCTCACCCAGCCATCATGCGGTGCAACTTTCTCTATCCAAATGAGTACCGAAACGATGGCGAAGTCAGCATACGTGAGCTCATGGCCCATAGCAACCACCCCATCACCGTCAGTGCCCGAGTTCTTGTCAAGAATATTTGCTAGAAAATCGAACTGCTCTTGAACTGCCCTCCAAGCCTGCTCTCTCTCCGGAGGAACGGAAAGATAACTTGGCGTCGTCCCACTGAGAAAATGAGTTTGACTGCGCTCCGGTAGACGTTGGTGACTAAGAGGCACCATGATAGGGAGCAGTGGCTTCGCGAATATTTCTTGTATATAGTGCACAAACAACGCTTGCAGTGCACGCGATCCCTCTGGAAATACTTGACGCGCTGCAGATTGTTCAGATATAAGGATTGCAGATAGAAAGTTATACTGGCCTGGGTAAGTAATTTCCAGATATTCAGCAATGTGACTTGCATTTGAAAGTACTATAGGAGCCTGCGGCGACCGTATGGGATCCACGATGACTGGGAGAGAGAAGACAGGCCGGCCATCATTTCTGACGGACGTTGGTGGGGCCCCAATGCCACGGAGGGTTTCCTCGATGTCTGGAAATTCCACCCAAGTAGTACGGTAGGGGAGCCGTTTAAAATTGAGTATCAACCTAGAAAATATATCAGCATATATATTTGTTAGAGCGAAATGCCTTACCGTACCCGCCAGATATTGGGAGCCCAAGGTTGCGGAATATTGGATGGTACGTCGTAAAGTATAATCATCGGCTGAGACATCGTGTGTTTGTATGGGTGGCTTTGATCCTCTAATAGTGCTTGCGGTAACTTATTAAGGAGGGAAACACAGGTGCGCTATATTCGTCCCGCATGACTTCACCCCTTCTGTCGGTGTTTGATATGTGTTACGTGTAGCCACATGTCTCATTTGAGTTCATGCGTCTTTCTTACCTCTTGCGTGTATAGCATGGGGCAACCATTGAATCGCCGACCTTGTTCCCAAGTCATGAAAATCAACAATGACGTAGTAACTCACGAAATCTTTTATGAGTGCGGAAACTTAGAGCGACTCTGGCACACCGATTCGAGTATGTCACGAGTGATGACGATTCCTAACTATGTGCAACCTGAGTACTAGAAATCAGAAGGAACACACAAACGAGCCGATCATACACTTTACTTGCTGTGTTTGTAAATTGTGTTTCGTCCAGAAGCCGTATCTTTGCACGGTGTGAAGAGATTTCCGAATTTAGAGGTGAATCGCCAGAGGCTAGCAGCACTGCAATGTGTATCGCCTCGAAAAAATGGGATAGGGTGACTTGAGGACTGTTATAATAACACGGCAGCACTCTACGTCCGACTTACAGCCCCATCGCAAGAGAAAATTTGCGACCATCTCTATGGCAAACACCATAGTCTAAGGTTTACAAATCAGCTCTTATCTTCAACAACACCGAGAGAAAAGGCTGGAACGAGTCATTGAATATAATAGAGAAGATCAAGGCGTTTGAGTAAAAGCCGGCGCCGACAAGGGTCCTAGTCCTGGACCCTTGACTGCCCATCAGCGCAATCACCAAGCGAGCCACTTGAGTGACCGGTCAATCAAGCATAGCAATCAAAAAGAATGTGTTATGATAACCGGTACCGAATTCTCTTGCCGCACATACCTCATCAGGACTTCGGACTTGTGGCAAGATGCTTTGATGACGTACAGTCCCTCCATGAAATAGCACCGTAATCAAAACCCGTTGAGCCTGCGCCGTTAGAGGGCAACGGAAAGTCGCATCCTTTAATCGCCGATGAACGATCTAAACGGTGACCACGTTGCACAAGAAACGGGCTTTTTCTCGCTGTACAAAATGTGCCCACGACAATCTGGCAAGCCCGGCTACAACATGGTGTAATCCACAAGTTGTCCGACATCAGCAGTAGCCAAGGTGAGACAAATATATATCTGGGATAACGGTCACAGTGTTCACGCCGAAGATGGTGCTGATCAAGTTCTCTTGTATGTATATGAGCGCGTCTATAACCGGAAAAATGTTCTGTAGCATCAAAAAATAGGACTTGGCGCACCAACTTGCTTCAAGTAAGTACTATTGTAGATTGACACTTGAATGATTCATTTCAACAAGAGAAGTAATGACCTGACTCGCCGATGGTAGTAAAATTTGCTAGGAGGGAGCGCATTTTTTGAGAGTACGTTTCAAAGATCGAGAGACCTCCCGGGTCCATACGGGTGACAAACCTCGAGCTTTTCTGGATGACGAGGCCATAGTACATACTAGCTTCTCAGTTGATGATTGATGCAGCTTGGACGCCGGACGGGAATAACCTGAGAAATTCGGGCCCCATCGGGCTGTTTGCAAGTGTTGCCTATTGATACCGATGTGGCTCGGAAATTCGGATCAGCACATTCCTTTAAATTTCTTAATTAACGGGCCTTGGACAGGCCACTACGAACGGTAAGGATGTTGATGCTGACTTCCGCAAGCACGCACTCGTTCGAATTGTAAATTCCGGTCGTTTTCAGAGGATGTTGGCGTCAAGCCGACGGTTGCAGCAAGAAGGTGTGTGATGCGACCCGAGCTCACAGGTTTTTCGGTGATGAATCTAATAACTAGTACTGTGCTGTGTTGCGGCACAATTTTTTTCTGCGACGACGTCCTAGGCCTAGGGACTCTCGGTGTTAAAGTAATATCAAAAAGCGTCCAGCATCTATGCTTTGACCATCATAGCCGGCTCGTATCAATGCAGCTATTATGCAACGGACAAGGTAAAATATAGAGTTCGACGATGAAGCTCAGCTGTAAGGCGGCGCCAAGACGTTGTTGTATTTAGGAAGTACCTCCAGCTAACTGCAATTCCGTGGAGGTTTGTGTACTTCAACAACCCACTTGTTTGAGACGTGCAATCTAACGGAGGCACAGGTTGTCAGCGAAGCTAATTCACTGATCGGGGCAGAACTAAGATTTGCTTTATCTGCTATTATGCCCATTCTGCAGGAATCCATGACACCTGGTCCGTGGTTTTCTTTCTTTTCTTCGCTGCCAATGATGTGGCATACCCACTTATGGTGTTCCTCATCTCACCAATGTTCCGTCAACTTTGTATCCTTCGCTAGTTCATGCTTAAAGTAGCAACCCTCGCGAAATCCCTACGTGATTCTGTGCTTCACTGATCGGACTAAGCATCTACAGCCCCCAGGCCACGCTTAGCCCTGAGGGTACTTTCTCATGTATTTGAAGTGCATTTGCTTCCGTCCTGTCTTTGACCGAACATGATAGCAATGCGTCTTTCAAGTACCCGATGTATCCATCATACCGTTGAGATCATGATATGTCAAAGGAAAGTGGATTATTCTGGGATTTGATGCCCGGCTACGTGCCTGGTAAAATTGAGTGGGCGAAGGTAGGTGATTGTGAAAATGATCCATGCCACTTTTCATCATTCGTGCGCCACTAGCTCGATTTCTATTTCCATGCTTCAATCAAACACATTGGGATTGGGTCCAGAAAACCTATAGCAGTGCTAACTATTCTAGTCTTGGTGATGCGCGCCAATGGACAAGAGGAACGGAATTTCTGCGACCAATTCCAAGCCATCATCGAATGCCAAGATGAACATTTTGTTGATGAAGTGGCCCAAAGTCAAGTAGCCTTGAGCAGCAAGATTATTTATACTGTGCGTTTACCACCTAGACCGTAGTAGGTCCGAAAACTTGATCTGTGTTGTCCGAGACAGTCGATTCGACAACTCCTAGGCACACATACTCATGAATTGTAGACCCAACCAATCCTGCGTATAGAACTTATGCATATGATAAAGACGAGAGTTCGGGTATGCATGACGATAGATAATGAAACAAATGGCTATAAAATGCGTGAAAATAATATAACGAGGACGATGCCATGAAAATCAGCAAACTCGCCCGGCAACCTGATTCTGACCTTGCAACTTGCAGAAGACACAAGGCTAATCACCATCATCCCACCAAATTAGTCGTATGTTCATGAGAGTAGATGCCATGCCGCATCAACGGGAACCTTATCTTCGTGCCTGAGGTTCTTCATCGAACTCCAACTTCCCCATCACTTCTGCAGACCCCCCACTCGAAGCCACGTCGTTGGCACTCATGCTGCGTAACGAGCCAAGTCTCGGTCTTGACGTTTCTCGCCAGATCCCCGTGGGTCGCGAACTTCTGTTCTCTCCTTCACCACGTCCACTTACACTCGAAATAGGGCTTGCGCCTGCCGAATCTCCACCTATACTGCCTCTTCTCCGGCTACCACCAAGTCCCTCCAAGCTCGCAAGGAACGTCTCATTCATGTGGCGTAAACGTTCGTCGACTTCTTCTTCTCGTGTCAACATCGGTCCCGCGGAACCCATGGAGTCGGATTTGGTGTGTGATGGGGTAGCGGGTCGGCCCTGTGTAGACGCAGGAGAAGGTTGACGTTGAGCATTAAGTGGCTTCCGCGCATCAATATCTTTGACAAAGATGGATATCTCATCGTCATCAGTGGGTACACCAAGGAAGGAGGTACTCTGCACAGGAACCTTATCAGTACTATATTCCATCTATAAATAACAAATGATGAAAAATGAAGCAACGTGCGATGCAATGCAATATCAGCGAGGTCGATATGCAACGTGAAGGATGATGTATAATAAGGTAATGAGGTCGCTCACCTCTGCTCGTTCCCCACTTCCTGCACTTCCAACGCTCCCCCCACCTCCAGCTGCAGCGTAGCGATGACCAAAACTGCTGGAATAACGCTTCCTCGTTGGGATCTTCGGAGATGTATCCTCGCCTTCTGACCGGCCTCCGATACTACTTGGTGAATGCCTACCGAATCCAATCGAGGAGTGGGGAACAACACGAGAGGAGTTCGGTGACGGTGGCACCGGGCGAGAAGGCAGTGATGGATTGCCTGCGGCGAGTGGCGACGGTTGACGCAGAGAAGGGGAAGGTGAGTGGATGGATGGAGAGCCTGATGACAGTGTGGATGTCTTGAATGGATGGACCGGGTTAATACCTGGTCTTCGGATCGGAAGTGGCCCTAGGGCAGAGGGAAGGTCCTAAAGATACGTCAGTCGCCAATGAATAAATAGGATGATAACGCTGACAGCATTACTACTCCTTCCTCCCATACTCTCCAATCTGATGCGCGCAGCAGCGGAAATGCCCGAGAAAGGTCCCGTGTCTTCCTTAGACCAAGCTGTACTTGAATCTTGACGCGAGGAAGTGATCGAAAGGGCAGATGTCGATCCTGCATTGACCCCAGCACCGGTGGAAGTACGACTTACGGGGAAAGCGCCCAAGCGCGGACTCTGGCTGACTGGCATGGAGTTTGTACGTGAGTGAGAATTTGGGGCAGGGAGAACAAAACGATCTGCGATTGAGGACAGCGGTGACTTTGGAAGAGATGCGCGCAATGGTTGACTACCTGGTAGGCCTGTTAGGGAATCACGCTGTTGATTCTTTGCAAGGGTAGGGGTGAAGTCCTGTCCTTCATCTAGAGAGAGGAAGCGAGATGAGAGGAGGGACTCAAGTTCGTCGAGCTGGAAGTTCGGAGAAGAGAGGTAGGTGATGGAAAGGGAGAGTGTACCTAAAGGATGTGGAATAGCAGGGAAGAGATGAGTTTGATGCTGTAGTGGTGGTGCATTGGGTGCAGGGGGCGTGTCTTCATTGGACGGAGATGAAGTGCTGACATGAGATGAAGCCACGAGGTTAAAGGTAACGTGACTTACCGAAATCGAGGATGTCTGTCACGCTAACGCCGTCGTCGAGGCCCTTGACGCGCAAATGGATACTTAGGTTGCCGTTCCGGTATGCATTGCTCGTGCGCCTCCTGAGCTTCTTGTAAAGCTTCCAGGAGGGAAGAATACGAAGCAAACTGTAGATACTACGGAAGAGAGGTATCCCGTGCTTGTAAATGGTGGATGGTGCCACACTGTCAGAGTCACTGTCGCCACGAGGTTCTGGAACAAAATTGAGCAACCAATTCTCGAGTACGATGTGCCTGGGCGTTGGGTCGACACGAGAGCGAGAGGAGTCATGTGCAAGGTGGACCAAGACTTGATTAGTGATAAGATCTGGGACGGAGAGTAACACCTGAAGTTCGAGTGGGGGTGGCGCAGGCGTAGTAGATATTGCTTTGTATATGCGTAGATGATCTTTGAAGAGGTCAGAGTCTGGGGTTTCAAGATTAAACTAGAAAGAGGTTAGTGTAGTCTGTAACCTGAAGGAGTTACGCACCCATTTGTCGACCTTTGATTGAGACCTCGGCTCAGAAGTGGCCCTAGCATTTGAGACGACGAGACAAAGCTTTGTGTAGAATCTGTGTGCTATCTGGTCGGCCTTGTGTATGTCATTGGACATTGTAAAGGGAAATGGTATTTGACTCGAACAGACCAGTATGAAATGGGTAGTAGAAAGAAATTAGAAAAGAAACGACATTAGGGTTACAAGTCTAGAAGTATGAGTCGATCAAAGTCGTGGTCAGAAATGGGATAAAGCGAAGGCGTGTTCAGCACGCAGTATGAGTCCAACTACCGCAGGGGTAATGAGACAGCAACCGTAAGCTGGGAAACCGCCAAAGCTTTCCTTTTTAGTGAACCCTTCAATTTAGACTAAGCTTACATAAGCACTGCAAGAGTCATTCTTAACACCGTCAAAGTACTCGCTCGATGACGTGGAAGAATCCACGAACATCGGTTTATACCAGTTGACCTTCCTGAAGGGTCTGTTGTTTTCGCATGAAACCGGAGTATTGCCGCTACCACAAGTATCTTGTGATGCTGGGACAAATAACATTGTCGCGATCGACCGGAAAGCTTAAACTTCGGGAGCAATGACCAGGCTAATCACCCACTGCCCCCGGACGTAGTCCTCGCGTTTAACACCCCACTGGCTTGGACCAGGCGTACGCATCTGTCCTATCTGTAAAACATAGACTCTGATAGACCCACGAACCTGACGAATTCATGTTACTTATTCCATACACACGTTTCAAATATCCATACAAGGCGTATGGAGTGGGACACGCAGGGCTAGCCGAGGCTGCCGAGGCTCGGGGAACACATACTGTTTCTGATGTGTAATTTCAGATATTTTCCGGCATTGCAATAAAGGGTGCTTGTATATCATAAACCACACGAAAGAAATAAAGGAGAACTACATCATCGTTAAAAATTTGTTGTACATAGGTAGAAAATATTAGCTGGGCTTGGGCAGTCTAGCAATAGTAACAACCTCTACATCTAACAAAAGCGCACAGAGGTAGAATCGTCATGTGCATACGCCACTGTTTGCCCAGTCACCGGAAGCGCCTAAAGATCATCCCAAATAGTAAACTAGCAGCGTCACACAAGAAGCTTTCACTTACCACCTGGAACATCACTCTCCGACCACCAATTCGCAGTCCAGAGGTCCCCGCTGTTATAATGTGATATGTTAGATTACAATGCACGAGCGCAAGTCAACTTGACACGCACCCATATGTGACTTCGTCGCCTCCAACATACTAAGTAGAGTGGTTAGACTCCCAAAATTGCGCAATATGTAATTGAACTCACAGCAACACCAGTTTGCCATGCTGCCACGCCAGCGCAGGAAACAGTGCCAGATGTTGTTGTGGGAGCAGGACTTGATGTTGTGCTGGTGCTCGTTGTGGTAGTAATCGGCGAAGTCGTGGTCGTGGTCGTGATTGTGGACGTAATCGTCGGCGTGGCCGTGGCCGTAGTCGTAGTCGTAGTCGGCGGAGGGGAAGAGGTACCGCCTAACAGTGCATCCTTGACAGAAATGTCGTATCTGTCATTTGCTGAAGACAAAATTCAGTCATAAGTGTATAGAGGCAGCATATCACCGCATTACCGTACGCCTGAGACGCGTCCCATAGCATAACGCCTCCGAAAGATGAATATTCGGCCATTGTTTCCTGGATGATTGGGGTAAACGTCGATGGACTGACATATCCGGATCCAGCTGCGCTCGATGATGCTGGGGCACCAATATAAACTTTGACATCTGGATTAGGGGATACCGTATGAGCCCAATTGTCCCTGTGCTTTGGTCAGGCGAAGAAAACTTCGGTCAGTCAAAGTGAGATCGTATACCATGTTGCAAAGTCCCAAGCCTACAGTTCACATTGTTAGTCGATTATAACAATCGGCCTATGGGATGCTCACATTCGGGTTATTATAATTCGTCAATCCGCAGTAGTTGTTATCTACAAGCGTGTGAGACGCAAACTAAAGCTGAAAATATCACTCACAAAACTGGACATATACAGCATCAAATCCAAACTCGTTCAGAGTAGTTCCAATGTAGGCATCGGGGTAAGGACATTGAGGCGCTGATAAATCTCACAGTATTAGTAATAGTCATCGTGTGAAGCATCAGGAACCGAACCCGCAGTGATGTAGTACCTATGAAAAGGCTGTTAGAAAGCAAACAAAAAGCCTGTGGGACGACGTACGGCTTACTGCCACCATCCATCAGGGTACGAAGGGCAGACAAGAAAGATACAAATCCAGTCTGAGAGCCACCTTCGATGTCCATATCAATGCTGGATCTAAGGTCAGATCGTACATTCTTAGTAAGAGGTTGATGCATTATTACCCGTCCAAAATGGCGGACCCGAAAGGACGCATGCTGCTCGAACCTCCCAGGAAAAGATCCCAGATTGTCTGTGCATATGCCGCTGCTTCGGTGTCATTTGCAAAGCCATTAGAGCCTGTTGCTCCTCCCAATGAGATCGTCACGATTTTTCCTGCAGCTTGACAAGTCTCGATGCCTGATGCGAGGAATGAGCAATTGAGGAGGTTTGTCCCTGGAAAAAGAGAATTATCGCCTGTGTTGCAAGTCTGTTGCAAGGTTAGGTAGGTTCGGGCAATCAGAAACGAGAACTTGCATTTGCAAGGTCGATGGATGGGAGATTGTCTGTCGAGTAGAACTCGTCTAGAAAGGCTATCGGGAAGGTGTCGATTATGGCGTCCTGCAATTAAGACATGAGGCAATTTTTCCAGTGTAATATGGGATTAGGCCAACATTGCAATAATAAGAGATGGGCTGCTGCCATTGTGCGGTATTGTCCGGATTGACAGCTCCATATGAGTTCTGACCCCAATACCTGCAACCCGTAGGTCGTTGGTAATGGAGAAATGTGTATTATGCTCGTGATCTACTCACACAGCCAGCTAGTCGAAATTGTCAATCACGCGTCAGGAAACAGGAAGACTAACTGACATTCTGATTTGATGACATGTCAAACGCCGCAACAGTGCGGGTAACGAACCAGAGAAACGGCATATATGTCAGGGTGGATTTGGAGAACATCGCGATTATCTTCGTTGCAGTAGAATAGGGATAGTAGGATGGGGAACGATGACAGACAACATATTATTGCACAAGACCACTTTCTCTTTATGCAGCACGGAATGCAGATGCGATGGCAGATAAAAGTCTCAACGAACCTGATACGGAAAGGGTTATGCTTCATGGTAGTTGGACTGCAACGATTGTGCCTGCGATATCGGCGATGAACAACTCAGCTGAACCATTCGGGGCAGCTGAGGCTTGCTCACACAGGAGTTGAGTCGCATGTCGATTGGATGAAAAAGGAGTTCTGTTTAACCATCCATGTGGTACGACCAAGAACGACTGGAGAGATGTGAGTGTCCAATGGAGGCTACCTGCTGAATTTTGGTTACCTCTGTGACATCCAAGAATGTAACATCTAGCGCTTGACGCGCCTTTGGCTACGGCACTGGAGGAGTGGCATCCACGGTGCTTAGTTAAGGGATTTCTTCTCTAGTGATTTCCCCTAAAAATACACGAGGCAAGGACGACGTACCTTGGGGAATCTATGAGGCCCCCTTCGTCACGTCATGACTTAGTATAGGCTGGGACCACCAACTATAGCTGTTAGAGCCTAGTATATCAAGCCTAGTAATTTCCCTGTTGGCAAATCCGAACCAGCTACAAGTTGAACATCCGATGCACATGGTATGACCACGAAATACTTCCGACGCGTATCAGAAGATCCGAGGAGTGCTCCTATAGGACCCATAATGGAAGTACGTAGAGATGTTGTGGAAACGCCAACTGCCAGTATCGTGGTCAAAACGATCTTCTCGGACTGCCGCCACTTGGGCTGAGCGCCTAGTACTTGATGGAGTCGATATAAATCGGGAGGTTGCATACAATCGGTAAACCATCAGGTACCACCTCTAAATTTGGTCAACGTGCTCGTGCCGGTCGAGCGTGTGCGTGATTCACAGCGTGAGCTGGGTGAAGCTCTTAGCACCTAAATCTACTTATGTAGGTCTGTTACGAAGATTTAAACCTGTTAAAATGACTTACTACTATCCCAGCCCCACCTATCGGATGAGAGTATGAGTCAAGTAGTACCTGTTTGCCTTGCCAAACAACAACTTACTCATCATTCTATTCTTATGCTTACATGTACACACTATAAGTACTGTGCTCTCTGCAGAGAACGGTAAGAATTTAAAACCGAGCTAGTGACGTATCTAACATATATAAGCACGGAACGATTGGTCCTGCGGACGCAATCCGTGTCTGCACTCCATGTGTCTTCTGAGCTCCGAGTTCACATGCGATCGCTCATTTCTCTTGAGCTAACTATTATTACTTCTGTTCTTTCACCGCTGCGGCGGCAATACAACGAAACATATCCGTCGAAAACGGATAGTACGAAAGGCGCGAGTGGGTATGGCACCGTCGGAAGATTCGGAGAGATTCATTGCCTGCCTCGCATCGGCGGCCCTCAGTCACCTTCTCTTTCAATCCCACGCGTTCTAGTTGGACGTAAATCGCAAACAGTTTCAACCCTTGCGACCTGCTTACTACGCGACGACATACAACGGATATCCGAGTCAAGGACTGACGCTCCAGAAAGCTGTGCTTAGCTTGACCTGCGCAGTGTGCACAGATTCGTTCGCAAACGAACAACTTTACATCGCACTTTCGGATGTCGAACATCCGAACGTTATTTGTAAGAGAAGAGGAAAATAAAACAGAAAACAGACATCTCCGATTATTGTATACTAATAGTGAACGTCTGAAGGTGAACGTATCACTTGTTGTATCATATTTCAATTGATGCTACTTGAGTCAGAGATGTTATCGTCATGACTGCGAGCTTGCTGCGAGCTCAAGCTATGCCTAATTATAATTTGCCAAACGAATGGCTGAGTGTGATTTAAAGTTTATACTTCGGTCCGCGTAGCCTAGCGAGCCGAGAGCGCTTTCACGTCTTTCCGCCATCATGATATGTAACCCGAGTCTCGGACTGCACTCAAACCACCTATCCGTGTTTAGCTAGGAACTTGAAGGAACACCGTAACAAGGTCTAGAAGACGTTCGCGATGCACTCGTGGAGTAGTGGAAGCTTTGCTGATGAACCAATCCAAGCCTTGCGGCACGTCCAAACTTGATTGGCATCCAGATTGTATAACTTTGGTTGGCAGTTGTTCAAGTAGGGGATCGGGCTTGCAATTGGAAAAGAACCCTGGTTCAACGTTCAACATCATTACTCCTTGTTCTACAATTCCTTGAAGTTTTTTTCCAGCATTTTGAATCACGAATCAAAAATGGACTGTGAAACTATCATAGTGAGTGGGTTCGCTCAGCGTGCGTCAAGGTAATCATGGCCTTCTAGACTGTGTATGAATCGTCAGATGAGGAGGACCAGTCCGCTCAACCATTAGAAAAACACCTTAGAGAGAAACTTTCCATTTCGCAGGAGATAACGCCTCGAGCACCTAGAGTGGATGCGCGTTTACAAAGACGTGTGTCGCATGACGAGGAGATGCACGAGATCGCCGAAGGTACAGTGTTGAGTTTGCTCAAATGAATATATCATTCACGCCCTCACAGTGGCTCAAATGTGTAGGTGACCTTTCCTTGCTAATCCGCACTTTATTCTTAGTATCGTCCAAACCAGCGGTAGAGTCAGACTGTGATTCCAGGTCGGTACCGTCGACCAACCAATGTTAGACGTTCTCAAGTCGCACGACCTCGATGTCGTCCGTTGGATCCATGGGCCTGAAGCGTGCACCAGACTGCTCGTTGCCTCCCTCACCGGCGGCTACATGCGAAGTCTCGCCGTGCACACCAGTTGTAAGTCATATTTTTTTTTCCACTTAACGTGTTCTCACAATACTGCAGGTGAATCTTCCACAAGTCGGGAAAAGTCGAAAATGGAGTCCCTTCGAGCTCGGTGTCGAATTAGATATCGTCAACATTGCTCACTGCGAGAAGGCTCAGCTAGTTCTTGATCGACATGAACTCGCATGGGGAACGATTTTCGAACTGGCACGAGGTGTCACCCGTGGCATGTGGACATTCCAAGACATGACGGAGCACCGTCTACGAAAACTCGAAGGTACGAATGCTCAATCTGCCTGGAAAGTCGCTACCGTCATGGCAGACAAAGAGCCATCTGGGATGGGGGCGCCATCAGAACTTTGGTATTAGCTTCATTCGCCTCAAAAATCGCGAGCTAAATTTGATTTAAAGGCTCGAATACGATCGAGAGCAGCTCGCGATCGTCGAAAACAAAGGTCGCGGTTTGGGAACTATGGGGCAGTGGGAGGGAAAAGACTATTGGTACGGAGGGAAGATCCAGCAAGTTGCCCGTGTCGTGAAAGCTGGAACGTCTTTCAAACTCGAACTCGAGAAACCAGAGATTCGGAGATCACATCGATTTTCTCGGTTCTTGGGGTCTCGGCGCATCCTTCAAGCCCGCGTGCCAGATAACCTTACCTATGGTAAAGTCGGCTCGGATCTTCGGGAATTCTTCATATCAAGTAAATTCGTATTGTGTGGCCGCGTCTTCGTACCCTTCCATGCTAAGGAAGGGAGCGTGTACCTTTTTGAAACGAACCAGAACATTGATCGGCAAACAAACCTTAGCGAGGGCGACGGTCACAGACTGACACTCTACCAGTTTGTTAAGTGGCATAATCCTCCGAGGTTGAATTCGATGCAGGTGACTACGTTTTTGTCCACATTATGCAGCCCTGACGCGTTCCCTGAATAGCCTATCAGCAAGTGGTCTACAAGATGGGCGCTCGGCCTATCAACATCGATACCAACAATTGAATTTTCTCCAGAAAACATATCTTTCATCGATGACCAATGTAGCATTTTCTCTAGCTCCTAAACTATGAGATACTGACTGCTCGCGTATTGTAGATGCTATGGACTGGGACGAGGGAAAGCCGCCGGCGGAAAAAATCATGACTGATGGGTGTGGTTATATCAGTGGTGCGGCCTTGACGGCCATCAAGCGCGTCATGAAGTATTCAAGTAGGCCGACCGCCGTACAAGGACGCATTGCCGGTGCCAAGGGGATGTGGGTTCTGCACCCATATCCTGCACATCAAACCCACGATGGACCACTGAAAATTTGGATACGTGACTCACAGAATAAGATCAAGATTGGCTCGCTACACAAGGTCGATAGTGCGCATAGGATTTTCGACCTCCTTGCGCCATCTCGGGTAACCGGGCCAAGCCGTCTGTCGAGCCAGACACTTGTCAACTTGGCACATGGTCATGTTCCCTTTTCTATTCTGAAGGATCTCATGGCAGATGGGCTTCACGAGGAAGTCCGTCAACTGACGGAATGGAGTGGACCGGACAGCATGCTTATGGTCTGGCGAGCTGTAGAACAAGCTGGCCGTGTCGTAACATCAAGACTGCGGCGGCGCATTGCTGGTCAGGCACGAGCACTTGGTCTTGGCCAACTCCGACCCCACGAGGAGCTCGCTGGCGGAATTGATGGTTCTGACGATGTTGCAGTAAACCCATCACTGCATGACTCGGTTAATCAGGGCCGCAATCCTCACAGCGGTGAACCACTGACTCTACACGAGTCTGTCCTTGAACTACTGCAGGCCGGTTTTCATCCTCTCAAGCTTGACCGACTTTTTTACAAACTTGAGTACGTGGTGACCCAAGTCCTCGATGACTACATCAAGAAATTCCACATTCCAGTCGAGGAGTCCCTGGAAGCATATATCATACCGGGCGAGTAGCTTCTTCCGTAATCATTTTTAGCTCATCTAGCAGCAGATCCATATGGGGTCCTCGAGGAGGGGCAAATCCATTTTTGCTCTTCCGAATTAATCACTGACCCCGAAAGCGGAGCCCGGATGAATACTGTGACTGGGCCTGTTTTGGTGATCACTTCAGTCCATTGCAATGAACTGTCCTGATGCGTTGATAAACAGGTGTGGAGGAATCCCACAAGACTTCCCTCCGATGTCCAGAAGGTAAGGAAACCAATACCTCGTTGGATGATCTTATCAAATATGGATCAGGTCACTGCTGTCAGCCACCCAAAATTGGATGAATACTTCGATGTCATCGTGTTCCCTGTGAAGGGAAAGCGCTCATTGGCAAGCTACTTGGGTGGAGGAGGTGGGCACTTACTTCCACCCTCATTTTCTGGGCATCGGCTGACGTGTTCATTCTGTAGATTATGATGGAGGTGAGTTTATGTCACTTGTATTGTGTCATTCAATAATTGTTTTCAAAGACACGGTCACGTTGGTCTGGTCCAAACGGCTTGTCGAAAACTTCAATACCGCTCCACTGTGTATGGCGCCTGCAGGTTTGGGTGACGACTTTGAGCGAGAAGTTGAACAGGTTGAGAAATTTAAAGAACGAATATCCAATCTCTCCCCAAAGGAGGCTCAAACCGCGTTCCAGAAGGCCCTCCTTCTTGGACTCGCAGAAACAAAAATCGGATTGTATTCGAAGTTTCATGACCTCGCCGTGTATGAGCGCGGCTATGCAAGTGCCGCCGCCATTCGACTGGCATACATGTGAGAATTTTCAGTCTATTGCTATGGTACTTGCCTTATGTTGTGCGGTGTAGGTTCACTACCTGCCTCGATGCGAGCAAGACGGGGCTCTAGGTTAAACGCCGTGTCTTCGAAGAAGATCGCAAAAATAACGGAAAACGTAAACCGTACTACATGGCCGCACTCGAACAGAACACCGAGGGCCAAGAGGTTTCGAAACGCAAGGGCTCGACGCCCTACCTTCTCGACGCCCTTGTTGACGAGGGCCGTCGTCTCCGCAACAATTTCCTCAAACAGTATTCCGTCCTCCGGAATTCTTCCACCAGTGCTGTAGACCACGACCTCACTTTACCTTACCTTCGTGCGTCTCGTAGGGCAGCGGAAGCTTTGCAAGACGGTTTCCACGTTCTGCAAGACAACTTGAGCGTTGTCCAAGCCCATGTCAAGGAAGCACATGGCAAGTGGCAGGCCGCCGTTTCTCTCCAGAAGAAGGCTTCAGAAGGGAGGGGGTCTTCGGATCCCAAGACACAAGCGATCCAAAAGTCAGTACAACGCTTTGCACGGTGGCCAGACTCGAAGAAGATATTATTTTTTTCTGACGAGGGTCGCAAAACTATCATGGCATCCTATGCATACACTCTTAGTGGTTCGTTCGGCTTCTCCGTTGCCTTCGCAGAGCTCTGCGCCATCAAGGCACGAGCTCAAGGTGCTGTGCTTTTTGCAGATAGATTTGCAGACGTGATGTGCATACCTAACAATACCCTACGTGCCCTTTCACAAGCACAGGATGACGCGGATGAGTGAAATTTTGCATCTCTATCCGTCATACTTCACCACATAGCACACCCTTACCTCCACCATATTTTGATTACACTATCTCGATTTGTTAGCCACTATTATACACCTCAGGATCCCTCAACGATCCTTAACCCTACTAGTAGTAGTAATTGCAGTCACCAGGCTCCAGCAGAAGCCGTGTTTATCGACACCCCACGACGTCGCGTGAACGCTAGGCTGGGCCTTGTTTGACTAGCCTATGGGTACTAGTATGGGTCGCCATTATTTCAGATACCAGCTGTATGTCCTGTCGGACTGATTTCTAAGATCCATTGGTCAAAATTGAGATAAACGCAGCGCGAACGCACCTTCAGGTAAGTACACCATCGTATAACAACCACTTTGCCGTTCGAACATGACCGCTAAGATGAGTTGGAGCCTCAGGTGATGAGATATTCACCCGCTGCCACCGTTATCTTGGGCATATGTTCGATCGGAATCGCACTATTGCTGTCGGTTCGATTTCAACATCGAGGCGATCAGGTCGCATATGGATCATGAATTAGTCAATGCCTCGCTTCCGCAGTTTGCTGATCAACCGTCTTTTGCGTCAGAATCGCTTCATCTGTGTTACTCCCCAACCCGCACTTCCCGCTACCGCGGCTGGTCGTGAGTCTAGACGTTGGCCTAAATTACGTAAAGCCTTCGCAGAGATGATTCTCTTCTTAGTTGTCGAACTCACTCATCCGAGTCGTGACTAGGTCGAAATTCTCACTCACCTACGACAAGGCTCCAACCCCACTAAGTAGTCTTCTTCCGCGCTTACATGACAACAATGCCGACAGTCATGCTTTTGTAAGTGAGATTTGGGGCTTTTCCGAGGAGAAATATGGTGAAGGTGATAACAATCGCAGACATTGAAGGTCGCGATCGGCCATTGCAAACTTCCAAGCCAAAGGTGAAGATATCCATAACAATTCAGACAAAGGCAATGAAGATTCTGTGTACTGCAGTGTCAATCACGCACGCAGACTTATTTGATTTGTTTAAGTATCCTATCATATGTGAATCGTGACCCTCAATTTCGACATCGCTGATCTACGAGAACTACAGATACCTGAGAATGTTCACTGACGTTGAAACCACCTAGAAGTTGTTGACCTTTGAGAGCATAGTTAGGGAGAAATTTACTAGGACGTTGGTACCCCTGGCGATGGGGAGAAACCATTGAGGTATGCAGTCGAGCACGAATGACTGTCAGTCTTCTTCTTGGGTGATATTGCGCGTTTCTGTTAGGTGTTGATCGCGAATTCGTTTGTTGACCAGATCCTCATCTGATGTTAAAGCGTGTTTGACTGCTATGTCATAGCGATGATTGGCTGAGGTAGTGGAATTATGGAAGGTTATGAAGACAAGGGAGGTTCGACGCACCATACGCGTCTGATATATCCCATAACATGACCCCTCCAAATGAAGAGTAATTGGACTGCGTTTGCTGAATTATTGACGTAATTTTTTTGGAATTGACATAGCCAGACCCTGCAGTGGATGACGCAGGAGCACCAATATAAACCTTAATATCAGGATTGGGTGAAACGTTGTTTGCCCAATCGTCCCTAATGAGGGTTAGGAAGTAGGACACGAACTGGCCCACGTCAGTACACACCAAGCGGCAAAGTTCCAGTCCTGTGCTCAACGACCCTATTGAGGAATAGTACTGGACAGAAGCATCGCAACTTACATCACGATTGTTGTAATGCTTTAGATCACAATAGTTATTATCTGTGAGTGATTATCAACCACAAAAACAGCGAGACGGTCAAGAAAAAGACGGACAGAACTGGACATATACTGCATCGAATCCCACTGAGTCGAGAGTGTCTCCGATATATTCGTCCGGGAAAGGACACTGAGGCGCTGGAACAAATTTCGGATATGAAAACCAATGAGTGTCGATTGAAAGCGTTTTGGCTTACCAGCAGTAATATAATACCTGCGAAAACGATATAAACCAATGCTCACACCAGAAGAAAAATAAACCTCACTTCTTCTTGCCTCGATCCATATGTTTGCGAAGCGCAGTCAAAAAGGAAACATAACCTGTCTGCGAACCACCCTCGATGTCCATGTCAATTCTGTCCTATGTTCAAAACAAAATTGAAGATGCGAAAAAGCCGACTGACCCGTCAAGAATCGCAGATCCAAAGGGACGTGTCTTGCTCTTTCCACCCAGGAAAAGATTCCATATTGTTTGCGCGTATGCGGTAGCCTGAGAGTCGCTTTGAAACTGGATATTTCCTGTTCCGCCACCAAGCGAGATGGTGACTGCCTTTCCCGCAGACTGGCACATTTCGATATCCGAGGCAAGAAAAGAGCAATTCAGCAATTCAGTGCCTGGAAAATAGTTAGCATTGCCTGAGTTGCAGATCTGCACATCAACTTGGAGTCAGCATGATCCCGGAAGGTCACGAACTACCCACATTTGCTAAGTCAATCGACGGGAGATTACCCTCCGCATAACTATCGACAAGGAAGGCAATTGGGAAGATATCAACGACATTGTCCTGAGAGACTCAGGGTCAAGTAGCAACTCGAGACTTCAGATAAAAGGAAATTAACCATGCAGTAGTATGAAAGTGTCTTCTGCCAGTGAGCAGTTTTATCGGGATGCGTGTCTCCATATGAATTCTGGCCCCAGTACCTGTGACATTTGGAGGTTTGTACCTGACCTTGTAGATAATATATATGACACTTACACAGCGAGCTAATGAGGAAAGGATTAATGGTCAGGATTGAGAAAAACACACGCAGCCTCACATTGTCGTTGGATAACATATTGAATGCAGTTATTCCGTGGGTCATAATGCCAAGAAGTAGAGACGATAGTGTAAGGCATGAAAAATCCGCAACAAGCATGATTGTCACGGTGCGAATGATAGGATGCAAAAGTTCGATGGTGAGCTGCAATCATGTATTGCAGGCTTTTATGCTGGGCCCAAGAATCCTCGTGTTACTTTCAGCTTAGAAGGGATAAGCTTCTGTCACAAAACCTACCAGCTTCTCTCTACGAAAACGGTGCGATTTCCCCCCAAACCGACACGAAGCGCAACTCGTGAAATAGGGACGACAGTTGCTGTTGGCAAGACATCAGTGCCATGCGATGCGTGCTCGAAACTACAGATACGCGGCTTTCCGTCCTTCTCGGATACATGTCTAGAAGATGGTGTTAGTCGCATTCAATATATACTTAGGGCATGTTACAAATTCAACTCTAGCCGGTTGCTCACCGAGGACTTCAGCTGACTCAACGCCCAGCAAGTCGCTAGCACAGCGTCTTGTAACGCAAGCGGATCGATAGAGGTTGCATCAGATGTCCGATTTAAAATGTTCTGGCTCTCAGGTGGCCATAGTGAGAGCTGGTTCAATATGAAAACCAGTGGTAGAAGATTAATACTTCTGCATGCCTTCAGTCAGTTATAGATAACTATTTTCCAAGAGTATAACAAGATTCGGAACCTGGAAGCACGAATATGATCAGGAAATCGCCATATTGTCGCTTACATCGATCAATTACATGACTTGCTTTAGAGCTCGTCGGGTGCGCACTGTTCGGGATGGGCCAGTCGCCAGCGTGACGATTGAATTGAATCTAGCCAGGTTGCCGTACATGGTGCACGATGCTTTGATGACAGTAAGCACCGTGAAGTGTGTGCCTGATCTAAAGTTCTCTTCAAGTTCTCTTCCATTTTGTCTCGTTGATTTCTTACCTAAACCCTAAACTGTTCCACTGCCACGTGCGCCACCGCTCGCGACCCGGTGGCTGCAGCCTGGCGCTTGTTGATCCCCACCTCATGTGCGCTGCACGCCGAACACACGTTGTCAAAGCTTCAAATAGGAATAGGAATGGCGCTACGCATTTGACTCAGACTCGGACCAACAACAAAAAGAAGCGTTCAGCGCTCACCCTCAGGAGCACCGACAACTATATGATTGTGGCGCCGTGCAAGTTAGCCAATCGTACTAAGCCACACAGTTTGGTCACAGTGGACAGGATGCTTTTTGCTAGGTATAAGTCCTTCCTCCTCTCCTTCACCCTCACGCTCATTTCTAATGAGCCACTTCCTCACAACCAATGTCGGTGGCTTCTTCGGAAACCCCGAACCAGAAATGTGAGCTTAGCGAGCGTATTCTCACTCTTCTGCGCATATCGATATCGACACGAAGCACCGAGAATCGTACCTTCTTGAGGAGTCGTACAAGAGTTTGGTGGAAGATATATTGCGATTGAGAGATTCGATGCTTCCTGCGTGGTGTATTGCGTTTAGGGAATGAGGGATTACGCTCATTCTCATTGTGTTTGGTAAGTCGTTTTTTGGATATAGTTCCGCAGTCTTACTGCGAATAATTCATCGCGGATATTCCGCTGTTCTCATCATGGCTGTTTAGGACAAGCGCTAAAACAATTCAACCTGGATGAGAACAAGGTCTAAGTTTTTAAACTGCGTTATCAATCTTGACCGATGCCATGGAACAAACCTAGACAGGCAGGTGATTGATCATTGTCGTACTTTTACTAAGTACTCAGGCTAGCGCAGTGTTTTTCTATCAATTTCGAGTACATGGCACCGTACGCATTACTTCTAAAACAGAGTGATATGCATCCAGGGTAGGTATTTTCCAATATCACTCTTTGAATTCGTTGAAAATGATGTCAAGGCATGCATCAGATTCTGGACTGCCGATGCAAACGGGTATAGTCCAATACAGCAACATGTCACTGAGTCCTTCGCCGGGCTCGTAGTCTGCTGAAAGATCTTGCATGGTGAATTGAACGTCGGCACGTTTGATTATTGTCCCGCTCCAATACGGACCTGTTAATATGATAATCATGGTGTGTAATACAGATATTCGCAAGGGACAACTTACCTGCGGCAGAAATGGTCCGGATGGATTGCTTGTTTGTATCACTGAGAAAGAGATGCGCTGCTTGTTTTTTCAGATCATTTTGGGCTTTCGTCAACTGCTCCAAAACTTTCGCTTCCAGGTTATCACCTTCCACACCCCGGCTCACAGACCTCTTCACTTCCACGAGAAGCTCAACGCTCGCCTCAGCTATTTTCCACTCTTCACCATCCTTCTGTGGTGTAAGATGGATGATCGCAAAATCCACCACCACTTCCTTGGCATCCTTTTCAGGGACGGTTGACTTGGATAGGAAAGAGGAGTTAACCGCCCCACTCTCAACTTCGATGGTTCCCAAGTCATCCTGCTTTTTCTGGGTCGTTTCTACAATATCTTCGGGATCATCGCCTTCATCGAGCGACTCTTGGGATGCATGATTATCCACAAACCAAATAGGAAATTGGGGCGCCACGATCAATTTTGGCGCTTTTGCCACTAGATCGGAGAGTGTTTGAGCCCACAGTGGGTACCAGTAATGTTCGAGGTTGCGAGTATTGAACTTGCGAGAAAATGCATAGGACGTCCCCAGGAAAGTTTTGTCTGGGAGAGATTCCATCACGAAGCAGTATGTATGTGGTTGGTTTGGCAAATGACGGCGACCAATATGTTATATATACTATTGACACTACGTCGTACGGACTTTGATTTCTTGCGAGGAACAAATCAAGGATGGGTTTAGAGAAACTCAGGTCAGGCCCTTTAGAGGGGCCTGGGCCTGTAAAATATCCAGGCCAGGGGCTGAGCGCTGAGGACCTGAGGACATGCCCTTATGCATGCGCATCACTACACAAAGATCACGGAAAAGAATATTCCCGACTCCCACGTTAGCGCGATCGCAAGGGGGCTTTGTCGAACGCAAAACGTTCCCATCACTAAGACTCGACTTGTTACAGCACCATAGCCGTACATATCACTGACCAAGAGTAACTGCAAAAGTTAACGAGTAGTTATGTGGTGAGCCGTCGCACTTGTAACAGTGTAATACGTTACACAAATCCTTCCGTTTGCCCCCCTACCACGTACTTGCCTGTGGTTCAAGGTCTCGACCCCAGCACTCTGGTCCCTGTCAGACAGGTTACGGGAACATGTAAGTATTTCATATCTAAATGATATTGATATGTACGTATGGCAAGGAGTCATTCTGCGACCTCCACGGATCACGGTGAGACCGCCATGCCGCTCCCTTCTCATCGAAAGGTCCCAGAATCTTGTTATCCTCTGTGTTACTTACTCTGATATGGTGCAAGTTTTGTCAACACGTCTTCCTCTAATATATATCTCATTCTACTTCTTCTGGCTTGGACGTCAGTATCTGGTCATTTTCCTCACGGATTGTAAGTACTAGATTCATCCTCTCATATCACATCGTTGGCATGTTTTCCTGGAAAGCACTCAGCACGATCTGGCGCTGGGCTGCGGTAGGGCTGGAACACATGTTGTAATATGGGCCTTACCCGCCTTCATATTCTCCACTTTACCCCTGCGAAAGCCGCAAGTTACTCAAGAAGCGCCAAATTCAAAACATGCCCACTCTATGATTGAAAGACTCGCACCGCATTGATTCCATCTGGGGCTCAGCCTTAAGCTTCAGCCCCAGCTAAAACCTACAAGTGATGGAGCGTGAGATAACCTGAGCAGCGGTGATCACCACCAGCCACGATCCTCACCACAGAAAATGAGCAGATTTCACCACAGGCCACGGAAACTCGACGTGGCATGGCATGGCAGGCCGTGGTGGATGGTGGTCATTGTCGAGGAGGTGAGATGGGAGGGTGGACGTCTGGTGCTGTGTTGGGAATGTTCCCAAAGTCGTCATAATCAGCTAGATGGTTCTCCTGCAGAATTCGCAAGTTATTGTAGTAAAACTACATACAAGAGCAACAAGACGAACCTCTAGATTAGGATCATCATCCTGCTCATCCTGCTGGACAAGTTGTGGGTCCTGATCCAGAGATAGAGACCTTCGAATATCTGACGTGCCACCAGTAGAACGGCCTTGGGAAGCACGCTGCACAGCAGAGCTGGCCATGCCAGCATGTGTTCTTTTCTCCTTGAGAGAACGTGTCCCCTTCGTATCAGGACCTCGAAATCCTGCATGTCGTCTCCACGTTCCATAAGGTACTTCGCGCAGCTGGCCCTTGCATAGTCTCTCGCAATCGCAGTGATATTTTTTGGTGTCGTCTGCAGAGGAGTTGGGTGCTTTGGGCATGGTATGGACAAAGGTATGTCTTGCTAACACGAGACGCTGACAGAACGCAGGTCACAGATAAGTTTTGTGACCTGCGCTTTACCTGCGTTTCGTGTGTTAGAGTAAACAGAGCAAATCGTGATAAAAATGATAAATGACTTTGACAACATAGCGAAACAGAAACAAGTCACATGACAGGAAGGTAAAATCAATGAAATTGGTTTCCTATTTTTTGGAATGAGCATATTTCACGTTCTATCACTATCTATCTCGTCTGACCAGGTTTCGCAAATTATCCTCACGTCTGGCCACTGTCAGCCACGCTCCATCACTTGTAGGTTTTCACTGGGCTTCAGCCTCCACCCTCCTAGGAGCAACTCGGATGGCGAGGAGTAATTCATGAATCACTGGTACCATCAGCAATATCGTATGCAGTATTGTTTTTGGTGAAACGAGAAGTACTTAGTTTAGCTATCATCGTCCTGGTATGAAGGGCCCTCACTTCAAGCAAGTGCCCCCTAATTGAAATTGACCCTAGCAACAACACGTTTGCAGATATTCAATAATTGGTACTTGAATAAAATACTAAATTCGTAGCGCGGAGGAAATCTTGAAAAGGAGCCCAGGACATCATTATCATAAGTCATGAATGTAAACCAGAACAAAAACATATCTGGGTTTGGTACGTTAGCGTCGTCATAGCTCATGCACCAAGTGCCCATCTGCAAGATTATTGAGCTTGTCCTCTTCCTTGTCGAGCTTACGAACGGCGATCCAAAACAGGAGGCCACCAACGCCCGCAAGGATGGCGCTGACAGCATAGTTCCATACGAGTAGTGGATCTATCGAGAGTGCTATAGCATTGTGTGAGAGTACGTTCGCAGACAGACAAACAACGGTGACGTACAGACGAAGGCCTCGCCAATGGCAGCTGAGATTGCAGTCATGAAGAGGAACACAGACATGACCAAACTACGCATGTTCGTGGGTGCTTTGGTAAATGCATACTCGAGACCCGTGATCGATGCAAAAATTTCAGAGAAGGCGATGAGCACATATCTATATGCACCATCAACATCTATTCACAAAGAGGGTGTAAACTTGAGAAAGTAACTCACGAGCCACTCTGAATCCACACATTCAGCGGGGAAACAAGTGGGTCCCCATTCGCGTCCTCGCAGGTTGAAGCGTGGTGCCCACAAGGGTTTGTCTTGTAGATATAGTATTGCAGAACGGCGGCCCAAATCATTGACGCAGCTGCTGTGGCGAAACCCCAAGCAATTTTCTTCAGAGATGTGAACTGAATACCGGCCCGTGCAAGTGCTGGGTATATCTGTTATTGTCATAATGAGACTAGGGAAATAATGTTCCTTCACGATACTTACCACCAAATCACATATCGGGATAAAAATAATGAGTGCCAAGGGATCGAGATTAGACAGAACGTCATTAGGTAGGCCGTTGGTGGTCATTGTTGCAGCTTGTGAGATTAAATTATTATTGAGTTGATTGTAGCAGAGCCCTGTAAGGCGTAAAATAAGCTACATAGGAAGCAATATAGAGGATTAAGTACGGAGAACTCACAGTAAAGCGGGAACCAGACGAACACGCTGCAAGCTTTGAAACCGCGACGGACCTCGTCAACCCACTGATCGTCAAAGGTCATCCATCCAGGCTTCTCGCCGGCCTGCTTAGAAGGCTTGGCACTTTCCCAGAAGTCATCAGAGGTAAGATTTTTGATGGTCTTGCGTGGATTCCACGACCATCGTCCGCGCTGGGCATACCGCCAGATGCGCAGCGCTGTCGGAAGAACAGAGCCTTGCGGTGGAGATCTGCGATAACGATTACGGCCATACCAAAGGACCAGAGGAGAGATACAGAAAACTGCAGTGGGCAATGTGTAGGCCAGCCAGAATCCAACAAACTGGAACACCGTATTAGATAATTCAGGATCTCATTTAGAAACGCACCTTTTCCGCATAAACCATTCCGATCTGACCAACGAGAGCACCGATGTTGATAAAAAGGTAGAAATACTGCGGGTAGTGTTAGTAGCAGCTGGAAATGTGCGTTGAACTCAGCCTACCATATAGATTCTCGTAGTGGTCATGGCCGGGTCAACGATGACGCGCTCGCCCGAACTAGTCGTAGTGATGTAACATTTTTTTATTCGATATTGCTCTGCAACCAAAGGGGAGACATTCGACTTAAAGCCGCCGGTGCCAGTGCTGGTGATAATCATGGATAGGATAAATACACCAAGTGATGCACGACCGCCTATGATGCCAGGAATTGAAGAGATGATCATGATGATGTGGCCCAACATGGCAACAACGACACTCCAGCAGATTGTCTTGTAACGACCCCAGTAGGTATCGGCAATGTAGGCGCCGGCAATCGGACAGATGTAAGCCCTAATGAAACCGCGATCAAGGGACTACAACATATAAGGAAAAATACACGAACCAGAACTGATAGAACGTGGTAAGTCCTGTAGACATTTGTTGACCGGCGCCAAGGGCACCAGATTGGCCATTTTCACCACCTGCACCGGTACGGGAGAAAGGAGGAAGAGGTTGCTGGATGTAGTTGGTCTGCAGGAGATAGACGTTCGTATGAATGATTCATTGAAAAGTGATTGAATACTCACGAAAACAACACTAGAGCCTTTGAAAGTGACATTAAAATTGGCACGATGTAATAGCGATCAAGGTGTGTAACATACCATAGTACTGAAAAGCAAGTTAAAATGAGCATTCATGATATGACACGACAAGATAAACTCACAGAGAATCGTTCCGCAAGCTCCACGAAAGCGATCACTGCGAAATTAATGTGGACTTTAATGGGCTACATCTGCATAAAGAAACAACTCACGATATGCATTCCATGGAATTGCATCAGATACACGTCTGAGAGTAAGCATCTCTTCGGCAGTGGGGAACGGTAAGCCCTCGTAGATGCTGTCGTCATCGTCTTCCAAGGAATCAGCAACCATGCTCTCCAAGGGCTTTTTCTCTGCGCCATAAACAGGGCCACTATGCTGATTCGTACTAGCTTGGGCAAGAGCCACGACGAGATCACCATCTGCCATCCTGGGCGATTAGCCGCTCGTCTGGTGGGGGGCGGAGAGTAAAAGGTCGAAGTCGAGGCCTGAGTCGTGTAATCATGTCGTGAGGATTTGCTTTTATGAAGGCAAGTGCTTGGCCCAGAAGTAATCATATGGTTGTGTCACATGTGCTAAAGAGCTTATCATGTAATCATTTACACTCAATTCGGCTCATCTTCTTCTGATTCTGAACACGTGTTTTACATTTCGTGTACATGATCCGCATGTGCTTTAGCGTCTAAACGATGTCGATGAGCAGTTGAGCTTTTCAATCATTGCATTCTACCGCTGGATCCATGCAGGTGTATCAGCGAACGCCACGGTTATTCCCATGTCATTGTCACTTTACAAACTCTTCAATCAGAACCGGCGTCCGAGTTGCAGCCTTGCACCCATCATCAAAAAAGGATTCCACAGCAGTTGTGAGCTTGGCACCAACTCCCAGGCACTGGTCTTATCTTCGATCCATGTGACAGTATCAACGGCTGTGTGCATGCTCGTGTGCATGCCCAACGACTTCTCTCGGTCGCATCATTCCATCTTCAGTACCTTGGTGATTTGTGCCATCACGCTGCATGCTTCTTTTCCATGTGCCTGCGGTTCAATCACTGTCGTGAAATGAGGTTCTGAGGATCGTGTCTTCTTTGGAGAACCGGGTGATATTGGTATGCTCTCCTCCACCGACCGTATTGATGTCGATCAGGTCAATCAAGAACACTTTGTGTTCTATTAGATCACGGTCTCGAGCTCTCCGAGTCCGTCAGAGTCCTATACTACTCTGTAGTTGAACCAATACATTACTTGGTGTTCTAATAGAATTTTAATTGTTTTTATATGTATGATGAAACCTTTGAAATGAGCGGCCAAGGTAACAAGCAACAAAGAAATCAGGCGCTGACGAGTCAAGCGGACGCATTTATTTCCGATGGCGCCGCGACAATAGGGTGAGCACCATACTTGAGCCGCCCATATCTGTCTTCCTCCACTGCTAGGAGAGTACTTTGGGCGTACCGCACCATCACACTTTAGGTTAAACAACGTTTCCGGTCATTCGCACTAATGAACACTTCCGAACTAGCTACTAGGCTCGTTCGCCGTATAATGACACGAGATTCTTCCGCTACTGCTAAACATGCTGACTCTGGTGGATGCGGTTAGCCGCCCATGCCCAAATCGCACCATCATGGCATCAGTTGACAACAACCGTCTGATAGGATGTAGATGTGTGTATGTGCAACGCCCAAAGTTCTATGCAAGCGAGTGTCTAGTTGTGTAAGTAAGCGTACGGTCGTGCTCGTTTAAGTAATGGAATGGATAAGATATGAGCCGTCAAATAGTCCCGGTCAGTAATAGATGCATGACGAAATAACGTTAGCTTAGTATAAGTCCTGTTGGATCAGGGGGATGGATCGGAAAACAGCTCGAGCTAGCTTAGCACCCGCCAGAATACTATAAGGAATGTGAACCACCATATCAGTCAAAACTCAAGGACGACGCACCAAGCTGTTTTGCGGTTTTGGATAATTCCATGACGTGAGGTTGGGATCTGGTGGTGGTATCCATCAGTACCATCTTCGAAAGGTCGGTAAGTTTTACGAACTCATATACGAATCCATATGTCGGTTAATATAGTCATCCGTAGGGAAGTCTGCGGGGCTGCACCCAACATTCGTCTGCCCTCGCCGTTGATACACACGAACGTAGTCAACAAGCATCTCAGCAGGGAAGATCATCGTGCTTGTGTCAATCGTCTGCCAACCCGCTGGAAAGAACGTACGTAAGTAAGTATTTCTGCGAGGAAGAAAACTGAACACACGTGAGATACCCAAGTTAAGGACAATGGACTAGTTGGATGCGTCAGGCGGAATGACACGGGGAAAGACGAAGACAGACCATTGGTTCTACGGAGATCAGTCGCTGCGACACGCCTGTGCCTTCTGGTAACGGATCGGGACCAAGTGCTGCGGCGCCAACACGGGCGGACTCGACACCGGCAGTCTGCCATGTGATATACCCATCTGAAGGATTTGAGGGATCCGACCAATACTCGAAGCCTGAAAGATGTCAGACAACTAGGAGGTTGGATTCGTAAAATCGCTTACCAAAAGTCGTGAACTGCGCGCCAGATTCTTGGAAAATATCATCAGGAAGAAGCGTTAAGGCAGATACTGCTTGTTGGCTGGTGGCAGAAGAGATGTCAGTCCCAAAGGAAACAACAACCAGCCATGTAATGTGGAGACCACAAATCACAATGCAAATGCCACTCACACTGCACTCCCGAGATACGGATTCGCATTGGTGATACTAGGTGTGTTGATAAACCATTCGTCCTGGGTGGCATTGAGATAGATGTAATCGTGCGAGAAGGGTGCAAACTGGCCGGACTGCGAGACAACCTGTCCCGAGCCCACCTTATTATGCTCGACCTCGAGAATATCAATTTCAGGGGCACCACGACCAACATTTACGGATGGCCCGGGATGATCTTCTCCTGGGCAGGTGCATGACCTGGATAGAGTATTAGTGGTGTGCGTGTCCAATGTTGAGCGTGAATAGTGGGTATGTGCGCCAGCAAGGAGGGGCAAATACAAAAACAAACGTTGGAGAAGAAGTCGGGTACGACTTACGAGAGGCGTTGTCCCGGCAACCATGATAGTTCATAATTGTACTTGGCCTTCGAGGCATCTGACTGGAGAGCAGCAGCAGGCCCAGAACCATCCGGCTCTGTCTGGTTCGGGAAAGTGCCAACATCACAAGAGTCATAGCTGAAGTAGAGTAAGTACCTGAATCGGCGTTCAAACAATTGAACTCACGAGTAAGGCCAAACGCCGTCTGTAGTCGCACCGTATCCCGGACGCGCAAGATTACCCATCGTCCATGCACCCGGCCACTAAATCAATCCATTAATCAGTACTAGACATCCCGAACCACTCCTGTTGAGAGGCATGCTCAACGCCACAGCCACTCACATAACCCTGTGTCTCCTGGTTCGGCCCCGGTAAACTGATTGACACTTCAATATAGCCGCCCGTAAAACAAAACTTGTTCCAACTTTGGAGCATACCACTCCGATAAGGCAAGTCATTCTCAGGGATCTGGTCCATGACGATGCTGAGGTACCCATCCCTTGTTGTTATCTGGCCGGGGTCATACCACTCCTGATCGCCAGTACTCCCGTACCAGATGTTTACGGCTTCCCAAAAAGGATCATCTCCAGGCCAAAAAGTGCGGTTGTCTGTATTGAACTCGTCCGAGAAGACCAGTTCGTAAGGGAGGCCATCAAATCCCGTCCGCGTTGCAGCACTACTGGGCGTATCAGGATCGATGAGCTGTGCCATTTGAAATCTGGGCAGGAATACTATCAGTCTGGTAGTCCATATCATACGAAGGAAAATAGAACAGCAGAAAGATAGTGAAGTGGTGGGACGCACAGAAACGAAACCTGGCCGGTTTCATTGACGAGAACGTTGCCTGTAATAAAATCTCTCTGGGTGCTATCGCGATAATAACTGACAACGGGGTAGAGGATAAAGAGACATAAGAGGGCCAAAATGAGGATGGAGAGCACCCCAACATTGAGGATACCTCTGAGGGGAAAGACAGTGCTGCTGGAAGTATCATCACTAGGATCAAGGGCACCATCCTGATCTGGGTCGTCAAGGGCTGGGTCATAGACGTAGGGTACGAGAACACCACGTGGATTCCGAGCACCAGAAGGGTACTTGCTATCGTATGAAAGTGAGAAAGTGGAGTCTGCCGAGGTAGTGAGGACCGAATCGCGTTGAGGGAATGGCTTCGGTCCGGTCAATGGACCACTGTTGTCTTCTGCGGCTATACGATATAGTATCATTGAACCACGCTGACCAGAAGGAAGGGAGGCTATGTTGGATGCAGCGAGGACCTGGGAGTCCTCTGAAGCCACGCGGTTGAATTGCATGCTTTGGCGAGACTGCGAGCGATAACGCGGATTGGCTTGAGGAGACGAAATGGAGAATTTGGGGTTCAAGGGAGAGGATATATAGTTCAGGTTGGCATTATGGGATAAGGAACGTGTGGGCGTCTGTCTGGACTGAGGTGAATCTGGAGGGAGGAGGGGCATTTCAAAGTTGGACGAGCTGGGTGTTTGGGAGGATTGCATGTCCTGGGCGACTTCCGGATGTCGTGCTTCATCGCGGCCAACGTACGGAACTGTTTGGTCGTTGGTAGTATCGCGTGGACCGACCATGCGATCTTCACGTTGTGAATCGAAGAAGGTCGTTTCATGCCAAACAGAGTTGTTTGTGGAGTTATCCAAGGGCTCTTTTTCGCCGCTAGAGGAACTAGACCGTTCTGGCTCCATTGCACTAGTTGACGATCCACCGGAGGTTGTCGCTGCTCACGACGGCCTCAACGCAGTACTTGAGATGCCAAGGTAGCAAGTAAACGCCGCAGGATGCGGGAATACAAGTTGTGAGAACTGAGCGGCAGGTCCGTTCCTCGCCTCCACCCATGCTTTCTTACGGCTAGGCCAGATCGCTATCACATTACCCGCGCGTAAGGATAAGTTTATTTATGTAAATAAGCGAAGATGTACTCACTTTTATTAGTTCCTCGGCTTCCGTTGATGGACAAATGCTATGCATTCTTTTTCGGCTGACAGGTCCCGCAAAGAGCCAGGGCAATTTCTACTTGGCACCGAGTTGGTAAAGGATCCTGTAAGGTATGGCCGCTGGGATATCGCTCAATGGGTATGTGGTCAAGGGGGCGGGGTGGCTATAGAGGTGTGTTTTGTGCGTGTGATATTATTATTTTATTGAGCAGCTTCGAGATGCATCATGGTCTAGAGTCTTAGTCTAGACGCTGCCGCAGCTTCGAGGATAAGCGACATCATGATGACGACTGACTGGGCAGGGATAACGACTAGTCAGCATTTGATTTTCTCAGGCTGCCACAGCACTACTTTCATGCACCACTGTCATTTTGACAAGGACATGCACATGCACAAGGACTGCGGTGGCACGTCCGACATGTGACATGGCGCTATGCCAAGCCTTTCAAGTACCTGAATGTGCTTGTTCCATGGGTCGCGACCCTGCCTATGAGGAAGCTGGCTCATTCCCCTATGCAGCTCAAGGAATATGGTCGTTCGCTTCTCGCACAGAATCACACGGTCGACTTGGCCAGTGCCGTCATCAAAGTCTTCGTTCTAGAAGATGTCAAGTAGCCATGGAAGCTACCGTCGGCCACGATGACCGAAGCCATCCTTCTTGGGTCCCGCCGGTCAACCGCCCAGCGGCCTATATGCGATCGCTGGACTCCTGACAGATTTGACTTGGCAGGAGATTTGCCAAGCCACGTTTGGACGGACTTGGTCTGGTCGTTCGTGAGAAAGAAATTACTCGATGCCGTCGTCGTTCATGTCGGGATGTGACGCGTGACGACGCGAAGCGTAGTATACATTTGAACATTTGAACGTTCATGAACGCTTATATGGTTGTTTCTCCCTCAAGCGCTAGCTGTACTCGGAGTTGTAAGTACCCTGTCACCGTTCCGAAGTACTTTGTCCGAGTCTCCCGAATCTTGACAAGAACAAGGTACATGCATTAATTATAAAAAGCTACACCCGAAAAAATGTTTTGTAGGCTAGTTGCGAATTTGATCTTAGCACCGTACTAGTAGCACTACCCATGGACAGTTACGTGGAAGAACTCATGTGTATGCTGCTTTCTTCTCATGTCCCAACTTATATACGCGCTTATCCGCTGTAACGGCTTCCTCAGTACACACACTCACTGACTCGCAGCATTCGTTTCACAACACTGTCTCCTCACAGTTTGATTCTCGTCAGAGTCTACATATGTCATACTCAAAATAGTATGCGTTATGCATCGGTCATAGTGCGTCCTTGTCATCCTCGGCGCTTCCACTTGGCTTCGACTCGAACTCAATCATTCCTACAGGAATTCCTTGCTTGTTCTGCTTCGAGAATCGAGATGAACTCTGCAACATATTTGTACACCGATGGCTGTAAAATTTGCTGTGGGTTCTGCGTTCTGACTCGTCAGTGACATTGTAATAGGATCGGACTAACGTACCTGACACATCGGATATACCACCCACTATATGCGTCCTTGCGCCGATGTTGCACAGCCTTGCGCCATACTGCATGTTTTGCTACACAAATTACTGTGAGCGTTGGTCTCGAATATTACACTACAACGTTCGACAAAGACTTTCTAATTATTTTGCCTAGTGACCTGTCGTCTTCCGTGGTCTCAATGACGTGTACCTACCTCGTGAACATGCCTCATTTTTGCAATGATCCATTATGGGAATCTCCTTTACCTCAGTGATGGGTGAGATCCCGATCCCAAACGAAGAGATTTTGTGTACCAAGGTATGTCAAATGTATGCTTGGTGTTGTTGTGAACGTGTTGGGCATGATGCATGATGGTGTATGTATATATGCAATGCAGCTTCAGCACTATCTTGCAGGCTCGCAGAGTGTAACCAACCTCGACTCCAGGCCTTTAACTAACCCTCCTTCTCCGACAGATGTCCAGAGAAATCACATACAGCGAGAGCTCGTTTCTTATGCAAATTTTCGAACCACAACAACCCGACGAAACCCCATGTGAGGATAACATGCCACCTCATCGGCAGTTGCCGTCGTGACTTACCCTTTGCCATGTTATCATGGTAGAGTCGAACTCTGGAAGAAAGTTAGTAGAAAACTCGAAGAGTTAGAAAAGTTACCATGCTGAGTATCTTGACTTCTCCAACTGTTGGAATTCTACCCCGAGGCGATGTAGGAGCGTAGGATTAGAACAAGGACTTCGTGCTGCGGCTGTGCAGCATGGGGCTTCTCTTCTCCCCTTACCACACAGCGCCCAGGCTATACAGCAAGCTCCGGCGCTCCGTCTGCAGCCTTCCGCTTTTCGAATTTTCTTTTCTGCTACAAACTTCGGCGAGTTCTGATGGCTTAGATCATTGTGTGCATCTGCATGCAATCAAGGCAAGTTCGGTGGGGAAGCCAGCCATGAGTGGAGAACGCTCGAAGGTGCTATGGCACTGCTCTCTCAAGCCACTCGAGTAGGAAGTTGACCGTTGTGAACTTTCGTCACCAGAGATCCTAATAGGGGGAGGAATCATTCAGCTAGTCACTATGACACCTTCTGCCAGTGGCGAACGAGAATGTTGTCCTTACCAACACCTGCTGCTGTGCGCATGCGGAATCCCGCACTTTCGTGAACGCGGATGCCTGCATTGACGCAGATGCCTGTGTTCACGTGGGTGCTCGCACCAGCATCGATTCCTGCCTTGACGTGGATGCCTTCTTACTACTTTTGTAGCCTCACCTTGGTGTGTCGCCTTGCGGCTCCTACGATCTTTGGATCTGAGGCCCACTTCTCTGCGTTGTATTCACTCCTACGTGGGAATCTCAACTTACCTCGGCTCACTTTTGCACAGGTCAGGGTCATTATAGGGTCCAGGTTGCCCCTTTGGGGCTTCCGCCCCAAAAATTTCTGCTTGCAACCAAGCAGCCAATTTTTTCTCGCTCTTACATACTACTTACATAACTGCACAAGAGCGCCCACAAAGTCTCCTCGCAACGCCAGCTGCCTTCACCTCAACTGCAGTCCTATCGCCTATCCTGAATTATGCTGTGGACACTTCATACGCGTGTTTGTCTGAGCCGCTCGTCTTCCCTGTTGCTAGTACGGGCTATTCCTGCAGTTGTTTGTCTCTGAAAATACATATTCCCAGTGAATGGACCTATGAAATACGGAACTCAAAGAGAGACGCTGGATGCTAGCTATTTTCTTTAATACTTCTTCAGATTGGCTCTTAGTAGGTCCGATTTTGATTGCTCGTATCAACAACGATGACACTGATAACTTTATATTTTCAGATTGGCATTGTGATCACCAGTGCATATCACAATCATTCCTAACTCGTATTAGGGCGTTTACGGTAACGAACGTTAAGACACAAGATCAAAGCCTCGTTCACCCTCTTTTACGACACGCGCTTATTTTCTGTCCTTCAGAAATTCAGAATCAGAATCTTATCACTGCCTCTGAATGTACATGCGCATCAGCATGCCATTCCAGTGTATATTTCTTTTATCTCCTTCACTCCTGTATATCCATCATAATCTCGATCAAATTCATATTATAGGTTCGCAAGTTCTTTCCAGGAAAATGGCGCTGGCGCTTCTGCTAACCCCCAATTGACACCACTTTATGTAAACGCCGGTACAGATTAATTACATACTTCCATCATGTGCTTACAACCTAAACCCTTTCCATTGCCTATATATCCTGGTAATCGTTCCTCTCAGGTAAGTCGGCTGCCACCTTACCGCTACTCATGTCCAGCCCAAGTCCCAGTACTCGAGTTGCCAGTGGGTACTCAGCACAGTTATCACAACCGAACACACCCCCAGATGATTTTTTCGACAAATTTCCACCCACGTGGAATGCTCCAAAACACTTTGTTTCTCGGCATATCTTCCAAATATGCTGCTTCATATTCACCTGGCGCAGCGATCTGCACTGGTTACACGAGCTCTTGAAAGAAGGAAACGCCTGGGAAGATCTGCATAGTCGATATCTCACCCAGCTCAATCAAGTGAGCACAGTGGTAAGTCGATGATGGGCGTCATTCATTCAAATTGATCGTATTAAGTGTTCTTGCGCAGCAAGGACTTGTGCTTGCCACTGCAGCGGTCTTTATGTCCTCAAATCCACCACTTGCGAAAGATGTCGACTATATATCTAATGCATCTTATGCCTGTTTGGCGGAGTCGCTTATCTTTTCATTGTTTGGGCTATTGTTCCAGCTGAAGGTATCCGCCTCCGGAATCGTTTTTCAACAACGTAGTGCTGCAAAAGTACGTATTGTCCATTGTTAGGGTAGCAGGTCAAAATTGACCTCACCACAAGATCATAATCGAGAGGCGCTGGAGAATATTCTGGCACCTCCTGGGTTTGGTAGTGCCAATCATTATCTTTACCATATCAGTGGTGCTTTTACTCATAGGTGAGCAGTTCAAACTTCACCTCGTAATGCGTGATCGCGACTTACACAGTTCATCATCAGCCATCGTGCTCACGGGGTTCGCATCTCACTCCGAAACTGTCCGAATTTATCTGAGCGTAACATTCGCTTTCCTTGCCACTTGTCATTTGGTGTCGATTCTGGGTTCGCCATTCTACCACCATTTTTCAAACCTATGGGTCCACATTCTTCGCACCGAGAGTGGCGACAAACCTCAGGAAGAGGGCGGCGCCTGAGCATTCGGTGCTAGAGGTTCCGCAAGGGTACTGGTAGGCTTTCTAGTAACTATCGATCACTCCTCCAATTGGGCATTCAGTGGTGTCGTTCCTTCTATAGATCTACCATAACTAACACGGTGCCGGAAACGGACTCGCCTGTAAATGTTTCCGGCACCACGCGTCCAGCTGAGCGCAGCCTTATTTGCCTGCACCTACTTCATTCTCTCGACCACGAACTCGTCCACACTCTGGATCTACATTCTTTTGGACACTCCCTTTTCTCTGATATTCTGTTTTACAAACATTCATTCCTTATCACATTTACTTTATATACATTTCATAGCACATTATTAGTTATGCTTTGTTCAACACAATTCAATTGCCGTTCCCAGTCAACCGTCATGTTAGCCGCAGAACTCGGTTACCTCGCGGTGCTAAACATGAACATTGGCCAGTCACAGTCGATGATCCTTCTGGCACGTCAGAACCAGAGATACGGTTTTGAATAAGCCATTGCGTCCATTTATGCCACGCTAAGTAGTCTGCTTAGGCCCATTTTTGGAGTGAAAACCCTCGCCACCGTTCACAGTTTCTTATGTGGCTTCTGGGGGCACATGAATCACCAGAGAAATTGATTAATGTGATCTTCACCAGGATGATCCGCTTCACAATCGACCTTCTGTACAACGAGTTAAAGTTTACGACGACGGCCATGCTGTCATCAAATGTCAGTGGGTCACCTGTGGTCATTGACATGTTTATGTCGTGGTTCAGCGAGAGATTCATATTTTCAAATGACTGGCTGAGTTCGTTCTTTCTGTCACCAGCGAGAGATAGCATCCAATCTTAGCGCTTCGGGTATTTTTATCATGTCGACCATGCAGTAACACTATATTATCAAACGGGTCTTCAGCAATAGCACATAATGCGTGAACTAGTGCACAGTACACACCGGTTTATCAACAGCTTGATCAATGTGCGCCACCTTTGTGTCTAAATCTGAGCCAAGGTCATGGTGTCGAACCTGTGCCGCATCAGGAACAGGAACATCCATCAATAGTAAATACATCAGACCCCGGATCGGTGTGATACAAAGTAGTGTGTGGCAGCACTATTTGTGAAATTATCAATTATCTAAGCCGCTCGTCTTCGCTGTTTTACGGACTAGAATTCCTGCAGTTGTCTATCTCTGTCCTGTGAAAATATATATTCCCAGTGAATGGACCTAGCTATGAAATACGGAACTCGAAGAGAGACGCTGGATGCTAACTGTAATACTTCTTTAGGTTGGCTCTTAGCAGGTCCTGTTTGTATGATGCAACAATGGCATTGATAACTTTATCACCAATGCATATCGCAATCATTCCTAACTCGTATCACGCCGTAACGAATGTAACTTTGTAAGACAGATCAAATTTCAAAGCCCGGTTCCATCGCCCTCTTTTACGATACGCGCTTATTTTCTTTCCTTCAGAATCTTATCACTGCCTCGGAATGTACGCCTTTCCAGTTGCTTTCCAGTGTATCTTTCGTCGCATCCCCTTCACTCATGTATATCCATTATAAACTCGATCAAATTCACATTCTAGGTTCAGTTGAGCGCGCGAGTTCTGTTCTGTCCAGGAAAATGGCGCTGGCGCTTCTGCTAACCCCCCAATTGACACCACTTTAACTCTTTATGTAACATCCAGTGCTACATAGCCTTACTTCAACGCCGGTACGTATTAATCACATACCTCCCTGTGCTTACAAGCATCATGATGTATAAAACCCTTTCCATTGCTTATATATCCTCATAATTGTTCCTCTCAGGTATGTCGGCTACCACCTTGCCGCTACTCAGGCCCAGCCCAAGTCAGGGTACTCGAGTTGCCAGTGGGTACTCGCAGTTATCACAACCGAACACACCCCCGGATGATTTTTTCGACGAATTTCCACCCAAGTGGCATGCTCCAAAACCCTTTATTTCTCGGCATATCTTCCAAATATGCTGCTTCATATTCACCTGGCGCAGCGATCTGCACTGGTTACACGAGCTCTTGAAAGAAGGAAACGCCTGGGAAGATCTGCATAGTCGATATCTGACCCAGCTCAATCAAGTGAGCACAGTCGTAAGTCGACGATGGACGCCATTCATTCAAATTGATCGTATTAATGTGTTCTTGCACAGCAAGGACTCGTGCTTGCCACTGCGGCAGTTTTTATGTCCTCAAATCCACCGCTTGCGAAAGATGTCAACTATACATCTAATGCATCTTACGCCTGTTTGGCGGAGTCGCTTGTCTTTTCATTGTTTGGGCTATTGTTCCAGCTGAAGGTATCCGCCTCCGGAATCGTTTTTCAACAACGTAGTGCTGCAAAAGTACGTATTGTCCATTGTTAGGGTGGCAGGTCAAATTTGACCTCACCACAAGATCATAATCGAGAGGCGCTGGAGAATATTCTGGCACCTCCTGGGTTTGGTAGTGCCAATCATTATCTTTACCATATCAGTGGTGCTTTTACTCATAGGTGAGCAGTTCAAACTTCACCTCGTAATGCGTGATCGCGACTTACACAGTTCATCATCAGCTATCGTGTTCACGGGGTTCGCTTCTCACTCCGAGACTGTCCAAATTTATCTGAGCATAACCTTCGCTTTCCTTGCCACTTGTCATTTGGTGTCGATTCTGGGTTCACCATTCTACCACCATTTTTCAAACTTATGCGTCCACATTCTTCGCATCGAGAGTGGCGAATGATCTCAGAAAGATGTCGACGCTCATTCGGTGCTAGAGGTTCCGCAAGGGCACTGGCAGGTGTTCTAGTAGCCATCGATCACTCCTGGATCTGCATTCTTTTGCAGTCACCCGCCTCTCCCTTTTCTTTGATATCTTGTTTTACAGCCATTCGATTCCTTATCGTGTTTACTTTATATATATATTATTAGTTATCCCTTGAACGCAATTCGATTACCGTTCCCAGTCAACCGTCATGTTAGCCGTAGACGTCGGCTTCCTCAGTGTCGAACATGAACATTGGCCAGTCACAGTCGATTGGAATCATTGCTTCCTGCCTCTCGATTATCTTCATCACCAGCTCCTTGATCGCCTCGATCGATCGTTCTGGCGCGTCAGAATCAGAGATACGGTTTTGAATCAGCCGACAAAGCGGCAAGCCCTTGCCCTTGCGTCCATTTCTGCCACGCTAACCAATCTGCTTAGGCACGTTTTTTGAAGTGAAAACCCTTGCCATCGTTCACAGTTTCCCATATGCAATGCGTATGTCGTTGCTGGGGGCAATTGATTAATGTGCCCTTCACCAGGACGATCCGCTTCACAATCGGGCTTCTGTACAACGTGCTAAAGTTTACGACGAATGTTGGTGGGTGTGTGGTTGTTATCATGTTCATATCGTGGTTCATCCTGGGCAGCGAGACGTTCATATTTTTTCAAACGACTAGCTAAGTCTGTTCTTTCTGTCACTAGCGAGAGATAGAATCCAATCTTAGCGCTTTGGGTATCTTTACCATGCCGTAGCACTATTATTAAACGAGTTTTCAGCAAATGCATATAACGCGTGAACTAGTACACCGTACACATTGGTTGATCAACAGCTTAAGTGCACATGTGCACCACCTTGGTGTCCAAATTTGAGCCAAATCTGACATGGTGTCTTCCAGTAAGAACTTGTGCCGCATCAGAAGCATCTACCCCATAATTACCTTGCGGAGCAAGGTCATATAAATGCAGCGTGACCTGTGGTCGCAAACAACACAACACATTCACGTGACCATCGCGACCCCAGCGCACCGCAATAAATTGCGGTGCGTTGTTGATAGTTTGCGATGACGGTGACATGAGTTCTCATTACAGCGTTTTAAATCATTTAGAATTTTGTTGACACTGCTAAAGCCATCCAGCTATTACCGTGTGACTATTGAGGTTCGCACGTTTGCGAGGCTATGTACCATGTGAGATTCGATAGGAATAAGAAAGGGAAGCGTCAACATCTCTTTGACCTTTATCATGATGAATAGCATTGGACGTCGAAGATTGGTTTTGAGCATCAATATCCAGACCGTCAACGACCAAAATATCGAGTATGTCGTACTTAGTTATTTGTCTCTATTGATCTCTATCCGAGATCTAAGAAGTAAAGTGCGACGGTTGCGGGAACATTCGGGCGCTCGCGTGGTTTGCGCCTATTTCGCCTATTTCGCCAAAGGCCATGTGGTTTGCGCTTAGCTCGCTTAACCTCGATTTGGAAACTCGCGTGGTTTTCATTTATGTTGCGAGCGGCGACTCAAATAACGTCGCCCGTTGGGAACTTAGCACGATGTTGGTAACTGTATATGTACATGGCATTAAATAACAATAAAAGATGTGTTTGAGCAGGGAAGGCAGATATGAGTTTTTTCCCTACTGTAATTGTTATAGTAGTATCTGTATACACACAGCAAATAATGAAACAACATATCAATTACAGACAGAGGGAAAACAAATATATGGTGACAGGAGATGAATGACAGAAGGTTGTGAAAAATCAAAAATCAAAGGAGACAAAGACAATGTGGACTCAAAAACTGGAGAATGGGAGGACAGGAAACTGGGACAACGGGAGAATGAGAGACAGAAGGACTGGAAAATGAGAAACTGGGAAACTGAGACGGGAGATGGAAGACAGGAGACGGGAGACGGGAGACAGGAGACGGGAGATGGGAGGATGTAGGAGACAATTGGGAGATGGGTAGGTGTCGGAAAAAAGTTAGGTACCATTGTAATACTGCCGGATTACAAGTTCAGCTCAGCACCTTAAGAGGGCCTTACAAGGCATTTTAACGGGCCATTCTGAGGCACAGCGAGGCAAAACTCAACATAAGGTCATCAAAAGGGCCCTTATAAGTGCCTTTTAATGGGCATTAAAATATCATCTTACCCGTTTAAAAGCCCTTATAAGGACACCCTCCAAATAGAGCATTATAAAATGTCTTGCAAGGCCTTAAAACCCTGGGAACTTTTTTCCGACAGGCAAAGATGGGAAAATAAATACAGTACATATCCCAATAATGCATATCCCAGTAATGCATATCCTAGATAATGCATTGACTTTGGCAGGGTCCCATCGTGGGCGCAGCCATTATGCACTAAAAACTTCATACTGAATAATGCATGAACTTTTGAGGGTAATATGCATTGTCTGGGTACTATTAATGGGGGCTGCATTGTTCTATGTGTGAATATAAGCAGCAAAATATGCTAGATAAGATATCACAAAAGTCTTTACAATGTCTCAATCCGAGCAAAGTTGTCAATAAACCTACTCAGGAAACTGCTAAGCCTATTGAGATTGAATCTGATGACGACGATGACGGCAACAACATAGAATTGAGCGCATTATGTCAGCGAATTGAGACCGCCTGCTTACAATATGGTAATCCTCGGTTAGCCTTAGAGGAACTCTGTAGTTATTGTGGTCAGTTGTGACGGGAGGAGCTACAGAATGCAAAGCAGGCATCATTAGATCAATATTTTACCAAGTAATTGGTGTACTATCTACTGTGGTTATAACAAGGTCACACGGTGTCACAGTGTGTGACATCCAGCATCGTGCATATCCATGGTAATGCATGGCATTTTCAGGCTCCCGACCATATGCATTATTGGGATATGTACTGTACATTCAATGATACTGTTATATATTTTGTAATTTTGTCAGAATCCTGCTCAAAGAATGTAGAACTGACTGATCTTACTATGTACTATGTACTATGTACTTTATGTGGTGGTAGATTGTGTTTTTAGTTTTTTTGAACTGCTCATAAATGTATTTTCAAAATTATTCAAAATGCACAATTTATTAGGATGCAGCCTGAGGCCAGGAAGCCAAAGGAGGGCGTAGCCCTCCTTGGCTTCCTGTGACGAAGGAACAACGGGCATGAGCTCGTCTCGGCTTGACCAATCGACTCTGCATGTACCTTGAAGTGAGGAACATGATACATTAAATCCTACACTGCGCAAAATGAAAGACTGTTAATCAGCCAACGTGAGATACATCCAACGACGAAATGTCTTGTCCATCGTCAACCGACACCGATGAAGCTACCCTTCGCCAGCTCACCCACGCACAGCTACAAAAGGTTGCGAAAGTATGATTCGGATTACTTATTCAGGTTCATTTGCTCACTGACCAATATGAAGAGTGAATTGATCATCAAAGAGATAGTAAAGATGACCAAGCTTGGGGCTTTAGTTCCTGGTCCTTCGTCGCAAGTATCAAAGATAGCGGCAAAAGCAAGTGGTGAGAATCATGCGCGAGATCACTGTAAGAGATAGCCTGACATTTTTCCAGTAAACAGTTCTCTTATCGAGGAAAACGACACCTCATCCAGTGCCGCACATGCGGATACGATCACACACGCTCTGACCATTGAAGAAATCATGGAGTTCGCGGAACACCTTACCATCAAGGACATAATCACCGAAGGTGGTCCCAATAGCTTTTCCTATTCCGCAAAACGTCGACGAGCTGATATTCTGGAAGTTGTACAAGGTTCAGCTGAAATGCAAAAAGTGATCATACGGGCATATAATCGAAAGAAAGAAAGAAGAAAACGAAGACGCGGGAACAACCGGAGCAAGGTTATTAGTCGGCAACGCCGGCCCCTAGTACATCATGCATCAGGTGATACAAGTGTGGCACTATTTAGGTAAGCTCGTACTATATTCAGGGCGCTTGGCAAAATCCGGGGGTTCTGATTAGCACGTGCGTTTCGCTAGGTTCCGGAATCAATGTACAGGTGCCTTTTCATCGAATGCTACGTTCCCGTATGACATGTCACTGATTCGATTATCGAGTGTATAGTGCCAGTAGGTTGCCAACTGTACGATGTGCTCGTTCACAGTTCTCTCTCCTACGTGGTGAGTGGTAGGCAGTCACTCACATGCAGCTAGGAAGATTCCGCGAGTGGTTGAGCGATTGAGTCTGTTCTGGTCATGCTTTATCCGTTGCTGTAAGCAGCCCTGTTCAATTCGATTATTGAAGTACGTGACGATGTGTGTCACTTGATGTCGTTTACGAAGTATTCTGGAAGTCAGCACCTACCTCAAAGCCTTCCGCTGTGCTCCTGGTAAGCATCATCTCTATGCATTCAATGCAGACCCCTCATCCCGTGCCCAGGACTCAATAACAAAAGTCTGGAAAAGAAGACCATGATACTGTTGATCTGTTGATTGCCCTTTTGGTGATGATCAGTCCAGCTTGTCCCTCACCGAGTTCGATCACCTTGGCGGCGGCAAAACTCATCTAATATCCAAAACGAGCGCTCAATCCAGCGCCTCGCCACCGTTTATCCATTCCACACTATCAGAAGCCGAGTTAAGCGGCTCGCCCCAGCCAACCAGACAATTCACATAGCACGGACAGGGTGTCAGGTCCGATGTACACCCGTGCATCATGCAGGACATGCGCGTTTCTGACAAGTTCGAGAAATCACCATTCACAGTGACATTCATCGTGGGTAGCTTTTTTGACTCGTCTGAGTCATTCTTCCAGGCGATGAGCTATATACAGTTTAGTGGGTCGAGGGTCTTCGACTCCGGCCTTTAACTGACCTTCCTTCACATCCAGTAAGAGCTCATATTCAATGGACCTATGAAATACAGGAATTTGAAGGGAAACGGTGAATTCTGGCTGTTTTCTTTAATGCTTCTTTAGGTTGGCTCTTAGTAGGTGCGATTTTGATTGTTCGCTCGAACAACGATTGCGTGTCGCAATTACTCCTCACTTGTATGCGACTGTCGATGCTCTGACCTACTGTCTATCGTGCCTTTGCCTCCTGTCCGAAATTCTTGGGCAGCTGCGTGGTAGGGTGTTTACCGTGCCGAAAGGGTTCTGTCATTTCACTCAATTTCTTTTACGACATACGCGCTTATTTTCTGCCCTTAAGAACTTTGTTACTGCCTTCCAATGTACATGCCATCAGCATGCCTTTCCGCTGTAGATTTCTTCCATCCCCTTCACTCGTGTATATCCATTATTATCTCGATCAGATTCACGTTCTCGGTTCAGCTTGGCGCGCGACTTCCGTTCTTGTCCAGGAAAATAGCGCTGGCGCTTCTAGCGCGTACTTCGGCAATCCCTCATTTGACGATAGGCGAGCCTACTTTGGTTTTTATGCAACATTCAGGGCCGAGAATCAAGCCTTGCTTGGGCGGTGCGTATCAATTCGTTCCCGAACTGAACTTTAACGAGCTATGTAGTACTTACAGAGTAATGCACGAAAATTTCTCAAGTTCACAAGGCATTCAAGTTATGGGGACAGTTTGTCCCCTCTGAAACCTTACCTCTCCCTTCCAGAGATGCTTCAGGGCATAAATTTGATGTTGTGCAATCATACAGCCACATCTGCCGCTCCTCCTAAAATGTTGGCGCTCATTGTGACGAAAGGAAGTTACACGTGCATTCGAATTTTCTGTGCTGCAAGACTAAAATACAGTGGCGTTGCACCATCACGTCCTAGGCGCGGTCAACATGAGGCAGTATAAACCCTTTACGCGACCTATATATCCTCGCGATTGTTCTTGACTCGGATAAATCGGTTACCGCCTTACTGCTGCTCATGTCCAGCCCAAGTGAGAAAACTCGAGTTGTCAGTGGGTGCTCACAGTCATCTCGGCCACACACCACCCCGAACGAGAGCTTTTTCGACAAGTTTCCAAACAAGTGGGATGCTCCAAAACCCTTCATTTCTCGGCATATGCTGCTTCGTATTCACTTGGCGCAGCGATCTGCACTGGTTGTACGACCTCTTGCGAGAGGGAAACACCTGGGAAGAATTGCATCGTCAATATCTAACCCAACTTAATCAAGTGAGCACAGTGGTAAGTCGATGATGGGCATCAGTCATTCAAATTGATCGCATTAATGTGTTCTTGCGCAGCAAGGACTCGTGCTTGCCACTGCGGCAGTTTTTATCTCCTCAAATCCACCACTTGTGAACGATGTTGACTACACATCTAAGGCATCTTACGCCTGTTTGGCGGAGTCGCTTGTCTTTTCATTATTTGGGCTATTGTTCCAGCTGAAGGTATCTGCCGCCGGGATCCTTTTTCAAAAGCGTAGTGCTGCAGAAGTGCGTATCGTCTATTGTCGAAGTGGCAGGTTAGAGTTGACCTCACCGTGACACAGATTATAATCGAGAGGCGCTGGAGAATATTCTGGCACCTCCTGGGTATGGCAGTGCCAATCGTCATCTTTACTATATCAGTGGTGCTTTTGCTCATAGGTGAGCAGTTCACCTCGTTGTGCGTGGTCGTGACTTACACAGTTCATCGTCAGCTATTGTGCTCACGGGGTTCGCATCTCACTCCGAGACTGTCCAACTTTATCTGAGCATAACATTTGCTTTCCTTTGCGTTTGTCATTTGGTGTCGATTTTAGGTTCACCATTCTACCACCATTTTTCGAACCTATGCTTCCGCCTTGTTCACACGAGTGGTAAAAGACCTCAGGAAGCGGGCGAATCTTGAGTATTAGTGATGGAGGTTCTGCATGGGTACTGGCATGTCATAAACTTTTCGTGGTTGGATACGATGTCTGTCCTTGTTTGTTTGCTTGGTATCTGGCGATATGTTTTCCTTTTTCTCTAATGTCGTGCTGGTTAATTCTTGTATTCTTTAGCGTCAGAGATGTATTAGTACTCACTGAATAGTCAATTCTTCCAGTATCTCGATCTTTGTCGGTGTTGTTTGGGACGTCTGTGTGCTAGTAGGTATCCATTACTCCTTCCGAAATTAGGCTTTCAGTACTATTCCTTCTACGAATCCATGATAACTTAGGTTCAGTCGCTGCTCCACATTGTCCATACTAAACGCAGTTTTTCGGTTTGTGCAGCGAAACAAGTCAAACTAGTACTTGTACAGTATCATTACAGCTATTTTCAATAAAAGTTCACTTAGCTGCTTTTGTTTAGTGTTCAAACAGAGGCGCTCATGCTAGCTACCTTTGTAAGTCATCATCATAACTTTTGGGAGTATTATGTAGTACAACGACTGCCGACCGTCATCATGCCATCATGCACAGAAACCGGCTGTTGACATAAGTGGGTTGTCCACAAGCACGACTTGCCTTTGACAACATTTTGGTGTTTCGCACAGCGAAGGCTTCGTTGCTTGACAATGAAGATCACCTACAGTTGATAATAGCAGCGTAGTATGATACAACCATCACCGTGTGCAGCTGGTCGCAGGATCAATCAGCGCGCACGTCACAACAATTGCATCGCCCCGGCCAAGCCCCATAATTGACGTAGGACTTACAAAAGTAGCTACTAGCATCATGGATCGCCTCGCTCCAATAATAAACGAAAGCGGTCAAGAGATTCTTGTCTCGATATGAAAATAGCTGTAAAGCCGGCTCGGTGGCTATTGCCAATCCACGACGTCATGCTGTGCGGACGCTGCGCTTGCTCGATTGCTGTGTTGCTGAGGGAGATTTTCTGCGGGAGTCCTCGGAGCATACTCTGGCGGCCGACACCTATGAGTGAAGTCATGACCAAACATTCGCATCTCCAGCCTGCGGCCGCAGCATCGATGACTCCCAATTCGTGGCTTTCATGGATCGCATTCAATGGAGAACACTCTCATAGCAGCGGCCTCGGCCTCCTTTTCCCACCATATATTCTCTCAAGACGACCGAAGGGGGTCCTTGTACATATCGTACTTGCTTGGCTTGATCAAAGACATGTCATCTAGACCACACTAAAATTGACAACAACTATCTGAACTATTGTATCGTATCAGTATACGAATACCCGAAGCTAAACATCAACTTGAAGGGAAATCTTCACAAGAGTAAAGTAACCCCTGGTACCTAAATGCGAAAAAATCGATCATATCATAAGTAACAAATAAGACGATCATACATAGATATTTTTGTTGACTCGATGTCGTGGAAAACAAGGAAGTAGTAGGTAGCCGGTATCGAGGGCGGGAATAAGAATAGGAATAGCGAAAGATATGCATAGAACGAACGACAGATTAGTACAGCGTGAAATCGTAAAATATCATTAGTTTCATGTCGGATTCGCGTGAGTCAAAAACGCGGGACTGTTTGACTTCAGCGCCTTGAGATGTAGATTTATGCTTTACTAGGGACGATCATCAACGCCTCCAATCTCTCTTCGAGGCCTCGTCCGAGACCCTCGCGCTGCCATTCGCCACCGACGTCATCGAGCATGGCGATGCTGTCACGCTCACGACCACTGAGACTCGCAGCATCATGTTGGTTGAGGGCGTAACCTTCCACACCAGGAATATGAGGTGGCGGCTCAGGAGTTGCGCAGGTAGTGAATGATGACAACGGAACCATTGATGCCGGTGTTGATGCGAGCAGATCGGCGTAACTCATGAACGAGAGACGCTTAGTGGGTCCGTGCGTTGGAGACGGAGGGTGGGAGATGGTGATGGGACGTATGTAAGGTGAAGATGTGTAGGTTGATGAAGGCGACAGTGTTGAGATGGCGATAGGGGGGAGTGCAGAGGAAGGATGCTCCGCAGTCGTGGTCGTGGGTGATGGTTCGACTGATGAGAGCGTGGAGTAATATACAGATGCAGGCGTGCTGATAGAAGGTGCGGCAGACGCCTTGCCACTTGTACCCTGTTTTGAGGGAAAAGCGAGTGGGCTCGTCTGGATGCTCAACCGCTGCGGACTGCCCGCTCCCACACCCGGCGTAGATAAATTAAGGGGAGTAATGGGCCCCTGCTGAGATGGAATGCTCAGCAACAAGCTCGTCCTTCCTGATGGACTTGGGCTTCTGCTTCTCAAGCTACCGATTGGGCTAGCGAAACCGCTAGTAGTGAGGCGATCACGATCTCGCGAAGGACTGACGACCGAAATGTAATCTTCCTCCATGGGAGAGGAGGCTGCGAGAATTGAAGCAGCACTATCGAGCACAGAAGGTACACTGTGCTCGAGTTGTTCAGTGCCTTTTGCACGCGCAATGCGATGGGGATTCGGGTGAGAAGGGGGGGAAGGAGGGTGCATGGGCTCAATATCACGCTCGAAAATTGCGGATGACGATGAATGACTGTAGTTGCGATAAATATAAGTAGGTATTTGATGAAAGTGGAGTGGCTTACGCAGATGTCGGCGATGAAGGAATTGAAGAAGGTGAGCGAGAGCCCATCCTTGTTGTATTCAGGTGCTGAGAAGTATGAGTTGAGAGTCTATGTTCCCTAGTTGAATCTTTCTGGGGAGTAAGCAGCGTCGAGTTGGACGTCATACGTCTGAGATCAACAGGGGGCGAGTGTTGCACACTGGAAGATGGCGACATAGTCATGGCTACCAACGAACGTCAGATTTTCAAAGGTAAGAACAAAAGATAAAAACCTACGTTGAAATGGGTCTGGAGAAGGATGAGTGGACATTTTACTGTGGATGTTGTCGGAACTGTGACTGTGTTGGATGAGTGAACAAAACGTTCGTTGAGTGTGGTTATAACTTTACCAAAGGCGCTGTGCAATGCCGCCGAAATGCTTCCGAAGGTCCACTGCAGACCACTAAACCGGTCCTTGGCGGTCCTTCCGATGGTCCCGCTAGTCCGGCATCTTCGATGATCATCCTCACGATACGCATCACAGTGATCACACGTTCTCCACGGCCACCCCAACACTTGAATTAAGCGTACCCGGCCGCATGCCATCATTCATTCATCACCAACTATCGATCCCTGAACTCAGACCTACCGGATCTTCTCGTTCTCACATTTAGCAGTGCTTTCGGAGCATAGCCCATTTCGTCCAGCCTGATCTCCACACGAGTTTCATGCAGGGCACTGGGTTTCTCAGCTCCTTGCTTCGCATTTCTCATTTGTTCGTGATAACAAGGGTCTGCTGACTGACGCATCCATTCTTCCGACGTTCTTCGAGTCCATTGCGTGAAAAGAAGTCTTCTCTACACAAGGATGTGGTTACTTATCAGACCCACATGAGCTCATTATTGTCAATGATACTTCGCTATCATGATGCGTCGGAGTGTTGGTCAAATGCTAGTCACTCCGTTTTACATCACCGCAATTAATCCAGAACTTGCCCATGGCCAGCAGTTGCTGTTGCTGTTGCTGTGCTTTCTAAAAGTTTGTTCTGACTTGTGAAGGTCGTATCTATATCAGTGGCCCCAAACCAGTGATACAGCCCGTTCTAAAGCATTCCGGTAGTTTCAATTCCCGTATCTCACAGAGCCTCCAACATACGCTTACGACATGATCAACGTTGCTTGTTGTCACATGCGGGTTTTGTATGACGTTCGCATGATTTTCATAATGTATCATTCTATCATAGAACGCCCAGTGCCTTCTTCTCGAAGGTTAGGTCGGCCGGCCGAACAACAATTTTTCGGGGGTGTGTTGATGTCACGATCACGGCCATAAGAATCTTGTGTCATTCTTATAGGGAATGGTCGCCGGACTCCATCATCATGTGCCCGTCGAGTATCCAATCGTCGTACAGAAAGGTTGATCGTCATCATTGAACGTTGAACGTTAAATGACAAGCAGAGCTTGTACGAGCGCCATCAATCTTGTGGCTGAGGCATTTAAACCATTGATGAACAGGATGCCATGGATGGTCGCCGCTTTTGCACCGACTGATCAGTGGACAGTGGCGCTTCAACGTTTTATGACTACAAGCAGTTGTGGTAGCGGTCAGATCTTTAGATGATACAAGATGAAGATAATTTCTTGCACCTGAAAGATCTAGGGATGCGTTCCTTTGCATCAAGAAATGTCATGGGTTCGTAGTCCGCTTTCGGATGCGACACTATTAGCTGATAGGATGAAACTCATAGAACGTCAGGACAGGTACATCAGAGAGAAGATAACTTGAAATGAACCTCATGCAGGCCCCCCCGCCTTCTTCATACTGTGCTCCTTGTCCCATTCATCGTCATCATCGACATAGTGTGTTGTCCTCCACATCTCATAAAATCGCGAATAGAAAGGCGACGGTAGGATGGTGGTGTCGAGCGGCTGGCCGAAGATGTCCACGAGGTCACCATCGCCACTGACTTGGCTATCTGATCGAGTTTCCCCCTTGCTCACTCGTACCTTTCCGGTACATGAATGCACGTTGCCGTAGTAACGTGTGGCGGACAGGAATCGAGGGGAACAGGTGATGGATGTGTACGTCTTCTGCCCCCGCTGTACAGTGCCACTCACTCAAACACGGCAACTTTTCCTACGCCGCAATTTTGACCCATGTGTTTAAATTGAAACTTTGATAAGAACCATAGGCAAAGAAGCGTAAGAGTGTGCTACCTTTGGGATAGGTGTAGGCATGCTAGGTCCGGGACGTACTGAAGGCAATGGCAAGAGCGCCGTTTGAGCCCCTCCACACAATCCTAAGTCACGGGTATAAGTTGGATATATATATCAGCTCACGTTCCCAAGTACTATTCAAACAAAACTTACCTGAGCCACGGGCGATGGTTTCTCCTGCACTGCGAACTTGACAGTTTGGACTCAACATATGATCTCGCCTAATTAGGATATTCGACACTGCCGCTTGCCTTGAAGCTTTGAAGACACACGCTGTCACCGCCATCTACTTGTATTCGAACAACCGCCTCCTAGCTACTAGTAGCAAGTGCATCATTCGATGCAACAGCGCATCTATGGGATCTCGTCAACCTCCCAGTCGGACCACCCCTCCAGCACGAAGAGGCTTTGTGCTCTGGAGCTCTTTTTCCCGATGGAAAGATACTAGTCACTGCCTGCACGACTGAAAATGCGTACACATAAGACGTTCATGTTATCCTTAAAGAAGCTGACCTTGAGGACCTACTTCCAATCTTGTGAGTGTCAACATATCACACGCTCTGCCTCACTGACGCTGTCTGCTGTTAGGCACCAGACTCAAACAGAAGGCATCTCAAAATGATTCCGGAATACAGCACACGCATCGCTCTTCGCTCAGTGACATATCATTTTTGGAGGTATATCATTCATTATAACAGTAGTATCTCAGGCTGATGCTATGCGATGTCTTTGCCAGTTTGGCGGTGTCGATGAGCTCTCACCAACGTTTTTTGCTGGAATGGAGGCTGATGTTGATGTGCGTAATGAGTATTTCAATTTTTAGTTCTTATCTAGACGTCCGTGCTCTCAGGCCTCTCCAATGGATGGTACCCACCCTCACTCCTCTGCAATGCACTCCTCGCTCGCCTTTTCGCTCCTCCATCGCTTTCGATCCGACAGTGGTGAAGCGACAGAACTTCCGCAATCCTCGGCGTTCCATCCACGTGCACTCTTCGCTCGCCTGTCATCATTCATTCACTGCTTTTCACGTGAGAATAATGCACCAGACGCACTTCAGCAACCCTCCACGCCTTCGCGGGTAGATCCCACACGTGCCCCCGCCCTTCCTCATTTTTGCCTCGACCTCGACTCAGCACTGATGAAGAAACCGAATCCACAACGCCTTTGAGTTCACGTCCAGATGCACTCCTCTGCCGGCTATTCTCACTCTTGTCAGTTACAGTGTGCGCCTACTATAGCTAGCATTATGTGTGTAGTAATCAATAAATTCCAGGAACAAGCCGATATCTTACTTCCTTTGCCCAATTCTCCCATTCTTCTCCCAGAGCACGCTGCAACATTTGGTCCTCCAATGCAGGACGGCTGAGGGAAAACCAGGTGTTGATTATGACAAGTACGAAAGAGCTACTCGCTAATGCTTTGATGAAAGGCACTTACAAGATCCCGGACTGCCTCATCCATGATCCTTGGCTCCCGTACGCAACAGCCATCCCAGCACTTTGGAGAAGGAGACCAGTGTAGCTTGGGTGGCGCACTACTGAGTACGGCCCGCTTGTCACAAGTCTGTGCTCTTTTCTAACGCTGAGATTGAAGCTCCAAAATTTTCCTAACGTCGACATGCAATAAAGTCTCAATGCGCCACCAAGTGCGATGGCAATACTGCCGACGAGGAAAGCGGGGGTGATTGGTGTAGGGTGGGGGACGCGCAAAAGCTGCATAGCTCTAGTGCCACTAATGCCTTCTGGAATATCCGAGGGACCTAAACGTGTAGCCAAGATGTTTGCCACTTCAACAAGCGATATTACCCATGTGTTGGTCTGTTACATTTTCCACAGATTAATACAAACAAACGGCCGGTATTTAGGTGGTTGACTCACCTTCATTAACCCCGCGCAGCCAAGTTTTATACCCCATTCAGTGATGAATTCGAACACTGATGGCACCACACACTCTTTAGATGACGGTGACGGAGAAGGGGAAGTGAGCGAAATATGAATTCCGATGGCCGAAACCAGGATGAAGGGGATCTTCAATAGACTCATGGTACTTGCCCTGGAGGTGCTACGAAGACGTTGATAGAAACTGATCAAGTCGCAGGGGGCAGGTGTATGGTAACGGTCTCGGTTACGTGCACATGATACTCATTCTTATCTAGTGCAGGACGGTGAACTTGAACCCACTAGACTGAGATGGGACGCGAGCAGGTGGAGCCGCTCTATACGGCGGATAGAGAACGGTAAAATTGATGCGTCCCCGCCGGGCACCTGGACGTCATTCCAACTTGAAGGTAACCTTTTCTGGGCAAGCCGCTCATGGGACATGAATCCAAAGGAGATACACCCTGAGGTAACTAAAAAACGCTAGACATCTAAAACTCTTGATTGGCCTCCTATTTATATGTCCGAGTCGGATCTTACTCATTTCCTTCAAACCCTGCGCAAACGCAATCCGAACACCCTTCACAGCATTCATAACGAAAGCACCCCAGACTCCACTCGACATTCAAGTTGCAACCATCATCGAGCGGTATATACTAAACGGCCTTAACATATCTTCACTTCTCGCATGTTTCCTTTCCCTTTATTCTCTTCTACCTTCAGATTTATCGGTTTGGTCTGCTCCTCTTCACATTTCCGACATGTTAGCTGATCTCTTTCTCGCATTTTTAGCATATCAGCAATTCTTTATTAACACTGTAACAAATACCGATTTGATGACAATATATATAAGATTCACCTCTCTGGCGCCAACTATGACAACTTGACGTCTATGATCATCTTTGCTGGTTCTACCGTCTATGGGTCGTCAATTTCAAGCGGAATGTGCTTGCGCTTCAAACACATGTTTCGAAAGATGTCTGTATCGCTATGTTAGGCATTTCTGCGTCGGAAAGAAAACTCGAGGAAGTCCCATAGAGTATAGTTGAACAGACAGTAGTCTGCCCGATGAAACACAAGCACAGCTGGAGGACAAAGTCGATGTAATGAGGGAAAGACAATGACAAAAAAATCACCGAGGAAGCATGCGGGAAGTAAGGATATGTCGAAGAGCGCGGTCCAGACCTGTGCGCTTCGTCTACACAGCAGGATCATTGCTGTGAAGCGATCACCGGATGAGACACAGCTTTAAAAACGGCATGAACAACCCTCCAGCTTCCTCAACTCCCAACCAGACATTCATTGATTGCTGGTGATTGTGCACTGGGCTCCTCCGAACGGTGCTTCATGTGAGTGATACTCTATGCGGTTGAAGCTGACGACTCGCTCACCAGCAACTTCAGATACTCTGACACATTCTTGAATTTCGCAGCGCCTACATACGACATGCGTCTTGTGAGTGAGGATTGAATCCTGTAGGCACAATATCTCGTGAACCATGGCTTCTGTGATTCTGACAAGCATCAATAACCATTGCCATTGTCAGACAGTTCGGTCTAGTCATTCAAAGATCCCGACAGACTTATCTTGTATACGCAGTCCACGATCTGCCGTAGTCGAGACTCCAAGCGCAGACCATGTCTTCCTCTACCAGCAAGACGCCAGTTACGCCACGCCAGACGATGCGAGGCCATACCCACTGGATAAACGGCATCGTGCACCTGCATGGCGGACACATCGTTACATGTTCGTTGGACGGCTCACTCCGACGATGGGACCTAGAGAGTGGTACACAGATAGGCAAGGACTGGCGGGACGAGAATGACGCAGTGTGGTCCATGGTATTGTCCCCAAATGGGAAGACAATTGCCAGCGGAGGCGATGACGGGAATGTGAGGTTGTTTGATGTTGACACGACGAAGGTCATTGCCAATTGGGCAGGACACACCAGAACTGTGTATGCATTATGCTGGAGTGCAGATGGTGAGCGAGTAGCGAGTGGATCCTGGGATGGGACGGTAAGAGTCTGGGATGTCAACACCGGCACTACTGTCCTGACAATCAAAACTGGGAACAACTGGATGTATGCGGTGATGTACTCGCCTGACTCATCAAAAATTGCGGTGGGTGGAGACCAGGAGGACGCTGTAACAATCTGGGATGCAAAAAGCGGCGAGCTTCTCAAAACACTGAAACACTATAATTTCGATATAGTTCGCAGCTTGGCATGGACATCGGACGGGAAGAAGCTCATCTCCGGTTCAAATGGCCTAATTAGGATATTCGACATGGCTACTCGGAAGCAGATCGCCATCCTTGGAGGTCACGAGGACCAGGTCTCTGCCATCTCCTTGTCTTGGAACAACCGTCTCCTTGCAAGTGTATCATGGGATAAAACAGCGCGTCTATGGAATCTCGATACCAACCTCCCAGTCGGACCTCCCCTCCAGCACCAAAATGATTTGAGTTCTGCAGCCCTTTCCCCAGATGGAAAGGTGCTCGTCACTGCTTGCGAAAACAGAAACGCGTACACATGGGACGTTCACGCCATCCTCCGAGAAGCTGGCATGGAAGACCTACTTTCTACTGGTACCAATATTGTGAGTGTTCAAATATCGGCTATTAGGCACCAAAAGACAGACTCAAACAGATGGCATCTCGAGATAATGATTCTGATTTAGGAATACAGCACACACCCTGCTCTTCGCTCAACGACCAGTCATTTTTGGAAGTACGTGCCGTGTTCTCAATCCTTCTCACTCATTATAACAGTCACATTTCAGGTTGATGCTACGCGGTGTCCCGGCCAGTTTGGTGGTCTTGACGAACTCTTTTTTAATGGCATGGAAGCCGATGTTGAGGTGCGTAGCCAGTATTTCTATTGTTTAGTTCTTATCCAGACCTCTGCGCTCAGTCATCCTCAATGGGTGGTGCGCACCCTCATTCCTCTGTAAATGCACTTCTTGCTCGCCTGTCGTCATTTGTTCACCGCTCTTCACCTGAAAATGATGCACCAGACGCAGTCCAGCAAAAATATACGCCTTCGCTGCTAGATCCACGTGTTCTCCTGGCTCGCCTTGGCTCACTTTTCCCCCAATCTCAACTCAGCACAGGCGAAGCAAACGAACCACATCTCACAACCCCTTTGAGTTCGCATCTAGATCCACCCATCATCCGGCTATCCTCACTCTTCCGCTCTCAACCCCACACCGATGAAGAAATTGGACTCGCACAACGCCCAAGCTGTCATCGTGTTGTCGAGGTGGCTGCAATACGGGACAAGCAGGTAGGTGTCTCCTGAGCACCTTTACAATCGCCATGGTTTAGTGATTCTGTTCAGTCTTTGGTTGTCGCTCGGGGGCCAAATTTCATGAAAGCAAAACGAGCATATGATGAGCAACAAACGCAATTGCACGGCCCAGCCCATGCGTCGTCATCGCACACTCAACCTGCCAGTGCCTCAACATCTGCGACACCTTCTGCTCCAGGTACAACAGTCACACAACCACCATACATTCCATGGTGGGCTCAGATCGTACTGTTTCTCTGCTGTGCATCTTCACCACATGCCAATGGTCGTTAACGCAGCCAGCATTGCAGCATTTGTACGACTACTTCACCTTTGTTTCTAGTGATGTTACACTTATATCTCTTTCGTTTGTATCTTTCAGTATAGCATACCATCAATCTTGTTTTCTCGTCGTGAGACTTGTGCAGTGTGTTGAGCTTGATAATGTCAATAGCTGATTCGCTCGTTTTCCTGTCTCTTTTTCCTTTTATTTTCAGACAGAGGCGATTTAGTAGAAGTTTGCTACACGCTTCTCTCTCTGGGCAGTGTACCTTCTGGACGGGTCACTTTGTGACTAGCTTTGAGTTATCACTTATGAGTGCGGTTACTCCCAATCATTTTTCAAGTCCAAGTCGATCAACAATAATGTTGGTCTTTGACGTTCCACACTCTGAATGTCCCATAGAAGGATCCTGTATCCCTTCACTGGTGAAATTGATTTCTGGGCTTCTTATTTTTCCCTCGCTTTGTATGTCTCGTGCCAGACCATCCTCTCGATCTTGGTTCCCGACATCATCTCACACAAGTTCGTAGTCATTTGTTGCTTGACTAGCCACATACCAGTCCTGCTCAAACCTTCCTGATCTTTTCCGTCCTAGGTCCCTATAATCTGAGGAAGGCATCTCTTGATCTAGCAATGATGTATTCCCTTGTATTTACACTTGAACGGTGCGTTCACACCCAGTCTCCAGTCTGCAGAAGTCACACTCACAGGTAGTTGTCTAGCAGTCATTTCAGATGAACGGGAAATCCTGTATGCACAGGCTTCTTTCGCCACAAGCATAAACGTTGACGGTCTGCCAAGGTGAATTTAACGTCGTTGCTGTGGTTATATTTTTGTCGCTTAGTGATATTTAGATATCCTGTTCTCGTTCCAGTATAACATTAGTTATCTGCCAGGTAGTACAGGCTATCAGATTTTAAGCGAAGTAATGTATTGAAGTCAAGCAGATGACGTGGCTGGTACGGGCGTGCGGTTTAAGAATCGTGGGGTTCGGAACAACAGAGCAACGGTTAGAAAAGGTACAAACGAGCGCTTCCGGATGTGAGAGCGGTAGTTCTTCCTCGGGGGTTCCTAACGGAATGAGCGGCCATGCCAACCACACCACACTATCTATGAGTGTAGCGCAGGGATAGTGGTCAAGCAAGACCCTCAAGTTGTCACGTCTTGTCAGGGACGCGGGTTAGAAGATAATCAACGTTCATAAGCCACGTCCTCTTGAGTCAAAATATGGCCATTGCATCACGTCACAACGACTCACAATAATATGGAATAAAAGTTCAGCAGCTCAACTTGTCACCATCATGACGAGCAGGGCACGCGTCCAGTGCCCCGATGTTTTTAAACGTGAGTGTGAACGTTGTAGCATTGGCGATGAGGGATGTTATTTTGAGAATTAAATATTGAGAGACAGAAGTTGACGTGGCACCTGCAATTATGGAGCACACAGAGTAGATATCAGCCTCAATGTAAACCCAAGTTACTTCGGTTCGTTGTCGGAGAGAGCGGTTGAGTGCGTTACGTGGGCATAGATTAGTCATTCAAGTTGCCTTATTGCAATCGGGAGAAGAAAGTTTCGGCTTCGAACCGACCACCAGAAATATTCAAGACTCACATTGGAGCTCTCCGCTGGGAGGATATACAATGTACATCATTTGATGGCTCAAACGATACGTGATAACATCTGTAGGGGCTGGGAGAACTACTGGCGTCTTGCAGAGGTTCACATGGTGAGAGATCAGATCACCTTCCCCATGATCATCATCATCTTCCGACATCAGATTTAAAGCTGAATTCTTCACTTGACACCCAAAACCTTGAATCACTAATCAACCATTTCCATTACGATGATCTTCAGACTTTGCACTCTCAATTAATATTCACCACCCAACGGCCAACTATACACACCCTCTCCCTCAATCCCCCAAGTAATGACTTGCTAGTAGCCCCACCCCACCATCCAATTCCTGCGTATCCTAATCTTGTAAGGTTTGACCAGTCTTGAGATGCATTCCGAGAGGAGACACTGTTTTTTTCAGCGCTACTGCATTAAATGTTGGATGAATAACCTTTCGCTCGTGCATTGCACATTACCGCCGAGTGTAAATGTGATTTTATGATAGGGAGCATGGGCGAGCTCAGCGTTCAACACCCGTGTGAAGACTGACAAAAGCTTCTCGTATATTGAATAGGAGGGGACGTCTTGCCAGATGCAGGGGTTTTGGGCGCTGCTATCGTGGCCCATCTTGTGAGTAAGAGGTGAGTCACTGTAATTGAGAACTACGAATCAATACGCATACATGCGAACTAATACCCACAGTAAACAAAAGCTTTGTCGGGAAAAGGGCGATCAAAACTTTCAAATCTCTGCACTGTATCAGCGAACCAGCAACGGTGATCAAAACGCTAGTATTGTTATGGGCTCGCAGATAGAGTGCGGGTGCTCTCTTGTATAAATAATACATCGGGCATGCTAATCGAGTATAGATTCAAAGATGATCAGGGTATGATTAAAGTAAGAACATTCGCCACAGACTGTCAAAGCCAAGTTTCCTAGACAGGCTAGCTTAGAAATCGTGGACCAGGAGGGAACTTTCTGGACCGGGAGTTGTCGAGAAAAGTAATGGTGATGAGCGAGTAGAGGCAGAGCAGGCGATTCTCCAGGTAAAAAGTATCACCGGGCGCAAGGAAGGTCCAACGGAGTTAGATAACGAGTAACAAACTATTCCTTCACTGACTGGAAGACATACTACTTGGTGAGTGGTGATTGAGGTCTTGACTCACTCTGCTGACACGTACCTCATTTACTTTGAGATCCGGAGCTGAACTATTTCAGAATAGGAAGAATTGCATTATCAAAGTTAGGAATAGTTGCAGCTGCCAGATTTGGTGTCAGTTGCAGACAGCAAAGATGAACGAAGAGCCGAACTGCTTAGCTTCACCCATTGAGGGTAGTATGTCACGGTCAATAAAATTGGTTGGAAGGGACGTAAGTAACATAACTATGGTCATATTGAGCTAAGTGCATTTTAGTGATGTCAATCCTGTGCACGACCTACAAGAAACAAACAGACGCGTACAGAGCGCCTAGTATTATATGTACGTACTAGCAATCAATAAACCCCAGGAATAAGCTGGTATCTCACTTTCTCTGCCCAATTCTCCCATTCTTCTCCAAAAGCACGCTGCAACATTTGGTCTTCCGCTGCAGGTCGGTTGAAAGGAATCCAAGTGTGCAAGATTGTGGTAAATACGAGAAAGGTAACGGCAAATACTTTAATGAAAGGCACTTGTAAGATCCCGGACTGCCTCATCCATGATCCTTGACTTCCACACATGACGGCGATCCCAGCAGTTTGAAGAAGAAGACCAGTGTAGCTTGGATGGCGCACCACCGAGTACGGCCCGCTTGTCACAAGTCTATGCTCTGTTTTGACGCTGACGTGGAAGTTCCAAAGCTTTCCTAACGTCGAGATACTATAAAACCTCAATGCGCCGCCAATCGCAGTGGCAATGCTCCCGACAAGGAATGCGGGGGTGATTGATGTAGGGTGAAGAACGCACAAAAGCTGCACAGCTCTAGCACCATTGATGCTTTCTGGAATATGCGAGGGATCTATGTGTCTAGCCAGGATGTTTGCCACTTCAGCAGATGATGCTGCCCATGCGCTGATCTGTTATATTTTCCACAGATTAATAAAGACAACGACTAGTGTTTAAAAGCAGCCTACCTTCAGTAACTCCAAACCACGAAGTTTCAAAAACCATCCAACGATGGATTCGAACAACGAGGGCACCATCTTCTCTTTAGATGACGGTGGCGGAGAAGTAGAAGTGAACGAAATATGGATGCCAATGGCCGAAATTAGGATGAAGGGAATCTTCAATAGACTCATGGTGTGCCGCTGCGCTTTATCTGGAGGAAGTATTGCGAAGGGAACTGATTGAATCTAAGGAGGAGGACAGTATGGTTTTTATATTGGATTGGGCTCAATAGCTTACACATAATACCTACTCTTACGGGCAGGACGGTAAACTTGAACATGTTAGGCCGAGGTATCCTCGGTTCGGGTCTTGCTGTTTCACCGGGCGAGTGGTTGCATCATATCTTGACCAAAACCTGGACAACGTGTCACGGTTGACATGGACATTTCTGAGGGGCTGAGCTTTACTGTTTTTGCTATCTCACGACATCCGAAAATCGAAATTCTAGAAACAAGAGCCTTTTTAATCATTAAATTGCACCAAAGCCGACTCGGCCTCCTTATACTAGTGTTGCTGCTAAATCGAATTGAGTCGAATTGAGGCAGTACGCCAATGTTGGCAGTCGCGTAATTACGGTAGAACCAGAGTTCACTTATCAGTAAGTCCCACATCAATATCCAACTTGAAATTTATAATCCAAGTACTAGAGAAACGTGTCCAAGGCTCACACACAAACCAACTTCTCACTCGCGTAGATGGGGCCCGATGTACTGCCGCTGCTACCAAATCTACTAGTACAACTTTTCGGTTTGGGATAGTCCAGGATTGCTTACGGACTTGAGTACGAAATAGGTTACCAGAAACCATGAATTTACAGCGATTTTCATATCGATTGATCAGAATTTTTTCATCTCACCACTGCTATTTACTTGTGGACAAACAGGCCGGGTCCCATTTATCGCAGACATTATTCAGGGCCTGAGTCAGGCGAACAAGGGTGGAATACCCAACCGGGGCCCCGGCGTGACTAGAGCGGAGAAGAAATGGTGTTCCAACATTTATCAGCTCCAGGGCTGGTGGTACGGTGCGCTGGTTTTTTCCCCCAGGTATATACACACTGACTCTAGCTAACCGGATACTCGAATGGCAGATTAGTGGTTTGCCGATAGTCATTAATTTGCACTCCTGTGAATTGTAATTGTGAACTTGGTCCAGCTGGGCTCAGTTCGCGTCCAGATGCCACTATTCGGCCGGCTGTTCTCGCTCTTCCACTCTCAACCCCACACCAATGAAGACTTCGAACTCCCGCAATGCCCGAGCCGTCATTGTGTTGTCGAAGTGGCTGTAGCGTGAGACAAGTAAGGTATGTATCCCTGGTGCGATTATAATTGTCGTGGTTTAATAATTCTTGTTCAAACTTCGGTTGTTACGCGGGGGCCACAATCAAGAAGGCAAAACGAAACGAGTATATGAGCAAACACAATTGCACAGCCAATCCTACGCATCGTCATCGCACAATAAGCCTGCTGATACCTTAAGCTTTTAAGATCCATGACATCAGGTACTTGGTACTAACATGGCAGGTACACCAGCTGCGCAGTCACCACCCATTCAATGGCAGGTCCAGATCGTACTGTTTCTCTTGTGTGCATCTCCATCACATGCCAATAGTCATCAATATGGCTAACGTTGCAGTATATGCACAGCTACTTCATCTTTGCTTCCAGTGATTTTTGCACTTATATCTCTTTCGTCATACTTTTCAGTATAACATCAATCTTGTTTTCTCGTTGTGAGTCTCATGTGATCTATCGACCTTGATATTCCTGATTGTAGCGAGCGAATGACTGTGTTTCTCAGTAAAACTTTTCTACAAGCATGCATCCGCACTCGCCCTGCATGATTTTGGTATTGAGGTTGACATGGACAGGCTCTAACTTGAACAGCATTACAGATCGATCTGCGTGCGATCAAATTCTGAGGTTCGTCTGTCCACTCGCGGCTTCCTGTACACGTCACCCATTCCTTCATGCAGATACACTTTTGCAGGACCATCATGCTTCATCTTGTCGTACATTATTCCTCCTCTCGTGCCAATCTTCCAACCCGACACACTTGACATCTAATTTTGACCACATATTTTGATCGTTTGCCTACAATGCCTAGGACAGCCTTTTAGCGCACTTTTCTAGCATGACAGCAGAGTGAGGAGTGCAGGAGGATCACTTCGGATAATAATTTAATTGAATGAGTCAAGGACATGGCTTCTGTCGATACCATGATGAACATCGGGGCAGCAGTGTGTAAATTGAGAAAAAAAAATCATGAGCTGAGTACTGCGCGTATGTCGTATCTTCGTGCACCATCACATGTCGACAGTGCCTGCATCTCCATAGATGTTTGTTTGATATTGTAGGCTAACTTACAACAACAAGGGAATCATACCGCTACGTCTGGGCAGTGTATGCTCGAATCATTACTGAGCCAGCAGACAAGGCATCATTTGTTCCAAAAGCATCAGTCATTCATCATAAGTTGTCACGGTGGGTCCTCGTCAATTATGGTCGTTATTATGCGCGTTCCGATCTTTTCACGGGTAAGTACCATTCCGTATCAACGTACCGTATGTCACAGCATCCCATTCCCCATCCTACTTACATTGCCATCTTGCTACGAACCAGGTCACAGATATACCTATGGAGAAATCCTGACCAGAAATCAAATCACTTCTTTGGCCTGCCTTGAGTTGGCGGATGCATGCAGAATGCCAATTTTGACATGAAGAGCTTCAGCCTTCGTACAGCTAAACTGAATATCATTAATGCGGCATTATTTGAAGGACACGAGCTTACTTTTCAAAGCATGTTCGCTCAGTTCACGTCGAATTCTGAACTGCTTAAAGCCTCCAAAGGGCATCAATATTTCAGTCTGGTTGGCGCAGTTTATCTGCCAGGCATCATTACACCACAAATGCGCGAGATGAAATAACGAAGAAACGAACCCATCAGTACTGGATTCGAGAGCATGTGCAACGTGGATTGCTCTGTCGATATACTTAGTTCACACCAGCACAGTAAGTCTGTATGACGTATCATTAGCCTGTTCAAAACCTCTGGAAAGTTGTTAGGGATACGATGGTCATGCCAAAGAACAATCTTACCATCTTTGGTCTCGAACTTCACGACGCACACGACAGAGCCAAATATCTCTTCTCTAACAATTTTCATGTCAGGCTGGCACTCCGCAAAGATTGTTGGCTCGATGAAGTACTTCCCTTGGCTAATCCGATTACCACAAAAGCGTACCGTAGCATCATCGTTCTTGCCGGAGGTTATGTATCCCATACTGTGCTTCACGGGTATCAAAGTATGTTTTATAATAAAGTTGACTAAACACACCTTGAATTGAGTCTTGTATACATGTTTCCCTTGGCATGTGTCGGGTGAAAAAGGATGGCCAACCTTGATCGATTGCGCGTGTGAGGTTGACAAGATCTAACAACGTTACAGAGGTACCTGTAGATTGTGACTTCGTACAACTGGTTACTTGGTAAATGTAACGACAGCCGATGTTTGCAGCAACATGAGCCGCGATGATAACAAGGTCACCTTCTTTGGCGTACGAGCTGCAGGAGGGGAGTGTTCAAAGGGCGGGAATAGAGAGACGAGTAGGGGATCTGTAGACGATGGTACCCGACTGGGAGCCTCCATTACTAGTTGTGTCAGCAAGCGAATATTTACAGACTAAAAGGCGTACTAGTGAGTCGGCAGCGCGAGCGTTTAAACTAACACTTGATATCTTGACTCACTGCTGCTTTAGGCTGCGTTCAACTAGATACCGTGACAACGCGGTGTGACATGCGCGTCCAGCGGCATCACATGATGTGACCACGACGTTGGTTGAAAACTTGAAATAGATTCTCATCGCATTCATACAGTGGCTGGAATCCATTTCAATTTGAGTCACCACACGATCACAGGCATGATGCTGTCCAAAAAGTTGAATGTAGGAGGGTGACAGTCAAAGGTGAGAAACAACGTATCTATAGGTGTGTTGTGACATCAGTATAGACGTTGCAATCAGCCGACATGGCTCGTGCACTGCTTAGCGGAGTTACGAGAGCATCTGAGTGGCGGAGTAAATAGTTAGTATAATAGAATATCGGAATCGGCCGAATATATTCTGTGCGCCACGAACTCCTATTATCGTCACTGTTCCTACTAAGCCCGGAACCTGAATCATAAGAGGTTATGAGCCCTGTGATACGTTAAAAAGCAAACGTTAAAGCAATACTGTAGAGATACGACACTAGGTTCGTCATGTGCAGCCCGTGACGATGTCACGCTTAGTCTTACAGGTTCGAATGTCCAGGTGACCTGTGACCTTACCCAAATAGATTCGCCGCTCGCAACGCCGTTTGCAACCATCTGACATGCTGCTTCGTGATTCAAGCAACTTGCTTCAGTCTGTCATGGATTCGCCTCGCATAGCGCTGACTGGTAACGAGTGGAATTGGAGACTCTGTGGTCTTAAAGCCTGCCAGGTGAGTCTACTAGTATGATCCGTTTTCAAGCGCCCATCATGCCATCGCAAACTGATATGTTTGTTGCTTCAGAGTGGCTCTCATGTGGTCGTGTTTTTGACCAGAGCAAACTGCCGCCTTCTGTTCAACATGAGATCACACGATTACTCAGGATCCCAACTCCAATGCAACCAACCATCCCATCTCGGACTCTGCCTGTCGCGCAGCTACTCGACATCAGTCTTTGCGCATCGCTGGACTGTGATCTTAGCCCAGACACCATCATTTTCTCAACAAACCCCCCTCTCCTCAGCCTTCCCAACGATTTCACGACATGGTCAATTCCCCCGCTCCATTGCGTCACTCAGCTCCTCGATCAGTTCAGTCAGGCTTGGTTTAATGGTCACACTTCAATCATCCATCCACTTTCCCCAACATTTCACCTTCCGTTCTGGGTTCTTTCATACTGGAGGGACATGTCATGTGCCCTGGAGGCTCGTCTCGCCTGGATATCGGCCCATGATTGGGTTCTTCAGAGGCTTGAGGATGAAGAGGACACAGGTCAAATCTTGATGCACGGAGCTAAATCATGTTTTCAAGGCATTTTTCATGTGTAAGGCCGGGGAGAATTTCAATCTCTCATTCGCGAGCCTCGCAAGTCGAGAGGCGTTGCAATATTTACGTGATGTTCAGAAGAATGATCCAGCTGGATGGACGAGGATTGCTACTGCTCAGTACAAGACTGTCAGCGTTGACCAGGCAACAAACTCCGAGTCAGAGAACGAGGCCACTGATACTACCGGAGCCGAATCCCCCTTCGACGATGCTAGCGAGCATGACCTCAATGCCAGTGACATGCCAATGGATGCACTCCTTGATCATATGGCTTCCGGGGGTGAACACGTCCGTTCTGACTGCCGTATCGATGCAGATGGCGGACTTCTGTGTTCAAACCACTCCGAAGTCTATGATGTGGGTGACATTACTGCCAAAGATGTGGAGAGTGGCTCGAATAGTGTTCCGAAGGTTGATTACGGGCGTGGAAAGCGTAGACGCATCGCAAATTCGATGTATGATGATTTCTGGTCCCATTAGCACATAACCTATGTTTTTTTTCCCATATGTCACAAATTAGCTTCGTCCCACCAAAAATTCATGTGACAGTCACACCAAATAGATTCGATTCGTTAAGGGCTGTGACCTGTGACGAACCTAGTGTCGTATCTCTACAGTACATTGAAATAATAATCAAGATGTCGAATCCCAATCCTAATCCTCCAACTTCTACAGCTACTGGGACTTCCACAACAGTACCTGTCCCTGCAGCAATACAAAAACCTAAAGAGATTAACCTCGGAGCGTTGTCGTCGTATAAAATCGAACCTTTGAAGGAAAAGAATTGGAGTGGATGGAAAGCCCGTATGATGGGCCTTCTCAAGCTTCATGGCGTGTCTGAACATGTAGACGGCACGACAAAAAAGCCTGATCCGAACAAAACGGATGAGTTGGCATCATGGAATAAACTCGACCAAGTTGCACAGACCTTGATAATGAACAGCATCACTGATGAACAGATGGTGCATGTCACCGAGGCTGCAACGGCCGAACAAATGTGGACAAACTTGATGAGTATTCATCAAGTTCGAGGACAACAGAGTGTCATCGTCGCGAAGCGAAATCTATTCGCTATGCGAGCAGCTGAAGGCGTCAATATCGTCGAACATATCAATGAGATGAAAAGGCAACAAAACGACTTACATCTTATGGGCGAGATGATTACGGACAAGGAATATAAATCCTTGCTCGTGATGTCCCTACCGGACTCCTGGGATGCCTTCACATCCTCGTACCTTGGTACGCATGCGGATGCGCAAGGGACAAAAGGTATAACGTCCCAGGAGATTACCTCGTTGATTATAGACGAGTATAATCATAGGGAGACACACAGTACGCAGGCGCAGGAGAAGGGGTATTATGCTAAGAGTACCGAATGCGGGAAAAAGCGTAAGATCGAGAAGGAAAGACCGAAACAGAACTTACTGGAATGTTCGATTTGCGGAAGACATAACCATGTCACCGCAAAGTGCTATTGGAAAGGCAAGCCGAAGTGTACGTCCTGCGGCAAATTCGGACACGAGACTACGGCATGCTGGGGAAACAAGACTTCAGGAGCGTCATCTAGACCTGTAAAGCCGAAACGTGCTTACCAAGTGCGAGGCAATATGGAGGATGACGACACCGATATGGAAGTTGAAGACGAACCTAAAATTGCGTTTATGGTTCAGTCTGATCTTTCCCTGAAGAGCGAACAAGAATCAATGATCTGGTACGAGTGGTTCGCAGATTCAGGAACAACCTCGCATATAACCAGAGTTCGAACTGCACTTACAGAATATGTCCCAATGAAAAGTGAAGTTGTCGGGATAGGAAACGAGCCCCTTGAAGTGAAAGGGCGAGGCACAGTCGAACTCGAAAGCTATATAGGCAGACAAAAGGTCAAATTTTATCTAAAGAATGTATTATACGTACCGAACGCATCAAACAATCTATTATCTGTGCGCCAGCTAGACAAAGATGGCGGATGTGCTAGGTTCGGCGGTGGAAAAGTGGCCTTGTATGCCAAACAAGGACAACACATCGCAGAAGGACATATTGAACATGGCCTATATAAACTAAATGTTAGAGCGAAGTTAAGACTAATAGAAAAGACACATACCGTAAAAGAGAGACCACCAGCCAATTGGCTGACATGGCACAAAAGATATGGCCATGTAGCGGTAACAGGTCTTAAAAAGCTGTATAACGAAAAGTTAGTAGACGGCTTGAATATAGATAAAAGTGAACCTCAATTTGAATGCGAAGCGTGCATTCGCGCAAAACAAATAAGGGAACCTTTCCCGAAATTAGTAGATCAACGTGCAGAAAAACCATGCAAACTTACCCATAGTGATGTATGGGGTCCAGCAAGGACTCAATCTATAGGAGGAGCCCGCTACTATATCTCCTTCGTGGACGATTGTTCCAGGAAATGTACTGTTGAATTTCTGAAACACAAAAATGAGGCATCATCAAAGGTAAAGCAATATATCGCTTACCTTGAAAGACAACAAACCGAATCACCCAAGACAATTAGGGTAGATAACGGTACTGAATATATAAATAATGAGCTGATAACATGGTGTAAAGAGAAGGGAATAGACTTACAAACAACAGCGCCCTATTCACCACAGCAAAACGGAGTATCAGAAAGACAGAATCGAACGCTAACAGAATTAGCGAGAGCGATGATAACTGAAAGAGAGTTACCAGAGTTCCTATGGGCAGAAGCGGTTGCACACGCCGCATATGTAAGAAATCGGGCACCAACCCGAGCATTAGATCATTCAACCCCTGAAGAAGTATGGAGTGGTAAGAAACCTGACGTGTCATACTTACAAGAATTCGGCGTACCTGTATATGTTCTCCAGGAGAACGCCAACCAATCTAAGATGCAGCCTAGGTCCATAAAACAAGTCTTCGTCGGCTTTGTGGATGGACCGAAGGCAATACATTACTATGACGCCCGAACACGTCAGATACGAGTGAGTAGAAACTACAAGTTTATAAACTCACCGGAAAAGATCCCAGAAAGCGCTAATGATGTACAGCGCGAGGGGGAGATTGATATGGGGGAGATAGACGCGCAGACATCAGGGGGAGCTGACGCGCAATCACCTATACAAGAACACTCCGTAAATGAACAGCATAGAGATATACGAGAACACTTACAAGAAAAGAGCTCAAATGAGCGTATATCCACAGATAATAAGCAGAAAGAGCCGCCAGAGACAAATGAGCTGCCCAGAAGAACCAAGAGACAAACAGTTAGAAAAGATTACCGAAAAATGAATGAACCAGACTTACCGGACTTTGATAATGACGAAGATGATAGATCTAAGTCATATGAAGTTAGAGACGGTAAACTACCATTGCCAGAACTTACAGAAGAAGACATAGTCTTGATTGCGATGGTAGAAGGAGGACACATTGACCCTAATGAGCCAAAGAATCTAAGAGAAGCACAGGCGTCAATAGATTGGCCAAAATGGGAAGAAGCGATACGAGCAGAACTTACCCAGTTAAACGAAATGGGCACTTGGGAGTTGGTAGAACCACCCAAGAACAGGACGCTCGTAGGAAACAAATGGGTCCTAGTTAAGAAAACAAATAAAGAAGGCGAAATCATTAAGTATAAAGCAAGGTTAGTAGCGAAAGGGTACTCACAAATTCCTGGTATGGATTATACAGATACCTTTGCACCGGTAGTACATCTTGAGTCGATACGATCGACGATGTCTGTTGCAGCGGCCCTAAATTGGGAAGTTGAGCAGATGGACGTGAAAGGAGCATATTTAAACGGCACCTTAACAGAGGAGGTGTACATGGTCCAACCGGAAGGATATGATGACAGTACCGGAAGAGTGTGTCAACTTCGAAAAACCTTGTATGGATTAAAACAATCTGGACGTGAGTGGAACATTGAGTTAAATAGTCGTCTAACGAAGATAGGATTTAAACGTACCGAGTCGGATCCATGCGTCTATATAAGACAGACCGAGACAGGCACGCAGATTATAACAGTATGGGTAGACGATCTACTCCTGTTTGCAAATAGTGTCAATCTTATGAGTCAATTAAAGACGCAGCTAAAAGAGATATTGGACGTTACGGACCTGGGAGAACCTAAAAAGATAGTAGGAATTGAAATAACAAGAGACCGTGCCGAGAAAACAATTAAGTTATCTCAAGCACGGTACATAGATTCAATCCTACGAAAATATGGACTCCAGGACTGCAACGCAGTAGGTATGCCCATGGATCTGAAAATTGTATTAGAAAAGGAGGATACCGACACAAAAGGCAAACGAAGTAATAGTTACGCCTCGTTAGTCGGATCTTTAATGTATCTTGCAGTGGCGACACGTCCCGACATTGCGTATGCGATACAAAGGCTAAGCTCTTTTGCCGCAAATCCTGGACTAACACATTGGTCAGCGGCAAAACGGGTATTAAGATATCTAGCTGGGACAAAAAACCTTGGAATTAAGTATCGAGGAAATGATTCCACGAACGCCAAAGTCAAATTTGAGGGATGGACAGACGCAGACTATGCTAATGACGTTCGCGATAGAGTCTCAATATCAGGATATGTCTTCAAACTTAGTGAAGGAGCCATTACTTGGAGCTCCAAGAAACAAAACGCCATTTCGCTATCCTCAACGGAGGCAGAATATGCAGCGATGGCGTATGGAGCAAAGGAAGCAGTGTGGCTCCGATATTTGTTCGAAGATTTGAAATTGGCCCAAGAAGGACCAACAATCCTATATGGAGACAATATGGCAGCGTTAGCAATAGCACGAGACCCTCAATATCACGCAAAATCAAAACACTTTGATGTAAAGAATCATTACATCAGAAGTAAGATTCGCGAGAAAATAATACAAGAAGTATACTGTCCTACAGAAAGGATGATAGCAGATGTACTCACTAAACCGCTAGCTAAACCGTCGCATCAGAGACTCTCCAACATGATGGGCATGTCTCCAGATTGAGGGGGAGTGTTGTGACATCAGTATAGACGTTGCAATCAGCCGACATGGCTCGTGCACTGCTTAGCGGAGTTACGAGAGCATCTGAGTGGCGGAGTAAATAGTTAGTATAATAGAATATCGGAATCGGCCGAATATATTCTGCGCGCCACGAACTCCTATTATCGTCGCTGTTCCTACTAAGCCCGGAACCTGAATCATAAGAAGGTGTCACTATGGTATTTCTGATCTATCATAGAAGCACCCAAAACAAGCTCGTTTGGGGACTCAATACTACTAAGTAATGTCTATGTTCCAAAGTAAGTAAGTTGTCATTTTGGCGGGTTGTGCATGTCCTCTAAATACAACTAGGTATCGCCCAACTGAGCCACCATTGCGGCCGGCCATGTTGTGTGACCGCGAGGATCTTGTGGTGGTGACGAACCTTGTCGCCAATGACGAGCATATTGGATTGATTGGTCCGGCGAGCATGGGGAAGAATTCTCTTATGAATGCCATCCTCTACGAGCTGAGTGTTCTTTGAAATTTATCGCCACGTCAGTTATAGCGGAGCTGAAGAAGACAGAGGACCTTATCAACGAATTTGAATTTTCGCCCTCTTTCCATCAACATACTCGCAAATGCTGCACAGCAACATGCCTGGTCTCCAACCATGGGACAATCAGTATAGCAAGGTGCTCGACCAATATTATGATTCAACACGTATCGAGCTTACGGTAGGCGAGCGTGACAGAGCCGAGTCTTATTTCAATGTGATTTTGGGCTGTGACAGATATGTAGTAGGGCTAAGATAGGAGCGCCTCCTCAGCATGGCCGGTGTAACTTACGTCACTCATTAACAATAATTTCCTTTTTTGCATATAGCCCCCTTTCGTTCGACGAGATCGTATAAGTATCAGTGAATTACCAGGAATCCCTTTAGGATTCACAATTGCATTTCCCTTGTTTCTCTTCTAGCCTTCGGAATTGCGCACACCCCACATCCATTCCCGCGTCCCCTGATTAGAACCTCAACCTTGCTACTTCAACACGCTAGGCAGGTACAACCTAAGCACTGGCCGCTTCCCGCTGACTTCCTATCATAATCATTCTAAATTGAACAGGCCAATTTCTAAAGCTCAACAAGATCCCTGTGACCATGTATAACACAGATCCAGATAGCTTAGTTGATATTCTTTCCTTGTTCGACACGACGATGGCGGATGCCGTCTCGCCTTCCGCAACTCATGGAGAGAGCGAAAAACAGCTGCCAGACATTCCTGATAGCTGGAAACCTCCCTCAGATCCCTTTTTTCAGGATTTCTTCACCTTCCTATGTCAATTCACTTTCAACAAGCCCGATCTCGATGAAGTATGACAGGAGGTGAGAAAGGAAAATGGCTGGAAGACGTACAACAGCCACATGTATGATGAGTTGGCGGGTCTTCGCATAGGCGTGAGTATACCATTTATTACCATTCCGACTTGTACGACTGACATGTTTGTTTTTGCAGCAAGTACTAGTATTGTTTGCGAGTCTTGCATGCCTGATGAGTTCATGGGCTGCTAAATATCTGCAAGGATATTCCCTGGAATTTTATCTCGTGTCCTTAATTTGGTCGTTTATATTGTCCTCTATGGGACTGCTTTTCCAGGTGTTGTTTGGGTCATCCGCCACGTTATTGGAGTCAGGCGACAATTGTGAGGAGGCAGGTTTTTTTTCCAAAGCATTCAGCTCTATCATTGACCAAAATTGTTTACTCAGGGTCAACAGCCGTTCGTGGTGGAGCGTTGCTATGTCCTGTTTCATGTTTGCCAGTTTCGCATGGCACGGTTTCTTCTCGCCTACTCTTTTGGGTGTCTCGCGGGCGGTAAGCATACCTCGTTTTATTTCATCTCGGTACTGACTTGTCTTCCAGCTCTTTGCATTATTGTCCCCAGGACGCATATTTTTGCCTCTCTTATGGCGACTGTCACAATTGGTAGATTCTTGGACGCTACCTTTATGAAGGATCAATCAAAGCTTACTTTGTTGTACTATCGACGATTTGGGTACGTGTGGTTCGGCATTTTGGTACATTATCTTCTATGGCATTCGATAGCAATTCATACTATTCCCTAGTGGAATACGTTGTATCCTTATGAGCTAGGATTTGAAGCCGTTTCTTTTACATATTCAAACGTTTTGTACCATTAATGTCGATTCATCTTATCACTTGACTCTCAGTAGGAAACATTGAGTGACACAGCGACACGTCGATCGATCGATCTAGCAATCAAACAAGCGCGACGGTTTTTCGGGTATTACCGGTGGGTGATCGTAAGTTGCGCGCTCCTCAGTGTTGTGTGTACCGTGCATGTCACAGTAATATCCTTGTCATTATAACTACACTTCATTTCCATTTTTGCTTATAGGTGGCAGCTCATACCCGGTCCTGGTGCTGCGCCTCCTCGGAGATTCTACTCGCCGATGCTTCTACATACTAGGTCCGTGCGCCCTTAAATAATCTGCACTTTGGGGCTTTGTAAGTCGTCTTTTCTCTGTCTTCTTCGTGTGTTCCCCGCCTTTGCAACTCACTTTGCATTTGTGAGTTAGCATAACTTGAACTCCGAGGTAAGTATACGCTGTTCCCATTGGCCTTCTCTCACGAACGTTCTTCATTTAGATAACTTCTACCCAACAACAGCCACCTCCAATCATGTCCAACACAAAGTCAGGGAGTGTCGAGAAGCAACTCCCAGAACTTCCTGAGGATTGGAAACCTCCCTTGGGGTCCCGCGCTCAGCAGACCTTTGCGTTTCTCTGCACTCTCATTCTTAACCAGCCTAATCTCGAGAAATTATGGCGGGAGGTGAGAAAGGAAACGGGGTGGCAGAAGTATAACGATCGCTTGCACCACGAGGCGGTAGGTCTTCATGTGGGCGTGAGTTTACCGTTCATTCCATCTTTTTTTTTTGGCAAAACTGACGTGATTCGCATTCGTAGCAAGCACTGGTTTTTCTTGCGAGCATGATGTGCATCTGGAATACGCCACATGGCGCTCAAAATTTCGACGCCACTTCCATCGAGTATTGTTTTGCGCTGCTACACACGTCGTCCATCTTCTCTGTCATAGGACTACTTTTCCAGGTGTGCTTTTTCAGATCAAACTTGATGATAGAGCTTTATGAAATTGGTAAAAAGGTAGGAAATATTTAGATTCGTGCAGCTGTCATCGACTCAAATAATGCTCAGGACAAGAAATCATTTGGGTTGGGGCGTTACGATGTCTTGTATCACGTCGGCTTGTTTCGTATGTCCCAATTCTGTCTTGCCTACTCTTTGGCATCTATCCTGGGCGGTATGCATATTTCTTCGGTTTGGTTTCAGTTACGGTGTTGACTCGCTGAAATTCTACCTGGCAGCTCTTTCCATCATCCTTCTGGGGGCGAATTACATTAACTCTCTTACAGGAGTTGTGACTCTCGGCAAATTCTTGGACGATTTTTTTATGCAGCGTCATGTCAGTTTGGTGTGTCTCCTGTCTGCTAGTGTATGGTTTGGCATTTTCGTCCGTTCCAAATTTTTCACATAATCGTGATACACCTCTGGTGTTTTACTTTTCTGGTAGAACTCCTGATATTTAATACCTATGTGCTTGTTTCTCTAATTTTATACACGTTTAATCAACTTGTGCCGAAACATTCGATCTTATCATAGAGCCTGCCTCATCGACGTCTTCAAACAAGACACTACTTGCCCTATCCAACACAGAATAGGATGGCTTGATTGCTATTCATTCCTCTCTTAATTAGGGGAGCGACTCGATATGTATGTAGCGACCGCTAGGTGGCCTTTATGGCCAACCCAATACTCGAAAAGACAACACGATTGTTCCTTCTGTATGTTCATGTTACATCATGACTGTCAGCTCTGCTCGATCATGAATTAATTTGTCAGCCACTGACGATGTTGAGCTATAATACGTATAGATACATCACAAGCGTCAGGGCCCGCGGACCGAAGCTGCCATCAGGGATGTAAGTATCTCTATCTGCGTCCTTATCAGATTTACAGCTCGAACCCGCTTTATCAGCCATCCAAAATCTCACTTGCAGGAAAGCCCTTCCAATCCTCCACCCAATCACTCTCATTTCTAGGTGGTATAGAAATGAAACGCCGAAATAACGCGACGATGAGTTTCTAGAGCGACATGGCACCAGCGATATGCGTTAGACTTTGTAAGTTCCACACGCTAGCGTTCATGTTTGATTCCTCATGGTTTGATGTCTCCTTTACATCAACATACACACATGCCATCACGAAGCTTACACCGCATAAAGGGTTCTTCGATCGCAGTGCGCACGCTTGGACGCACATTTGGAGTAAGTGAGTGATCGAAACAAGATGAAAAACTATGACGTAAATGACTTGATGACGATCGGAAACGTTGAAGCAAGGCTTGCGGCCTGCAACGGCCAAGCAAGCTGAGGTGAATGAACTTGGAGCTTACCAAGCTGTACAGTATGGAAAGGCCCCCAATGTATAGAATATAGCGTATGTCTGATTCCGTCTGAAGCCTGATATTTCATATCGTGAAATTCATAATGAATAAGTCTGTTCAGAGCCTGTTAATGGACTGGTTTCTGCCTATGCATCATCATAAAATTGTTCATATACTGCGCATTCGTAGTCACAACCAAAGAGGGCTACTCGACACAATCGTGTCCAATTCCAAGCACAAACCGCTAAGCTCCGAGTCGCCTCAAACTTCATTAGTCTCATCTGTGATCTCCTTCGTCTGTATTTGCGAAGGTAGTCCGTAGCGGGGAGCCGAAACTATCAATGGCATATCTGTCTCATGGGCACGACTGTCGCTGCTCCGAAGGTGGAATAGAATCCGCGAGGCTAGGACGCTATGAATGACAAGTTGTAGCCTAAACGCAGTCAGTTCGTAGTTGGCAGCCAATATCAATTTAACCAGAGACACACGTATCAAACAGATTTGTGAAGCCAACCTGCAGCCAAGTAACGGAAGATAAGTGACTATAGTATTGACAGACATGTACACGTACCGGAAATGCTGCATCGACAACCACATTGGTCACTGTGATGGCTTTGCGAAACGAAATACACAACAGTGTTAACTGTGGAGCCAATTATTTCCACGTACCGATGATACACAACATATAAAGCATGCTACCGCCGTAGACGGTGGTTACGATCGAGCTCTGAATTTCTGAGTCTCGGTAGTCGTGGAACCACTTATACGCAGTAAGGGCCAGTATCACTGCCAAGTTTTGCTTGTAGGTCAGGTGCCCAACGGTATGCCTGCATAATCACTGACCACATTCGAAAAGTGCCAATATAGCATATACCAGTGCAGAGTTTCTTGACGACTCAAAGCCGCATGGCCCGGGTATCATAGATACATCTGATGGCCATATTAAAACAACACGTGTTGGCAAATATGAACGAACTCGCCTGTTGAAATCAACTGGTGATTAGGAAGGACATTCATAGCAACGGCGCCAATTACTGTGGCCTATCGAAAAGTCAACGATCTAGTATGCCCTTAAACCAACCCTGTGAAACACGCACGGTGCTATAAATCAATAATCCAATCAGCATTTTTTTGCTCTTTTGCCAGAATGCCCAGGTCCGAATAACTAGCAGGCCTGTCACAGAAGCATGATCTACCCTGTTCTTGGCAAGGACGGTGATGTATGCAACTCGCACCTTCCGCAGCAACGATACTTAAAATATGAATAACTGAAAATCGCGTTGATAGGCTGAGACAAAATTAACCACTGGGTGAGATGACTTACTATTTTCCGCCAAACTAGGGGGACACTTTGTGCCATAAGTACAATCAGCCTATCATTAGAAGCTGTTCCCTGCGTATACTTACTGAACCACCGACACGCAGTGCAGCTAAGATAGCCATCAACTATACGCAAAGATAAGGATCACCAGAGTGGGTGACTCACCATATGCAGTCATTCCAGAGCCTACGAAAGGGAGATATCGAGAAATGGTGAAGACAACACGAATTAAACCCCATGGCCTGGACCAGGTCCAGTGTACCTGTAGAGAGTGATTAAAATCACAGTCATAGACAGATCATGTTCTTGACCTCATCCTGAAACGTGATGCAGTAATCAAATACCTAAGACACCGAAAAGAGCCATCATTTTGAGCTGGTAACATGACGAATGTGCTCGGTACTCACGAGAATTGCAAGACTACCAACTGAGGATACAACATAGTCAGTATCGCCACCTGCTTCACGGACGATCCACAAGTACTTACTATTGGTGTACTGAATCAAATGCCAAGTCAGCATCGAACTTATCAAGTTGCAATCTTTGCGTACCTTGGATATCTGCAAATCCGCAACCTCTGAAACATAAGACATCTCTGAAACAAATATCAAACTGTTATGCCTAGACTCGCCTGCAAGTCAGAAAGGTCCAGAACCACTGCAAGCCCCACTTAAGTACGATTGTTGACACACGCGTGACCGAGCTTCCCACACATTCTGAACATCTGTGATCATCTTGAACGGGCGCTGTTGAATCGATATATGACACAGAAAATTCAAAATAGGACAAAAATGGAAACCGGAGCGCCTTGTGATTGGTGACTGCATATGTTCGTGACCCTGGTTGCTACTTCAAAACTTCATTGGCGCTGCGGACAGTGCTATGCATAGCCTTAATGACTCCTTATATGGCCCAGTCACTGGGGCTCAGTAAGGAACCATCATGCGTCAGACTCCACGGACATCTTCATCCTCGGATTCAAATACATCTATGATTGTATCTTGCAATATTTTCTCAAAGTGCCTGCCCGGCCTATCCTCACCGATATCTTATTAGTTTGCTTCGCTCGGATTCTTGCTGGTTGCCGGTACTCTACCACGTATTGCAATTGTAGCGTTTGGCCAGGTTTACCAAAACGTCTACATTGTCAGTTTTGATTCGCTCAGCTTACCGCAGGTACTCCGCCACGTATTGCAATCGTCAAAAAATACATGCCGAGGACCGTCCTATGTTACCGTTAGTATCCGATACAATACCAATCATGCAACTAGAGTTAACTGACCACGGCCTTTTGCAATTTCCTAAAGAATTGGACGGCTACCAGGATATACAAATCATTGATACTTGGACGGGTCAGGTTCAGCCGGTAAGCACTGCCTAGAGTGGTGGTGATGGAGTTTGAACTTCGAATGATTGTTCGTCGTTGTGGTTACAGTAGCCCAGCGAAATTATATGTACCCGGTTGGTGCATTAGTGTAGCTTGCATAATTGCGTATATATTTTGATAGTTCGATTTCCTCATTGGTGTGGGGTTGAGAGCAGGAGAGTAAGGACGGTCGGTTGATGAGTGCATCTGGACGGGAACTCAAATGCGGTGAGAAATGAGTTTCGGCTCCTTCGTCAGTGCCGAGTCGAGGTCGAGGCAAAAATGAGGAAAGACGAGCTAGGAACACACGTGGATCTAACTGCGAAGACATGGCGATTTGCTGAATTTTGTCTGGTGAGTCACTTTCAGGTGGAGAGTGGTGAATGAATGACGATAGGCGAGCGAGCAGTACATGTAGATGGAACGCCGAAGGCCTTGAGGTTCGCAGAAGTTCTGTCGCTTCATCATTGTTAGGTCGAAAGCCGTGGAGGAACGAGGAAAGGCGAGCGATGAGTGCATTTGCAGAGAAACGGAGGTGTGCACCACCCATTCAGGACTGAGAGCAGAGGTACAGATAAGGAGTAAGCAATAGAAATGCTGAAATACTGATTACGCACATCAACATTGGCTTCCATGCCAGCAAAAAACGTTGGTGAGAGCTTGTCGACACCGCCAAACTGGTTAGTACAACATGAGCACCAACCTGCAAAATGTTACTGATATGATGAATTAGAAGAATTGGAAATGGGACAGGTACCTCCAAAACCAACTTTTCATCGAGCGAAGAGCGGGATGTGCTGTATTTCTGAATCAATCATCATCATCTCGAGGTGCCTTTTGTTCGAGTCTATTGTTTGGTGTCTCAGACAGCAGACATTATCAGTGAGAGAGAGTGAGTGATATGTCGACACTGACAGTATTGGTACCAATGAGAATGAGAAGTAGGTCTTCAGGGCCAGCTTCTTTGAACATCCCACGCATACCTGATAGTATAGTTACCAGTAATACGCGTTGTGTTTTCGCAACCGGTGGCTAGCAGTACAACACCCTTGAAGATCTAGTTCGAAAAAAATCACCCTCAACCCGAGGGTAAGTATCAAGCAGTGAGCACAGACAGCTCAAGAAGATGTCTTGAGTCAAAAAAATTATCAATCGTGATCATAGCCCCGTTAGGCAGAACAACCACCACCCCGGCAATGGGCATCTTACTACAAATATTGTTCTAACGTCTCACATGCATCATTCACGAAACGCGAGTGACATCAGCGACTTGAACGAAACCATCAGCGAACCTGAATCCGTCATCAGCTTCAATGAGGACGTGTATTTGGTCATGCAAAATGCTATATCCACTGCGACTTACGTGGAGCAGGCTCGACAAATAATAGAACAGCTGGCGACTAATCAAAACAGATGGATCACGACTCCACCAAGCGTGCATGACGCGGATGCATCCAGGATTTTAGACGCGATGTTGAGGAACGCTCACGGGACTGGTGGAGAAAGCTCCGAGCGTTATACCGCCTGCGCTATTTGCGCATGCCAAAAGATCCACGAGCAAGTCAACCTCGCCAGGACTTGGTTCATGTATCTGTTATGGCCATGTGAGTTAGGACTTGGAAATGTCTGCCACGGACACTGACACAATTTTTCCCTTGATAGTCACAGCCGGGGCATCAGATTTGGCCTCTGGTCAGTTTACATCGACTATCGACGACATGTATGGCAGCCTTGCTGGTACGGAACGGAGTAGCAAATTCAGGACCGATGCATGTTCTACTAGTTAAAAAGTAGCTATTGGCGTTAACTTCCAACAGGTTAATCGACGAGATGGTTATAAATGCGTTGTTTCAGGTATATGGGATGGAGCACACAGACCCGCAGGTGTCGAACAGGGTTGGGTAACCTTACAAGCAACGCACATCCTGAAACGGGCTGTCGGGGTTTTTACTATGGACCGGGTAAGGATGTCTCTGTTAGGTTATCATTAATATCGACCCTCAAGTTGGATTATGCAGACACATACCGCGGCTGCAACGTGGAATATCATTCGACATTACTCAGGACTGTCCGAAGAAACTATTCAAAACATGGAAAGGCTTGTAGACGACCCTTCCAATGGCATGATGCTGGAATGGAATACCCACGATAATTTTGACAAGCTGAAAGTATACCTCGAGCAGACGGAGGTGAGCCTGTAGTCTGACATCATCGCAATGCCTCATATTGATCAATGCTCCAGCGAGAAAATGAGTACATGGTCAAGGAGGTTGGGGGCAGGCCGTGGATGCACCCTCGCGAGCTCCTCGGTAAAACTATCACCTTCCGGAACCACGACGCCCCTACGGAAGACCTGCCATTACCTAACCCTCATCTCATCGCACTACACGCAGGCATCTCCCAAATTCTGTATATGAGCGGCGCATCCGAAATATTTGCGCAAATACTGGACAAATATGATGGAGCAGCAGGAGGCAATGTCGGAAGTCTGAAATGCAATGGAGATCCAGTGCATCAACTATCTTCAATGATGTCTGTCCTGTCTATATGCGCCTCATTGATTGTTTAGTGTCTCACAATTACATGAAGTTCGGTGCATTAATTTATAGATGTAAGTTTGAAAATGCATGCACCATTTTTGTCTCACGTCTGAGCTGCTTGCACGAGTCGTACCAGCACTGAGTGCTAATAAAACCCAAGGACACCATTACAGCAACGTTGGTATGTTGCTCCCCCCCCCCCCTCCCTGCTGTAGTCTCGGTTCGGCACCGCCAATGAGGGCCAATTCTGCTTAAGAGATATGCAGTAACACGTACGTGGTGGGATCAACAGTACTAGTACAATTTTTTGCATTGATGTGGTCCACTTAGCTATGTAATTTGTTTGGCTAGCATCGGTGAACAGGACCTAGTGGTCTGGCATTGAGTAGCAGTGACTAAGGGAAGAACTCGAACCTGAGTGGGTCCCTTCATTGATATTGATCTTTGAAAGACGTCGAGATGAGGACGGAGCCATTGAAGGGATATTAGATTACTCGGATTGCCAGTCAACTGGGTTCAAACGACATTTCGTGTCATACTGCGACTCTAATTTTAGACACTTCCAATATGGATGTCTCTGGGAGAATATCAACCATGCCCAAACGATCATCCAACCAAGTCAAGGTATGAACCTAAAAAGCGAAGCTTGGAAAAACAACTCTATGATCTGTTCCAAATGCAGCGCCGTCACCTACAAGGAACTCCTCATATTTCATATGATTGAGCTACGAGCAGGTGGTGTTGCTGCGGCTCTGATGTTAGGAACTGCCAAAGGAATAACATTGACGTCTCTGGGAGAGCATCAGTGGCATCTAGCAGAGTCCGTGAGGTGCGAATCTGGAGTGAAGCTTTGAAAAGCGATTATGCGATCTGTTCGAAACGCAGCGCTGCCACCTGCCAGGATTTCCTACATTTCAAATGCGGGCAGGTGACGACGTTTGCACATGCTCCTGCAGGTTCTACCGGAATTTCAGCCATTTGATAGCAATAACGATTCTGCCAAATCAATTAGAATCGTGCCCATCAGTATACAAAGCTGGCTGTCGTCTTACAGTGTTCCCCCATCCATCATTCGAAATCCCATCAGAAAATTCCATATCGCCTCCCACTGAAAATGCGTTTCTTCTTCCTTGCCGTTGTTGTTGCTTTAACGGCGTCCGTGTCTGTCAGTGCACATGCCGAAACACCTTGCTCACCAAATGATGATTGTTGCGTAAACTTCGTTTGGATTTGTGACTTGGATGACGTGAGTATGAACAGTGTAACTAGGATTGTAACTCACCCGCGCGCCTTAGAATACGGCACTTTTGACCTCTGAAAATTGAAAATCGAGCCAGCAGTTCGAGCAGCACGTCGCAGCAGTAAGCCACGGTTCGCTTTCAGTTTGATATCATGGTTGATGGTGATGGTGCAATAGTTCGGAGTCGATTAGTAGGATTGTCTTTGGACAAACTTTCGTACTGCTCGTGCAATGTGGATGTTTGAACTTATCTGAATATGATCGACCGTGCCTAGGCCGGGATTTTCTACATTTCAAATGTCGGAAGTTCGGGCAGGTGATGGCGTTGCGACTCCAATTTCAAGCACTACCAGAAGGAAAGGTATAATAATTAGCAACGAGCATCTAGCAAATACAAGGTACGAACCTGGAGAGTGAAACTTTTGGGAGTTTCGTGTTGCACCTGAATAGCGCGATTGGTAAGCCTTATTAGGCTTGGCGATAACGCGCCTCGTCAATTGATAGTAGACTGTTCAAATCAGTAATTCATGCGGGAACTCCCATAAACTATACCCCTAAAACACAATAGGATTCCAGTTATCACACAAGGGTCGCAGTTACATATGCTCCTGCAGGTTCTACCGGAATTTCTGCCATTTGATAGCAATAACGATTCTGCCAAATTGATTAGAATCGTGCCCATCAGTATACAAAGCTAGCTGTCGTCTCACAGTGTTCCCCCATCCTCAGAGATATCATTCGAGATCCCCCCAGAAAATTACATATCGCCTCGCACCGAAAATGCGTTTCTTCTTCTTCGCTGTTGTTGTTGCCTTGACAACGTCTATGTCTGTCAGCGCATGTGGCGAAACATCATGCATAACAGATCAAGATTGCTGCCTATACTGGGTCTGTCAACTTAATGCCGTGAGTATGAGCAGTGGAACCAGGCTTCAACCACGTGACTCACCTGCGCGCTTTAGACTACGGCAGCTTTGGCCTGCACATATGGGTTACATTGAGCCGCCAGCCCGAGTGGCGCGTCGCAATAGCAAGTCATGTTTCTGCTTTCGCTTTGATATCATGGTTGATAGTGCAATCGATTAGCACAGTTGTCTTTGGACAAACTTTGGTACTGCTCGAGCGATGTGGATGTTTGAACTTGACTGGAAATGAGACCGTGCTAGTGATGTGCACGGCCCGGCTTCAGGCCGTGGGCCGGCCCAAGCCGAGCCTGATTAGGCCGAGCCGAGCCGGGCCCAAGTCAGGGCCTGACCACAGCCCAGGGCCCGGCTTTATGTCCCTGCTCATCCATCATCGATATCAATGCATCCTTACTTTAGGGAGTCGAATCGTCTGTTACAGACTTCCGTGGACATCCGGACATCAGGTACGAGTTTATTTACTATATCTAAATCTGTCTAACCATTGCTACTCTAGTCTCTTCCGCAAATCCAACATGCACAGGTCCGATTTATCCACGCACGCCGCAGGTGTTCAATCCGTGTTTGTAACTCTTTCTTCTTAAGATAGTGGCATTGACTTTTTCTGAACCAGTATGTATGATCGTGCGCACCTTGCATCGAAGCCACTGCAAATTTCTACGGGACTGCGATATCGATTTGAAACTTTGATAGGCGTCACTGGGTACAAGATGGCAAAATACAGACCACGATGGTTGGAAGTTCTAATGATGGCCGGAAGTTCTAATGGCATCTTTGGATGTCGCTTGGCGTCCTCAGTTTTTCTTCGTAGTTCTCTTTGAGGTGAGATGAATTGCGTTGCTGACTAGTACATTTGCTGACCTTTTCGAGCCGGGCCCGCACATCACTAAAACTTATCGACTTTTGTAGACAACAAATGTTGTCTTCATGGGATCTCCTCCTCCCGTCTGCATATTCGCAAAAACGGTGGTTTCTTCGAGGCTGAGAGCCGCTTGTGGTATGCAAACTCAAGTGATGGTCCAAAGTTAGAGCTGAGAATTTGTGTAGGACCTGTTACTTAGCCATGCCGCTTTATATCTGTGGCTTTTTGATGCTGGGCGCTGGGATACAAAATCTCAACAAAGCCGCTCTCATCATAGGCTGGGGCATTGCAACGCGTATTGTAATGACTGCTTCCCTCGTCCTGCCGCGAAGATTGACACGCTTGCTCATTTTGTTTTTGAAAGCCGTCGTTGAGCCGAAGCCGAGCCGTGGCTTTGGCCCACAGCTCGGCCTGAGGTTTTGCAAAGCCCAAGCCCCCAAAAGCCAAGCCCAAGCCGGGGCTTTCAGGCCGAGCCGGGCCCGCACATCACTAGACCGTGCCTAGTCTTTCTCGTGGTCCGCTAATCTTGAGTTCGAGAGGCCGTCAAAACGAGCAACTGTTGCTGTTGATGATTAGTATTGGGAGGATGCAACGCACTGCGCAGACAATCTTGGACCCGTTCGTCTAACGTTGGCCTCGAAAGCTAGCCCTCTCTGGTGTGGTGGCGCTAACGAGACGCCACTTCGTGATTCGTGACAGACGTGTTATTTTCTGGTCTGCAATCAAAACCCAAAGTCATACAGGAGCGTGCGCTATGATGAGAGTGGAAAAAGCGACAGATATGAGGATAAAGAGGACAAATATTACTGACTGTGCGATACTTTCCAACAGAGTACCATGGGGAGCTCGAGAGTGATTCTCTTCATCGAACGAGTGTTGGATAGGGTACAAGGGACATTTGACGAGGAAGAGGAACTTGGTAGAGCGCTGGCTGATGGTCACTAGTTTCGTCAACGTCGTTCCTTGTCTCCGAGGGAGCACAGTGTCATCGGGGTATGCCATGGACCAACTTGATATCATTGTGATTGTTTGATGGAGACTAAAAACTTTAAAGTGAACTGTGATAGTGTAGGTTAATCAAGATTATCGTCCACTTAACTGTTACGCCAAAAGGTAGTCAAACTGAAAGCTTGTGTCGCGGACAGTATTCATGAGATTATGGAAACTATAGTAAGCTAGTATGCTTACATATGGCTGCGACAAAGACAAGTACCCGGGATCTTTAACCAAGCGTATGTCAAGAATGAGAATGAGTACCCATGTCCGAAAGATAACCCGTTATCTCTGCGCAGCAGTTGCAGAGTCATCGGCCTACTAATGGCATAGGCGAATTGCACGTACCCCATATAAGGGAGCAACAAATGCATGAGAGAAAATGACACGAGATATCGACCGAATACACATCGGAAGTATCGATGAGAATGAACATCAACTTGTCAACTTCAGCGTTGTGCAGGGTCACTGCAGGTTCAAATGATGAAGCGATGGGTGAGATCGGGATGAGGAACCGGTTATTCAATCGTTCGAGCGTTCTGTGACGACGAAGAAGAGCATTGTCGATGCCTGCCAGCAGATTGTGATACAAATGGTCGTGACAATTGAACACCCTCCTGCAGGTTCTACCGAAATTTCTGCCATCTGATAGCAATAACAAATTCCGTCAAATCGATCAGAATCATGCCCATGAGTGAATGCAGGATATAAAAACTAGCCGTCGTCCTATAGTATTCCCCCAACCTCAGGGATACCATTCAAGATCCCCCTCGAAAGATTCCATATCACCTCGCACAGAAAATGCGTTTCTCCTTCCTCGCTGTTGTTGTTACTTTGACAGCATCTATGTCTGTCAGTGCATGTAGCACATCAAAATGCGCAACAACTGTAGATTGCTGCGAAGATATGGTTTGTGCTCCTGAGGTGAGTACGGCATGAGCAGGTCGCTGTGCAACCGAGATTCAACCAGACTCACCTGTGCGTCTTAGAAAGGAGGTTCCACCTGCATTTGAAAATTGAGCCGGCAGCCTGAGCAGGACATCGCGACAGTGAGTCATGTTTCTGCTTTCGCTTTCATATCATGCCAGTTGATGGTGCAATACCTAGTTCGGAGTCAATTAGTATCTGTAAGTTGTTTTGGGACAAATTTCCGTGCTGCTCGAGCAATGTGTATGTTTGAACTTATCTGAAAATGATCGACCGTGCGTAGTCTTGCTCGTGGTCCACCAAACTTGAGTTAGAGATGATCACGAGTCTAGAATTTTGACCGAGCGTTCAAGTCGGAGGCTGTGGTGTTGATGAAGGAGAGTAGGACCTTTTGGGATTCTGAGTGGACCTAAAGAAATAGTTCTATGAGCCGTTCTTGATCGCGAGGACTCGTCTTCAGCACAGCAGCTGTTCTGGTAGGAAAGATAATACTTGATAAACCGTATGTACACTGCAATCGATTAACATCATGAATTCATATTAAACGGACACAAACGAGCAGTTGCTGAACGGGCCCTTAGGGCCTAAAAAAAGAAGCCAGGCGAAAGTGGTTCACAAGATACTCCCATGTCTACAAGGCTGTATGAGTTGTGAGAGGAGGGAGAAAATCGTGGATGAGCGTGTACTTAAGAATGGTTGAGATTATGGAAAGGTGATCATTCAAGTTGTGTCATCTCCATACAATATTAATATCGACTGTTCACGCGCCCGTTGGCATCCAAAGCGAAATTGCAATGAAGAGCGAACGACGAAGAAATATGAACGCTGAAGCTCAAGGTTGAACACTACATCATAGGCCATCCGGACATCACGGCACGACGACTGGTACACAAAATGTGCAGCACCAGGACGTACAGTCAGGACATGTTTTCAGCGACTGCTTGATATCAAAATCGAGGCTGCATGGCATACCGTTGAAACTTGAAGCAACCCCAGATTGAGGAGGTTAGATATACACTTAACGCGGACAAAGCAATAACAATAGTTACAATAGTTACAAAAGCACCAGGTGCGAGGATGAGATAGGTGTCCAGACGCTACAACGTTATTGCCTATCTGCATGCGGGAGAGATGCACAGCAGAGAAAAAGAACGAGGCGGGTTCGCAATGGAAGGTGGAGTGGCTGCCCGCTCGCTGCACCTAGCGCGGTAGTATGAGCATCAGGAGCAGTAGATGTCGCGGACATGGAGAGAGCAACAGGCTGGCTGAGTCTGCGATTGATCGTACAATTGGCCTTGCTGATGCTGTGTTTGCGACGATGTGGCATCATGAGTCTGCGCTTGGCCTTCCTGCTGTTGTGCTGGGTGTACATTGGCACCGACGCGCTGAGGGGATGCGCAGCAGAGAAAAAGTACGAGATGAGCCAACATTCGGAGGGGTAGCGAATGCACAGGTCTTGTACCTGGTATTGTGGTATCACGAGGCTGAGTGGGCATACGGTTTGGTCGCAGCGGCTCAGCAACAAATAAGACCTGCATAGAAATCATGAGACACTATAAATTGACACACCAGAGAAAAACATACCTCCCTATCCCGCATGGCAGGTACTGCGACAACATGAGAATGCATTGTGCCTTGCGAGAGTTCGAGTTCATCGAGTTCATCTTCGGTACGAGGTTGAGAGCGAAAGAATGAGGACAGCCGGCTAATGAATGCATCTGGATGCGAACTGAAAGACGTTGTAGGATGATGTTTAGCTTCTTCGTCGGTGCCCAGTCGAGGTCGAGGTAAAAATGAGGAATGTTGAGCTAGGAGTACATGCGGATCTGACCGCGAAGGTGTGGAGGGTTGCTGGAGTTCGTCTGGTGCATCAGTTTCAGATCGAAAGCGGCGACGGAGCGAGGAAAGGCGAGCGAGGAGTGCATGTGGACGAAACGCCGAAGGTCTTGAGGTTTGCAGAAGTTCGTTTGCTTCACTACTTTGGGGTCGAAAGCGGCGGAGGAGCGAGGAAAAGCGAGTGAAAAGGGCATTTACAGAGGAATGGGGGTGTGCACCACCCATCGGGGAGGACTGAGAGCAGAAATCTAGATAAGAACTAAGCAATAAAAATGACGATTACGCACATCAACCTCGGCTTCCATGCCAGCAAAAAACGTTGGTGAGAGCTCATCGACATCCCCAAACTGGTCGGTACAGCGCGTAGCATCAGCCTGGAATGTTATCGTTGTAATGAATGAGAAGCATTGCAAATACGGCACGTACTTTTAAAAATGATTTGTCGTCGAGCGAAGAGCGGGGTGTACTCTGTACTCTTGATCCATCTTGAGATGCCTTTTGTTCGAGTCTGTCTTTTGGTGCCTAACAGCAAAGATTGTCAGTGAGAGTAAGAGAGTAGGTGACATGTTGACACTCACAAGTTTGATACCAATGGACAGTAAGTCTTCAAGGCCAGCTTCTTTGAGGATAGCGTGAACGTCCCACGCGTACGCGTTTGTGTTTTCACAACCAGTGACTAACACTTTTCCATCAAGGGAAAGGGCTGCGGAATGCAAATTATGTTCATGCAGGAGGGGTAAACCGACTTGGAGGTTGGTATCGAGATTCCATAGACGCGCTGTTTTATCTTGTGATACACTTGCAAGGAGGCGGTTGTTCTGGCACAAGGAGATGGCGTAGACAAAGTTGGTGTGACCTGTAAGGATGGCGATCTGCTGCCAGGTGGCAGTGTCGAATATCCTAATCAGGCGATATGAGCCGGAGATAAGCTTCTGTCCGTCCGTTGTCCATGTTAAGCTGCGAACTATATCATCATCCTGCTGGTCCGACATCCTTGGGGAGTCCAGGTAAACCCAGTCGTGATTATAGTGTTTGAGTATGTTCAAAAGCTCGCCTGTTTTTGCATCCCAAATTTTTACATTGTTTCCACCCGTCGCAAGTTTTGACGAATCAGGCGAGTACATCACCGCTCGCACCCATTCATGCCCCGTCTTGATTTTCAGGATATTTTTCCCGCTGTCGACATCCCAGATTCTTGCTGTCCCATCCCAGGATCCACTTGCTACTTGCCCACCATCTCCACTCCAGCACAATGAACACACAACAACGGTGTGTCCTGTCCATTTTGCAATGATCTTCCTCGTCTCGACGTCCCATAACTTCACTTTCCCATCCTCGCTTCCGCTGGCAATTTTCTTTCCATTTGGAGACAATACTATGGACCGCACTCCGTTTCCCTCGTCTTGCCAGACTTCGCCTATCTGTGTGCCGCTTTCTATGTCCCATAGTCGGAGTGAACCGTCTAACGAACATGTGATGATGTGTCGTCCGCCAGGCAAGTGTACAGCACCATTTACCCAGTGAGTATGACCTCGCATCATCCGGCGTGGCCTGATAACTGGCATCTCACTAGTAGACGAAGACATGATCCGCGCTCGGAATCTCAACTGCGGGTTGTATACGAAAGAAGTCTTCCGGAATCTCGGAATCAGACCAGATTATCTGGCAATGGAAAAGTTTGCTTGTGAGTCCGGGGAGCTATCTCCTTTCAATTTGATGATTATCAGAACATCACAAACCATAGATCACGAGGCAGCGTGCTTACAGAATTCAATCCTCACGCGTACACGGCAAAATTCGAGAATGTGTGCGCCAGAGATCTTAGTGGGTGTCCGAAGTCTCTGGTAAGCAACTCGTTAGCTCTAAACGGCAGAAGAATTCAGAGCATCACTCACGAAAAACAACGTTCCCGCCAACCCAGCCTGAGTGACCAACTACCATTGATCAATTGGGGTTGAGGGTGATCGTTCATTTATGCCATTTTGAGGTGCGTCTTATGCGTTGTTCTCATATTTGCTGTGGCACAGCTTCATTGCTGTGTAGACGCAGCACACAGGTAGGTCTGCGACTGGCGCTATGTACCGTGCACCCTCTATATGTAAGGACTACGTTCATGCTTCTAACAAACATTCAACAGCGTCTCGTGCTCCCTCTCCATTCCACACGTTTCTTGTGGCCTATGTTCGAACTCTAGCATACACTGAACGTTCCAATCTCAATAATGACGTTTCAGTCGAGTACGCAAGTCGATATATAGCCTCGATGGATATAGATAAGTATTCGGATAGCTACGTGATCCCTCCTCACCAATCGGCCCCAGTGAAAATTGGACATAGCTATTTCCACGCGCTGCCACAGTGGCTATGACACTTTGTATGATGATCAAGCTAAGTCGAAGTCTTGTCAGAATTCGGTCGAAGTAATAATAGTCTACCTTTATCTACAATGTCTTATTTCATCAACCTGCGTGGAAACGATCATGTCCAATTTTTTACTGTTGGCTGAAGTTCGAACGTCTCCAGGCCAGCGTGATGGGGGCTGAAGTTATGGAATACCAACACATAGAAAGCATCAATCAACGAGCACAGTATGCATATGGGCATTACGCGATGAAATATCCCCACACTATTGTTTAGTCTTGATGTCTTCAGCGGATCCTTGTGTTGGCGTCAAGGGGAAGTTCTAGGACTATATAATATTAGTACAAACATAAAACAAGGGTGGAGCTCGTATATCTAGATAAGCGATGGCACCGTTCTTCTTTGAGAAAATGTTTTCAAATGACCATGCAAGTCCTGCAGCGAGTACAGATCTCAATCAGCTGAACGCCCCGGGACAGCGAACGCGGGGACCTTGGCCGCAAATATGATCACCCCTCCAATAACACTGCTACGATCAGCACGAACAGTAGGAATAGCTACATGCAGTGTGACCACCCGTGATCATTCACCCAGATGGTATGGTGCTTCCAGGACGAATGCGAGGCAAGTCATTGCAACCAGGATAGATCAGCAACAGCAAGTGAACTTGAGGGAGTAGCATCACCAGTCCACGTTATTCACAATCTTATAGAATCATCGATAGAGGTGATATGAGGTGTTTATTATTCGTAGTAGATGAAAACCTGAAAAATGAAGAACCATCCTGCAATGGCACTGTTGGGTACTGCTGAAGATCTGCAACAAGTGTGAATACAGTGTTCGAGCACTCACCTGTCGCAGATCTTGCAGATTTTGCCTGTGTTACATTTATCCTGGACGGGGAGAAGTGAAAGTGTCAAAAATAACTAGTCCATGCATCGGTTGAGTGGACGTGGTAGTATCTTGACTCTGGGACGGGTTAATATTCAGTTTTGTGTCAGACTATCATGGTGGCACCAGGCAAGAATAGAACATTGTCTAAAGCGGAATCGGCGCATTCGACACATGGTTGTTGATGTCACTTCAAACGCACCCGGAAAGAGGACGAACGAAAGTGATGTATGTGTAGCTCCTCGACGATACTTGTGAAATCTGCAATGTCAGGCCTCGAGAAGGCGCTTGGAGACAGATAATACCTAGATGAGCACGGGCTCTCCATACTGCAAAATAGCAATTAGAATGGCACGACAGAAGTGTGGCGTTCGGATGGGAACTCACATACAGAAGAGTCGACGGACACGTTGTAAAGAGAAGTTGCACAGGCCCGACGAGTTGGAGCTTCCCAGTAAGCGAGTCATATTTGACACAACCACTTGGAAAGCACCAAATAACCGGCAGAGTCCCGTGTATCCATGGACCATGTTTCGTGGTGGGATGTATGCGTCGTGAAACTCGCCCAAGTCTTAATGATCATGATAGGCCTGAAAAAAAGGAACGGGGGGCAGGTGGGAATCGTGGGATCGTTGAGTCAGGAAAGTACTTGGCAGCAGGCGCCACGCCGCCTCAAAAATTAAAATAGCTACTTACCATAGTACGTCACAGCTCTGAGCTTCTGCCAAGTGCCAACAACTCTAAGTTAATTCTTGACTACTATCCTTGTGCTCCGATCCAAAAAGGTCATGTTCCAAGAACGCTCAACAGCCGTGACCAATATTGGACCTTGCAAATATTCGATATAGCGATTAGCCTTCCTGCGATCACTGCGACCCGCTGGCTCGATCTTACTTGGATTTGACTATTACCAACTTGGTGCGCGTTGCGGCCCTTGCCTTGAAGGAGATGGATCTCATGAGTCATTATCAGAGCTGCATGTCTTCTCGGTATAAAACTTTCTCCGAGTATAGTCGCAGCACTAACGAGAACAAGTATAAAATCAACGCGGTTGAGTTGAAAAGACCTCAAATTAATTCCTCCTATTGCAGTGAGTAGCCTTCTGAATGCGGTACACTATGCAATTTCATTGAGCCAACGTTACACGTATAATAGCTCTTCTAAGACATTTTCAGAGCAATTTTTCCTACATTGGACTTTTGTCGGCGTGTGGCTTTCCTAGCATGGTCACCTCATAGGCTGATGCATAGTTATACCAGATACCATGAGGCTCATCCAAATTGTTTACCTCACAATCCTCGCCGCTTCCAGTGCCGCTGCCAGTGCCGCTGGAGTGAAGTCAGCACCAGATCCTCATATATCCTGCGCAGGCTCATGTGCCTCCTCCGAAAAATCTTTGGACTGCAAGCAATGGCCATGGACACAACCTTACCTTCCGCGTACCGGGTGCTGGATGTGTTGTTCCTAAAGCGCAATCAATGAGTAAGTGCCAGATGATTATGGGATACAGCAGGCTGAAGGTGATAAGTTAGCTCCTCAATGATACTCGAGAAGTGTGAAGTTGGCCCTCATATAGGAACCCCAGGCAAGGAACGCAGGCGGACTGGGCCATGGGAGGAGTATGGGATCTTCATACTGCAGAATAATAATTAGGATGGCACAGCAGAAATACAATGCTGGTATGGGAACACGAACATGAAGGAGCAGACTTGTATCAACGGAGGCAAGTATTGCAAGGAGACGTTGCACAGGGACGATGGTTTGGAGTTCGACGACCACTTGAGCAGCACCAATCAATCCGCATAAATCTGTGGGTGTACGAGACAGTTTGCAGGCAGGCGATTATAGACAGGTGGCGATATCAGCAAGAGGATGAGTCTGGATGATCATACTATAGTACTAATCGTGATACTGATCCATCATTAGACCATAGTGAACGAAGTTGGTCATCATCGTCCATGGGCTATGGCCGTATGGATCGACTTATACAGACAGGATATATCACCTTGCAGTATGTCGTCTTCTGTTTTTGCCTCTAGTAGCACTAACGGTGGTCCAGTGAATATCGGCCAACCAGCTTGAGACGCTTGGATACTATCACGTATGATACACCATTATTCGCGTGTCAAGTTTTGTCCCCGCTGTATCGAGCCTCATCCATGTCGTATCCATTCCCTGCACTCATACCTCATCAACACTGCATAAAGCTTCACCCATGCCACGTCATTTTTACTCCATGACATGCCAAGGCTGCGTCAAACCACACGGAGACTGGAAGAGTACTAGGTGATGTTGTCAGGAATTAATACTGTAGGCCGGTTGGGTAAGTTGCCAATAGCTTTGACATGGCATCTTTGCCTCGTCACAGCTGCGTCACTGGTGAATCATGACAAAGGCAGAAATGCGTGGCCGCCAGAATCACTATACCCACGAAATGACTGGAAGGGATAGGTTCTCTCACAGTATCATCCGCCGGGCATACCCATTTTGCCAAACCTTCTTGTGATAATATAAAAGCAAGTCATCTTCCTACTGGCACCAGCGTCCACCCATCTCAAAGAAATCATTCAAGTACCTCAGCAGATCATACCACCCTAAACAGACGATGCGTTTCTTCTTCCTCGCCATTATTATTGCGTTGACAGCATCTATGATGTCTGTTACAGCAAGACGACCAGACTGTAGGCTTGATGGCCAGACTTGCGAGGTGGATACCGACTGTTGCAATACCAATGAGGTCTGCGCTGTTACGTGCCAGCTTCCCGATGAGGACCCTCCACTCTGAGAACAAGCTGACTTGCACGTAGCGACAAACTAGTGAGTACTTTTACATTTGTATTGGTGCTGTTGTTAATAGAGCAATACGTAGAACTTCCGCTGCTGAATGAGAAATGAGCAGAGGTAGTATTGGGTAGAAGGAGTACATGATATGAGTGTGTGAGGTATTTCCGTACTGTCTGGTCTGGGATAAATAGAGCACCATGGGTCGGACCGGCTCAAATGCTTGTTAGCTAAAAGACGCGCAGTTTGATCAGATCAAAAGTCCACTTTCTCACCGCGTCCACTAGACAGGGTACACATGAATGATTGTGTCAGTCTCATTTGACCGTCTAGTTGGAGCTCGACAAGACGGTCAAGACCTGTGATACAAATCATAAACTTAATTGGCTTGACGTGGCATTTTGCCTCGTCACATCCGCATCACGAGTACATCATAACTGAGGCAGGCGCCTTAAAATGGCTACAACCATTTCGCTTTCTGAGGTGCATCTTATACATTGTTCTCATACACAGCTTCATTGCTGTGTAGACTCAGCGCACAGGTCTGCGACTGGCGCTATGCGCCGTGCACCCTCCTATATGTAAGGACTACGTTCATGCTTCTAACAAACATTCAACAGCGTCTCGTGCTCCCTCTCCATTCTGCACGTTTCTTCTGGCCTATGTTCGAATTCTAGCATATGTACACTGAACGTTCCGACCTCAACAATGTCGTTTTAATTGGGTATGAGAAGATATCGCAAGCTGATATATAGCGTCGATGGATATAGATAAGTATTCGGATGGCTACGTGATCACTCCTCACCTATCAGCTCCAGTGAAAATCGTACAGCTATTTCCACGCGCTGCCACACAGATTTACTGCGGCTATGACATTTCGTATGATGCTCAAGCTAAGTCGGAGTCTTATCAGAATTCGGTCGAAGTAACAATAGAATACCTTTATTTACAAAGTCATATTTTGTGAACCTGCGTGGAAACGATCATGTCCGATTTGCGCTGTTGGCTGAAACCATGGAACATCAACACACAGAAAGCATCAATCAACAAGCACAATATGGGCATTATGCGATGAAACATTATTGATGTCTTCAGCGGATCCCTGTATTATCGTCAAGGGAAAGTTCTAGGACTATATAATATCACTACAAACACAAAACGAGGGTGGAGCTCATATATCTGGATAGGCGATGGCATCGTTCTTTGAGGAAATGTTCTCGAACGACCATGCAAGTCCTGCAGCAAGTACAGATCTCAATCAGCTGAACACCCCGGGACAGCGAACGCGCACTTTGATTGCAAATACGATCACCCCTCCAATAACACTGCTACATTCAGCACGAACAGTAGCAACGGCTACACGCAGTGTGACCACCCGCGACCATTCACCCAGGTGGTATGGTGCTTCCGGGACGAATGCGAGGCAAGTCGTTGCGGCCAGGATAGCTCAGCAATAGAAAGCGAACTTGAGGGAGTAGCACCACCAATCCACGTTATTCACGACGTTATAAAATAATTGAGAGGTGATATGAGGCGTTTATTATTCGAAGTAGTAAATGAAAACCTGAAAAATGAAGGACCATCCTGCAATGGCACTCTTGGGTACCGTTGAGTATCTGCAACAAGTCTGAATACAGTGGTCGAGCACTCACCTGCCGCAGCTCTTGCGGATTTCGCCTAAGTCGCGTTTATCCTGGGCGGGGAGAAGTGAAAGTGTCAGGAATAAGTAGTCCATGTATCTCTTGAGTGACGTGGCAGTATCTTGACTCTGGGGTGAGTTTATATTCAATTCTGTGCCAGACTCCGACAATGGCATCAGGGAGGAACACAGCATTATCTAGAGCAGATCCAGCGCATTCGACACCACGTGGTCATCGAAGTCACTTCAGAAGCACACCCGGAAAGAGGGCAAACGAAGGCGATGTATGAGGAGCTTCTAGACGATACTTGTGAAATCTGCGATGTCAGACCTCGAGTACCTCTGGATACATGATACCTAGATGAGTACGGGGTTCTCGATACTGCGAAATAGCAATTAGAATGGCACAGTAGAAGTGTGGCACTGGGATCCTCACGCATAGAAGACTCAAGAATCGACGGACGCGTTGTAAGGAGAAGTTGCACAGACCCGATAGGTCAGAACTTCCATGTATGAAAGAGGAGAGTCGATGGAGGCAAACATTGTGAGGAGACGTCGCACAGGCCCGACGAGTTGGAGCTTCCCAGTAAGCGAGTCATATTTGACACAACCACTTGGAAAGCACCAACTAACCGGCATAGTTCCGTGGATGGGCGGGGCAGTTTGCAGGCAGGCGATTATAGACAGGTGGCGATATTTATGAATTTGGATGATCATACTAATCGGCCCGATGATACTGGTCCATCATTAGTAGGCCGATCACCATGGTGAACGAATTTGGTCATTGCATCATCATCCATGGGCTATGGCCCGTATTTCTTGTGGTGGGATGTGCGCATCAAGAAATGAGCTGGGTTCGTTGCAACTCCCAGGTTGGGTTTTTGGAAACGTGCCATATTCCACACGGTGGGAATTTCGCACAGCCTGGCAAACTAGTACCGAGCCAATCACATGAATGCATCTGCATCATCTACAACCCGTTCGCTCGGCATTCTCATATAGATAAACACTCACATTCACGAACACTATCAAGTGGAAAGGCCCAGGAGTCGAGGATCGCAACAACCCGGGTCAATGAAGTGGAACCATGAAATAAAACAATGGTGGGCAAACTTGAACATTCTTGGGAATTATAAAACTACGGAGTTCCGAAGAATCGAATGTACAGGAGGTATTGGCAATCGGCGCGATAATTGCTCATTAATCATCCTTCCTGTTGTGCTGGCTCGGTTTAATTTGTATTTGACTATAACTAACTTGGTGCACTTCAGGTAGCATGCGGAGATGGATCGCATACACGGATATTTGCATGTCTTATCGGGATAAAACTTTCTCCGAGTATAGTTCCAGCACTAACGAGAACAAGTATAAATTCAACGCGGTTGAATTGAAAAGGCCTCGGAGACGAATGCCCATTGTTGCAGTGAGTAGCCCTTTTGCGCTACACTATACGCATTTCATTAAACCGACATGTAATAGCTCTTTACTTTTTCATAGCAACTTGCCGCACATTGCACACAGTCTTTTGTCGGTACGTGGTTTCCTCACAAGGTCACATCATAGGCTGATGCACAATTATACCAGATATCAATCATCACCATGAAGCTCTTTCGAATCGTTTACATCACATTCCTTACTGCTTCCAGTGCCGCTGCCAGTCCCACTAGGGTGATGACAGCATTGCCTCCTCAAATATCCTGCATAGGCCCATGCATTTCCTCTAAAGAATCTTTGAACTGCCCATCAGGGACATCGCCTGCCTGGATGGTTACGTGCTGGCGGTGCTGTGGCCCAAGTGGTTGAATCTCTCCGTCATTTTTGCTCTCAATACATGTAACATGTATATCATGTACCGTTTTCCAAAAATTAACACAAACAAGATTCCTCAGTGAAGCACAAACAGAGATGCACAGCAAGCTCCCTGACCCGCGTCCGAATGGTCGCTTGACCACTATCTCTACGCTCTGCTCAGAGATGGCCGACGGAGCCACGGTTCGTGTACCTGGCGTCGGTATCGTTCATCGTAATTGTACTCGCACAAGCAACTTAAGAATTATCTACTCCGTATCTAATTCTATTTATTCGAGGTATACTCGTTTTCCAGGGCATCGGGGCATCTTTGACTTCCTCCCCTTCTGGGATCTACTTGCTAAGTTGAGTTCATGCTCCACTAATTCATAAATATCTGTTTGAATGCTGATTGCATGCTGAGCTCGTTATTCTCCCACTTGACTTTCACTCTACTGTTTGCTTGGTATTCCCTCGCTGCATAGGTCCCAGAATGTATTGATCTGCCCAGCAGACAGCGCCACTACAATTCACCCACCCAAGTTCCAGAGACCGATATGTACAATCAATCCCTGGCTAGCTGTTGAGTACTTCATCGATCATCTACAACCTGTTCGCTCAGATACTCATATGTCGAAACACTCACGTTCACGAACACTATCAAGTGGAAAGGTCCGGGAGTTGAAGATCGCGACAACCTGGGCCGATAAAGTGGAACCCCGGAGGCATTGGCAATTGGCGCGACAAGCCAGCAGGAAGACAGCACTAGGACTACTCGGATACGCACACTCCACGTTATGTGATTTGGCGAGGTGCGGGAGTTTCTTTTCGACAATTTCGATTGAAGGTACCAAGGCGCTGGTTAACACGATAATCTATATAGGACATAGCAAAGCATATATACGGATTATTGTGGAATACAGCAGGCCGAAGGTGATAAGTAAGCTCCTCAATAATACCTGAGGTTGGCCCTCGAGGCTCGTATAGGTACTTCGGGCAAGTGATGCCTGGGATGAGTACGGGATCTCCATACTGCAGGATAATAATTAAGATGGAACCAAAAATATAGAGTTAGGATGGTGGAACGGGCTCGGACTGCAAGGGAACCAAGGCCAGACCTCTATGGCGGGAGGCTACGGCTCTGTCTATCGAGGACAGACTACGACACACGCGAGGACTACCGACTACGAGCCAGGACTCCTGCCACTGCGCCAGGACCCCTGCCACTTTCGTCCTGTCCTGCCAGAGCGCCCCGCTCCAATGGGAACTCAAGCGACTCGTGTCAATGGAGGCAAGTGTTGCAAGGAGACGTTGAACAGGCTCGATGGGTTGGATCTTCCCAGTGATCGAATCATATTCGACACTACCACTTGGAAAGCACCAGCCAACCCGCATAGGTCTGTGGGTGGGCGGGGCAGTATACAGGTGGGGGATTATAGACAAGTGACGATGTTAGCAGGAAGATGAATCTGGATTATACAGTAGGCCGATCACCGTGGTAAATGAAGTTGGTCAGAGCCTTGGCCCATATTTCTTGTGGTAAGACGTGTATATCGAGAAATGAGCCGAGTCATTCAGCTCAATCTCTTACACACAACTTGAGACAAGCCTGAAGGAAAAGAAAGCAAAATAGTACACGCTATTTTGGACTCCGACCCCGTCCACGTTATGTAATTTGTCACGTCATACACCGGCAAAATAGCCATCCGGCTGACTCGGACGAGTTCTGACGTGTTACTTGACCAGCATCCTTACCCCTCCACTCACAAATGGCCATGTTGAGGCTCTAAGAACGCTCAACTCAACAGTGGTCAATATTTCATCTTATTGCAAATACTAATTTGCTGAGTCCTGACAATTCTTGCTGCTGGATCACTACAACTCGCTGGCTCGGTTCAACTTGGATTTGGCTATCAGCAACTTGGCCCGTCTCAGGCTTGCATGCGTATTACCAAGGAGATGGGTTTAATTAACAGAGCTGCATATCTTCTCGGTATTTTCTTTCCGAATATAGCTTCACTGCTCACGAGAACAAGTATAAAACCAACGCGGTTGGGTTCAAATGGGTTCAGAAACGAACGCCTCTTGTTGCAGTGAGTAGCCCTCTTGCGCTACACTATGCACATTTTATTGATCTGACATGTAATAGCTCTTCTAAGACTCTTCTATAGCAACGTCACGCACATTGCACAGTCAGACTTTGTCAGTATGTGGTTTGCTCACACGTTCGCATCATAGGCTGATGCATAGTTATACCAGATACCATGAAGCTCATTCAAATTGTTTACTTCACAATCCTTGCCGCTTCCAGTGTCGCTGCCAGTGTCGCTGGGGTAAACAGAGCCACGGCCCCTCAGAAGATAAACTGCGACGGCCAATGCGCTTCCTCTTCAACAAATTTGGACTGCAAGCAATGGGCAGGGACATCGCCTTACCTTGTGAAAGACGGGTGCTGGGCGTGCTGTCAGCCTGCCACCTAAATTAGTTGAACCTCTCGGTCATTTTGCTCTCAATACAAGCAATATATGTATCGTGTACCGCTTCTCCAAAAATACTCAACATCGATAAGATGCCTCTGTGAAGCACAAAGAGAGATGCACCGTTGGCTCTCTTTTGACCTACATCCCGAACAACCTCCGACGACTTGAGTGCGTCACTTGACCACTATCCCTGCGCTCCGCTCAGAGATGGCCGACGGTCGTGCATTGATCCGAAGCCATGGTTCACTTGGTGGAGCGTAGCTGGCGTCGGTATCGTTCATTATAATCGCACTTTTACAGGCAACTGGATAAGCCAGTACTAGAACTACTCGGATACACACGCTCTGCGTTATGTGTATGTGCGTCAAATTCTCTTCCGACTCGCGTGGCTGACAACCTGTCTGCCAACTTAAAATTGTTGCTTGATCAGCGTCTCCATGGAGCCTCCAAAAACGTTCAGCAGTGGCCAATATATGTTCTTATGCAAATACTGTTATTTTCTCATCATCCTTCTTGTTGTGCTGGCTCGGTTTAACTTGTAACTACTTGGTGCACTTCAGGTAGCATGCGGAGATGGATCTCATAAACGGATCTCTGCATGTCTTATCGGTATAAAACTTTCTCCGAGTATAGTTCCAGCGCTAACGAGAATAAGTATAAAATGAATTGAAAAAGGCCTCAGAGACGAACATATCCTGTTGTAGTGAGTAACCCTCCTGCACTACACTATGCGCATTTCATTAAACCGACACGTAATAGCTCTTCTAAGACTTTTTCATAGCCACTTCCCGCACATTGCACAATCAGTCTTCTGTCGGTATGTGGTTTCTTCACAAGGTCGCATCAGCTGATGCATAATTATACCAGATATCAATGATAACCATGAAGCTCTTTCGAATCGTTTCACATCACATTCCTCACTGCTTCCAGTGCCGCTGCCGGTGCCACTAGGGCGATGACAGCATTACCTCCTCAAAGATCCTGCATAGGCCCATGCGTTTCCTCTAAAGAATCTTTGAACTGCATACCAGGGACATCGCCTACCTTTTTGCAGGTGTGCGGCTGGCGGTGCTGTGGCCAAGCTGGTTGAATATCTGTCATTTTTGCTCTCAATACATGTAACATGTATATCATGTACCGTTTTCCAAAAATTAACACAGACAAGATTCCTCGGCGAAGCACAAACAGGGATTCACAGAAAGCTCCCTGACCCACGTCCTTGATGAATTGAATGGTCGCTTGACCACTATCTCTGCGCTCTGCTCAGAGATGGGCGACGGAGCCATGGTTCGCGTACCCAGTGTTGAGTACTTCATCGATCATCTACAACCTGTTCGCTCAGATACTCATATGTCTAAACATTCACATTCACGAACACTATCAATTGGAAAGGCCCGGGAGTTGAGGATCGTGACAACCTGGGCCGATAAAGTGGAACATTGGAGGTATTGGCAATTGGCGCGATAAGCCAGAAGGAAGACAGCACCAGGACTAGTCGGGTATGCACACTCCACGTATGTGCGTCAAATTCTCTGCTGACTCGCGTGGCTGGCAACCCCTCAAAAGTGTTGCTTGATCAGCATCCCCATAGTAGTGGCCAATATTTGTTCTTATGCAAATACTGTTATTTGCTCATCATCCTTCTTGTTGTGCTGGCTCGGTTTAACTTGTAACTAACTTGGTGCACTTCAGGTAGCATGCGGAGATGGATCTCATAAACGGATCTCTGCATGTCTTATCGGTATAAAACTTTCTCTGAGTATACTAGTTCCAGCGCTAACGAGAACAAGTATAAAATCAACGCGGTTGAATTGAAAAAAACCTCAGAGACGAACATCTCCTGTTGTAGTGAGTAGCCCTCCCGCACTACACTATGCGCATTTCATTAAACCGACACGTAATAGCTCTTCTAAGGCTTCTTCATAGCAACTTCCCGCACATTGCACAATCAGTCTTCTGTCGGTATGTGGTTTCCTCACAAGGTCACATCAGCTGATGCATAATTATACCAGATATCAATGATAACCATGAAGCTCTTTCGAATCGTCTACACCATATTCCTTACTGCTTCCAGTGCCGCTGCCAGTGCCACTAGGCGGATGACAGCATCGCCTCCTTTAATAACCTGCGAAGGCCTATGCGTTTCCTCTAAACAATCTTTGGACTGCATAGAAAGGACATCACCTTACTATACGCAGGCTGGGTGCTGGCAGTGCTGTGGCCAAACTGGTTGAATCTTCTGTCATTTTTGCTCTCAAGATGTATTGATCTGCACAGCAGACAGCGCCGCTACAATTCACCACTATAAAGAGACCGATATGTACAATCAATCCCTGGCTAGCTATTGAGTTCACAGCACGAGAAATCGTTTGAGCACGGTGGATCTGTGCCATCTGTGCACAATATAAACTACTGTCGACAAATTGGCATCTCACTAACGCCAACCAAGTGCGAGAGGAAATCCAAGGCTGTAGAGATCTCCGAGTCAGATAACGAGCTTGGACCTTCAAGCTTCAAGCGCCAGGCAGATCGACTCTCACTTCCGGCCGTGCTCGTTCGTACTTCTTCTTATTGCTAAATCGCCCTGTCGTTCCGAATCCCACTGCACGCACACACCAGCCACGTCATCCAAGCCAGGAACTCCATGTGTCCACTCAATCGCCATGGATATTTCTCATGGTGGTATGGAATACACAACGAGCTCAAGCGTGATAAGACAAAGGTGGTCTGGCCACCTGTGATTGAGTTGGTTGAGAGAGACGGAAAATTTAGGAGAAAATAAGTCACTGGTGACGCCAGAAAGTGGCTAGTTTATACTGGTTCTCTTCCCCCGCTGGTTCCATAATATCGAGGTCGTGCATCAGGTTTTTTGAAATGTCACTACCCGAATCGAACAAGGAACTTGAAATGAGGACGAAGGTGTCGTCATCTGTATTAGACATGATTTGAGGTCTTGTTGAGCTTTATAGACAGTCTAGATGTGCAGAATTGTGAGAGGATATCAACTGTAACAACTGGAGACCTACCTTGGTGTTGCAGATCAAAGCGTCAAGATTCGAAGGAGGCGAGACAGTACGCAGAGTGTTGCCTATGAACAAAAAAGGAAATGACTATTGATCAAACAAGTGGTAGTGCCGGACATTTGAGCTACTGCGTGGGTCTGCAACGAGTCCAAGTGGACTAAAGACATTCATCTCGCAATGGTGCTTGGTGGCGCTGCATTTATCCTGTGCCAGGAGGGGCACTGGTGAAAGAGATAGCAAGACTGCCAAGGATACGTGGTCAGTGTGAGTGCTGTGTCCAACAACCAAGGGACAGCGCGAACCTAGAACGGAGCAATGATGCAATTCAAAATGCAGCGCTGCCACCTGCAAGAATTTCTTCATATTTCAAAATAGATTTGAGGGTGATGACGCTGCGACTCAATTCAGACACTTCCATTTTTTCTGATTAGCATTCAAAGGATCACTCAACTAAGCAAAGGTGCGAACCTAGAGTGAAACTTAACTCTGCGAAACAACTCTGCAACCTGCTCAAAATGCAGCGCCATCGCCTGACAGGATTTCCTTATGTTTCAGTCGAGGAAAACAAGGCCAGGCAATGGCGCTGTAGCTCCAATTTTAGGTGCTCCCAAAGGGAAAGGAACATTGATGTTCTAGGGAGAATATTAACAACGTTCGAAGGGCATCTAAGTGAAGGTACGAACCTAGAGTGAAGCCCCGAAGAGCAATTATGTTATCTGTTCGAAAAGCAGCGACACCAACTGTGAGTAATACTTTTAAACAATCCTCTACAGGGTGCTGTAGCTTGGATGAACGCCTAATATCACGGGTGACAGATAATGGACTGCTCTTGGTATGGAGCATACTAACGGTGCAATATGTTCAAAGTGCTGACAACGTACGTTCACAATCTTCCTGCGGTGGGACCTTGCGGCCTTTGGTGCAGAAGGACACTCGTTTGTTTAAAGGCGAAAACGTCGAATATCAAAAATCTCGCATAGATAACGAATCATGACGAGGAAAGTAGATTGATGATGTGCTGAAAGGCATAGCGAAAGAAATATAAGTGCAGAATCACTGGAAAAGGTGAGACAGTTGAGTATATGCTACAACGCTAGCTGTATCAATGACTATTAACGTGTGATGGAGATACACAGCAGAGAAACAGCACGATCTGGGTCCACCATTGGATGAGTAGTGACTGTGCGACTGCTGTACCTGCTGTGGCAGTGCTAGCACCTGGAACAGGAGGTTTCGCGGGTCCCGAGGCATCGGTAGGCTGACTGTGCGATGACGACGCCTGGGGTTGGCCATATGATTGGGTTTGCTCATATGCTCGTTTTGCTTTCATGAAATTTGGCCCCCGAGCGACAACCAAAGACTGAACAGAAATTATTAAACCAAAGCGATGAGGTACTCAAGAGAAGCATACCTGCTTGTCCCGTATTGGAGCCACTTCGACAACATGAGGACGGCTTGAGCGTTGCGGTTCGATTTTCTCGTTGGTGTGGGGTTGAGAGCGGAAATGTGAGGACAACCGACTGAAAAGTGCATCTGGACGCAAACTGAAAGGCGTTGTGGTATGAGGTTCGGCTTCTTCATCAGTTCTGGGCCGAGGTCGAGGTAAAAATGAGGAAAGGCGAGCTAGGAGCACATGCGGATCTAACCGCGAAGGCGTGGAGGGTTCCGGAAGTTCAGTCGCTTCACCATTTTTGTGTCGAAAGCGGTGGAGGAGCGATGAAAGGAGTGCATTTACGGAGGAATGAGGGTGTGTACCAATTGGAGAGGACTGCCAGTGAGAGCAGAGGTCTAGATAAGAACTAAGCAATAAAAATACTGATTACGTACATTAACATCGGCTTCCATGCCGTCAAAAAACGTTGGTGAGAGCTCATTGACACCACCAAACTGGTCAGAATATTGCGTAGCATCAGCCTGGAATGTTGCTGTTATAATGAATGAGGATTGTAAACACGGAACGTACTTCCAAAAACGACTTGCTATCGAGCGAAGAGGGCAGTGTGTGCTGTATGTCTGAACCGCCTTGAGATGTGTTGTGTTCGAGTCCACCCAACTGGTCGGGATATTGCGTAACATCAGCCTGAAATATTACTGTTATAATGGTGAGAAGGATTGGAAACACGGCACGTACTTCCAAAAATGACTTGCCATCGAGCAAAGAGCGGAATATGCGCTGTATTCTTGAATTATTTTTGGATAGTAGGTTTTCAGGGCCAGCTTCTTTCAAGTTGAGGATGGCATGAACGTCCCATACGTACACGTTCTTGTTTTCGCAAGCAGTGACTAGCGTCTTTCCATCAGGGGAAAGGGCTGCAGAGCGCAAACCCCATTTGTGCTGTAGGGGTGGTCCGACTGGGCGTTTGGTCTGAGGATCCCATAAACGCACTGTTTTATCCCATGATGCACTTGCAAGGAGGCGGGTGCCCCAGTGAGATAAGGAGATGGCGAAGACAACGTCACTGTGACCGTCTTCAAGCGTGGCAATCTGCTGCCAAGTGGCAGTGTCGAATATCCTAATCGGGCTATATGAACTGCAGAGAAGCTTGCTTCCATCCGACGTCCATGCCAAGCCGAAAGCCCAGCTGTGTGTTTCAGATGTTTCAAGTGTCTTGAGACGTTCGCCTGTCTTCGCATTCCAGATATGCACAGCGCTCTCCTTATAACCGCTCGTCGCAAGTTTTGAAGAGTCAGGCGAGTACATCACCGCATACACCCAATCATGCCCGGTCTCGATTGTCAGGACAGTTTTGCTGCTGTCAACATCCCAGACTCTTGTCGTCCCATCCCAGGATCCACTCGCTAGTCGCTCGCCATCTGCACTCCAGCACAATGCACACACAACATTGGTGTGTCCCATCCATTTTGCAATGACCTTTTTTGTTTTGACGTCCCACAACCTCACTTTCCCGTCCTCGCTTCCGCTTGCAATTGTCTTTCCATTTGGAGACAGTGCTATAGACCGCACTGCATTATTCCCGTCCCGCCAGTCCTCACCTATCTGTACGCCGCTCTCTAAGCTCCATAGTCGGAGTGAGCCGTCCAACGAACATGTTACGATGTGTCGTCCGCCCTGCAAGTGTACGATACCGCTTATCCAGTCGGTATGGCCTCGCATTGTATGACGTGGCGTTTTACTAGCAGAGGAAGACATGCTCCGCGCTCAGAATCTCAAACTACGGAAAATCGTAGACTCTGTACGAGAGAAGTCTGCCGAGATCTTTGAATGATAATCTGGCAGTGGCAAAGTTTGCTAATGAGTGCAGGCCTATCTCCTTTCAATTTGATGCTTATCAGCACCACGCAAACCATTGCTCACGAGACAGCGTGCTTACAGGATTCAATCCTCACTTACGAGACAGTGTATGAATGTGCAGCAAAATCCGAGAACGCGCAAAGGATCTTAGTGGGTATCCGAAGTTACTAGTAAGCAAGTGGTCAGCTCTAAACGGCCGAAGAGTCAAGAGCATCACTCACGAAAAACGACGTTCATGCCAGCCCAGTGCTCTACTACCAGTGATCAATGGGTGTTCGGTTGGGAGTTGAGGGCAGTCGTTCGTTCAGGTCGTTTTAAGCTGTGTCCCATGCGGTGCCCTGATGTTTGCTGTGGGACAGCTTCATTGCTGTGTAGATGAAGCGCACAGGTCTGCGGCCGGTGCTACGTGCTGTGCATCTAAGGAGTACGCTCATGCTTTTAACAAATATTTGACAACGTCTTGTGCTCCCTCTCCACTCCGCACATTCATTCCAGCCTATGTTCGAACTATAGCATACACTGAATGCAATAATGACATCTTAATTAGGTACGAGAATGTATCGCAAGCTGATACGATCACGCAGATAGTCCGAATGCTTATCTATATACATGGATGCTTAACCTCTACTCGCTTATAGATGTTGATCAACATGAGTAATAGTCACGGTGGAAAAAATGTGCAGAACTTTCTTGGCTGAAGCTCGAACGTCTCAGTAGCGGAGTCATGGAATGTCACATGCACGTCACACTGCGTCAAGACTCAAAATAGCTATGTCTTTTTCACTTGACACCTGAGACACAGCCAAATATGGCTCCACAACATGTCCTACTCAAATTTGGGGACAAATTATTGATATTTACAAGGCTGTGTTTGCACTAAAGATCTAAGACCAGAGTCGGAAAATGTTCACAATTAGTTGTGGTCAAATATTCGTGATCAAATGGTGAATATGTGTGGGTAAAAATGTTAAATATGTGGACAAGGGCTGATATATTGTTAGATTCTTAGCCAGATAAAGGACATGTTACGTCTGTGATTCATTTGCAGACATAATAGTAAATTTCAGATATGTCGAGTGATCAAATATGTACTATATTTTAACTCTGTTCCACATTTGATGAGACAATAGACATTGACTATGTTCGGTGAGAAGTGCTAAGAGATATGCTGAACATGTGCATGAATATGTCGAGAGCCTTATTTTAGCCACAATTTTAGAACTGCACTTAGACCATATGAGTGCCCCACTAGGCGGGGCACTCAGTACCGTATTTACAGGGCACTTGGGACACTTAAGCGGAGAACTCACAACCTTGCTACAAAAATCAATGCTATTTACATTAACATAGCGGCGCGCGCCAATCCTGACTTGCCAAATGGTTCACAGGGTCAATTCAGACAAAAAGACCCAAGGTATCAGAGACAACTGTGATGGGTTTCTTCTGGAAGATGAAATCGAGGCTTCAGTTCAGAATTAAAAGGCTCGGCCGTAGAAGTTATGAAATGAAACTAAATGGAAGGGAGGCCAAGATTTGGTTTGCCATTCTCCGATTACATTTAGTTCGCGCAAGTACTGCTATTCTTAAGATAGACCCGCAAGAAATCTGACACTACCCAATCATCTTTATAGTCTTTGAGAACAGGATAGCGGCTCTTTGCCTGGTGAAGTAAGTAAACATTAACTCGAGACAAGGAGTAATCAGTATTCACCTCTGAAAAAACTAATTGCAATTTTGGAACCAACTGCATTTTCCAGGACCTTCGCACATTGAGGTGCTCGCGAGCTAAATGGATGACGAAACTCTACAAAGTAGGTGTTAGTAGGCACCCACATGAAACACAGCATAGTAGACACATACACGAACTTCATCGTACTCTGATAATGACCACCCTAATTTCTCTTGCAAGTTGTAGCCTCCTTGGTTAAGACGGCTGACTTCACCTCGAGGTTTCAGAATCTTGAGAGGAGGGAATAATGTCAAAGGAGCTGGTAAGCCTGGCATTGTGGGGGGAATTGAATTGACTTCTCGCGGAAAGACTTTATGCAGCGTTAACATGGGAGGGTCCAGTGGGCGTTCTGGAGGAAATTCACAATGCATGGTAAGAGGCACAAAATGGCGATTATATCACCAGTGTGAGCAAACTTTGGGCATGGGCAGGCTGGGGGGTAGGTTAGATGGGTGCAAGAAGGGTCACACAAAAAGCAAAGTAATTTGGGGCATATATGTTAGATATCAGACATTACTACTCGATGACGTCAAAGTGTGACACAGACAACGGCAACGATGGAAACGAAAGAACAACACCAAGAATACATAGACAAAACTCAAAACTGTAAAGCGAAAGGTTAAATACAAGGAGCAGAATACAAGGAGCACAATGCTGAGAATACATAGACAACTCAAAACTGTAAAACGAAAGGTTGAATACAAGGAGCACAACAATGTGACAAAACCGTAAAGCAAAAACAACAGCTACCTGAAAGATCATGACTCCAGCATTCATTACAAAAAGGTGTTTGACATATTGACGTTTTTCTTTCTCCATATCTCAACTTGCACCCCTTGTTAGGATTTACTTCGTGAGCATTTATTATTCAAATCCTAAATGAAACACTAACCGGCACCAAGAATCTAGCTCAGGGAAAAAAACTATCAATGGCACAGGCTGCCGATGACGAGGATCTTGCCAGGAAGATTTTCAGGATAACCTTGGAAGATGATACAGTAAAAGATGATACCTATGTGCGCAGTATCGCCCTGGGCATGTCACAGATGAAACTCGCAGACCAGGATGTCAATTCTAGAAAGCATTCAGGTCAGCATGAAGAAGAAGCATGGAGAGACTATCACGTACTATATCTTCTCGACTGCGAAGCCCACAACCGTGTCCATGCAGTGACGAATGTCATAGACAAGCTAGATACAACTGGTGATGATGAAACACTGGCGGCACTCTTGGAAGAACATGCCTGGATGGAGAAGACATTGAGGGAGGTGATGAACACGAACATTGGAACTGATGCCTGTAATGAGCAATTTCGCCATGCACATCTCCAGCTGTTGCAGGAAACTAAAGAGGCTGCGGAAAGCGTCATGCGTGTAATTGCACATAGGACCGCACAGAATCCCAATTCAAAAGACGACGCATCAGAGACTATTGAAACAGGTCAGGAGTACGTACTTACACAGAGCACATCATTTAACCATTAGCAGACTGCCACTTGGAAAGATTCAGCAATGCTAAGCCTGCCCTACTCCTCGCCATGTTCATTGCACTGGTCTTGAATTTCCTGGGCCATGTTACCCGGCCATGGTGTAATGCAGTTCTGGAACTCTTGAATCTTCTCCTAAAGACCATGCTCGGTAACGCCTCAGAAGGATATGATGGGTCGAAGGGATACATTCCTTGTGATATCCGTTCTGTATGGAAGAAGTTTGATCTGGAAGTTGTTACAAAAACCTTCTCCACCTGCGCCAGATGCTCATGCACTTACCTGCCGAACGCAGAGAAAAAGTCACCAGCCATGAGGAAGAAGTCGGGTTACCCTGAGCGCTGTTCCTACAAGAAGTACCGTGGAAGCAAGCCATGCAGGCAATTGCTGGTGAAACGTACGAAGGAGAGTGGTCAAGTATTGTACGTACCCGTGCGCCCATACGTTGTACAAGACTTCAACTCTTTTCTCGCCGGCCTACTGAGCCGTCCTGGCATGGAAGAGGCCATGGACCGGGGGACGATGGTCAGCAATGATTTGCAGATATGGGACATCAAGGATGGCACAGCAATTGGAGAGATTCTGGGTTCTGATGGGAAGCCCTTCATCGATGGATTGAAGAGGACCGATCTCAGGTTAGCGTGGAGTCTCTCGGTGGATTGGTTCAACCCTTATGGAAATAAAACCTCGGGTAAGAAGAAGTCTATCGGGTCCATCGCGATGGGACTGCTGAACCTCCCACCGAGCCTCCGGTACAAAGCCGAAAATATGTACTTAGTCGGCATCATCCCAGGGCCCAGAGAGCTGGCTCTCAATGAGATAAATCATTTCCTTCGTCTGGTAGTCGATTTCTTCCTGCCATCCTGGAAAGATGGGACGTGGTTCACAAAGACAGTCAAGCACGCAACAGGAAGGCTGTCCCAATCTGTCATTGCTGTCGCAGTCAACGATTTGCCCATGGCTCGTAAAATAGCAGGCTGCGCGGGCCCAACTGCAAACCAAATGTGTGGATTGTGCTGGCTCATGAAGTCAAATATTGCAAACTTTGACTGTGAAAGATGGACGCGACGTACACTCGAGGAACATAAAGCGGCTGCCGAAAAGTGGAAAAATGCCGAGACGAAGGTGAATCGCGACAAGATATTCAAGCAATATGGGGTGAGATGGTCAGAACTTTTACGGCTGCCATACTGGGATCCAACGAGGTTCATCGTAATCGATGGCATGCATAATCTATTCTTGGGATTGGTTCAACACCACTTCAGAGACTTGATCATGATAGACAAGCAAGCGAACAAGGAGCTCAGGAAGGGCAACCCTAGACCTGTCGATTCGAAAGAATTAGAGAAGGGCAGACAAACTTTAATGTCAAACCCTACTGTGTCTGCAATGACCCGCCTGCGTGTCGCGGTCCTGGAAGCGCTAGTCCAGGAATATGGGGTGCAGTTGTCCAATAGAACACATCCTAGGAAAAAAGATATGATTGAAGCGTTGCTAGTGAGTTAACGGTTTGAGGTGGAACACTGAATCATCTGACGAGTCCAAAGTCTGCACTCCCAGTATGTGTCCCTATGGATGTCGAGATTGGGGAGAATGAGCTGCGTCCTTGTGATCAGGCGTTCATTACTGATGAATTGATAGAGGAGTATGCCGCACAAGTGCATACAACTGAACTGAGCAGATCAGCCGAAGTCTTGGTAAATAGGGAGATCAACGATATTCAGGAAATGTTGGGAAGGGTCCGGAGACCATCGTGGCACTGTGGCCCACCAAAAAACTTAGGGGACGCGGAACACGGCAAACTTAAGGCAGAACAATGTAAATCATCAATTGAATTTGACTTACCAGTGGCCCTTATGCATTTGTGGGGATCAGGACGTGTGGCTGATGGCGCAGAGCACAGATCTCAAAGGCAGAAGTTGGTTCACAGCATGATGCTGCTTGCGACTGCGATCCACTGGGGAACTTCACATGTGACGTCACCTCATCACGCTCAGCAATACACCATGTATATGAAGGTGTACCTCGAGTGCATTCAAGAGATATTTCCGCACCATTCGTGGTGCCCCAATCATCATGCAGCTCTACACATTCGCGAGTTCCTCTTGAGATATGGTCCTATGCACGGTTGGTGGATGTTCCCGTTTGAGAGGATCATCGGTGTGTTGCAAAAAACAAACACGAACTACAAGATAGGTGAGCATATGTTCCAAGAATAAAGACATGAACAGTATAAACAACATAACAGGAGAACTAGAGAAGACAATGTTGGAGACGTTCTGCGCGGCCACGAACGTTAAAGCTATGATGCAGAATCCTATGGGACCTGTCATTCTCAATGAAGCAATGGAAATTTTGGGTCAATACTGTGACCCATTCACAGGAGGCGAGAAAACTAACATGAATATCCTATCCACGGTCGGACAAAATGCCAGTTCTCATCAGGATATACATGTCCTCAAGACCCCTGTTCCCAATGGTCTTGAGAAAGCATGGCAAATTGCAGAAACTCACCTATGTCAAGGGCGTCCTTACGCTAGAAGCAAGCGTCTTATTTTATACAAGCACTTGAATGTTTTGGGCGTGCAGTACTCCAGTCACGCCTGGTCAAATGAAGACTCAAATGTGTTCTTCCAGCGGACACTTCAAGAATTTGTGCCTGGCGTGATCGAGTACATTTTTTCCACAGGGGAGGAAGATCAGCAAACATACTATTTTGCATTGCGGCATAACATACCTCTAGCGGCAGAACACCAAGATCCTTTCCAAGCATACGGGGACTTTGGTGCACAGCTCTGGAGTTCTACCCAGAGCCAACATCTCGACATTGTTCCAGTAGGCACTAGTCGCATTTGCCACTCAATATCAATGAAATGGGGGGAAACCAATGTTGTGGTGAAACCTTTGAACCGGGTAAGTCCTAGGGCATGGTTTAGACAATCATGATGACTGACACTTCTCAGGATTTCGGCGTTGTATGTCCATAAGCCAATGTGTAGTACAAAGCATGAAGTACCTTGATCATAGGCTATGTTAATAATACATCGAAGCAACAGAAAGAGAAACACGCACAAAGCTTCATGTAGTGAATGAAACTCAGCCTGGGAAATTCTGTGCTTGCTGGCTATTCCCGATATTCAGACGCAGTACATTCTAGAGTAAACTAGGTGGGTATTTGAGTGGGTATAATCATCAGCAGTAAAGGAATACACTAAATGGGTATTTGAGTGGGTACAAGGATCATCAGCAGTAGAGGAAGACAGTACGCCTGGAGTGGTATGACATAGATATAGATGTTACATAAAATGGCCAATGTCCAAACAATAAGGATTTTCTGGATGACGATAAGCAGCCTCCAACTCCTGCCGCTCAGATGCTGTCATGTCTCCAGGCCTGAGAAAACCTTCTCGACGTGCTGGAAGGCTTGTAGCCAAGGACTGCACCCGACCTTGAAATGACATTAGCTTAACGTGAAAGGCATCATGTGAAGCGCTCACCAAAGGGTGTCGATCTGAATATTTGTACCAGTGTGGTAGAAATATAGTGAGATTCTTGACCGGAATAGTTCGATATTCGCCCAATGAGACATCGAAACTTTGAGAAATCAATGATCCGTCGTAAAAGCTGAGTCGCAGGTGATCTATGAAGATAAATTGTTGGGTAATATTGATTATTGCCGATAAGTAATTGGGAGTGGATGTCAGAAAGTGGCTATCCAGCTCCAAGTCGAGGTTTTGAATACGTAGAGGCAAACGAACCTTGTCTAATAGTAACAAAATGTACCAGTGCGGTCCAGCGACAGAGCGCAAGCTATGTATGGGAATGCGGGAGTGGTCACATTTTGCGTAAGGTCCATGCCATCAAGAGAAACAATCTCCGGACGCATACTGTAAAGCCAGAGCTGGTGAATTCCATGCCGTGTCAAGAACTCGACGAGCGCAGTGGCAGGGCACTCGACGTCAATAGACAAAAAACGAAGGTGTGGGAAGTGAATGTCACGCATTAACACCGTCCACTGGAGAACGCTCAATGAAGAGCTCTGCAAGGACGAGAGGGTAAGTGCGACCATAGATCGGGAGAAAAATATTGGGGAGTTGGCATGGAAAATGTGAAAGTTATTTGTGATGGCAAGATCCGGAGCAGCAACAAAATCAGGAAGAGTCAGTGGAGGGTATGCAAGGTGAGACGCCCACTGATCCAAGAACCGAAGACTCTTGCAGCCCGAGTCTCGGATGGACTGAAAAAGAGGCGCAAAATCTCCCAGCATCTCGCCATCTTTCACAATGGAGACAAATAAGGATGAATTGCTTCCCAATAACTCTATGAAGCTCGAGAGCGCCTGAAGGTGGCGATCATCCACATTGAGGAGATTGCATCGCAGATACTTTGGCGCACGAAATAAAGTTGAGCGCCTGTACAGGAGAAGGGTGAAACACGCTTGTGTGCTGATGTGCAGGCAGGTATCATCAAATGATAAGCCTATGGAGCGGAGGTAAAGAGGAGCAGCTAACTCCCGAGAGAGACAAGATACCTGCGCGATGACTCACAGATCCTGAGTTGGCATGTCTTCCAGAATTTTTAAAACAAGTTCATTGGGAAATGGCCAACATGAGGGCAGTGGTTGGACAGTTGAAACCTCTGTTCTTAGTGACAGAACCTGTTAAAAAATATGATGAGATAAGTTTGGCTATGAGGTATCTAGCGCACTCACGATTTGGTCGGCAATTACAGACAAGCGGGACCAAGAGAGCCTCTTAGGCATTAAAGGAGAAGATCCGCTGGGCACATCAGAGGCTTTGCATTTTACCCTCCCCTTATCCTGCTCCAGAAAATTCTCTGACATCTGCTTTTCGGCTCTTACAGATGGCTTTGTGATACTGGCGATGTCGAGCCCTTCATGAGCCCTTGAGAAATGGCCTAGAGGACCTTCTTCCTGAGCCTATGAAACGCAACGAGATTTAAACAACATATATGGAAAATGAACTGGGTGACCTACACTTAGGTCTTTGATTGCATACATGCGGACCAGAGTGCGTTTCTTAGGGATCGAGGATTTCGAAAAGCCACATACAAACGACAGTGTCTGGGCCTGTCGAAGATCTGAGTGGATTGGATCCTGCAAAGATTGATTTTTTCCATTCCAGAACGCAGATGTATGCCTCTTGTGAGTGGGCCGCTCATAATCGTCAAGAAAGTGATCTACAGCCTTTCGCGTCGAAGGAACGTACTCCTGCAGAATGATTAGTTATTGAGTGATACGCAATGAGATCTTGAATTGAACATACCTCCAGGGAGTGCACCGATGAGAGGCAGTCCAGTGACATTAGAGAATCTGTATTCTCAATGCCTAACAAAATCTGCAGAAAAATTCTTGTATCAAAGGATTGCAAAACATGTCATACAGGAGGTATTACCTTCGCGCGGGTTTGACTTTGACGGATACCCATGACAGAATGAGGTTTATGAAGAATAGCTGCAATGTAGTATCCAATTTATATGATCAGCGCCGTCCTGTAAAAATGGCAAACTCGCTCACTTGTTCCAATACCAATCTGTCTTATTGTGATTTGTCCAGGATGCATTGCACAGCGCAATGACTGCATTGGAGGGTGCGTGCCTTCTCTTTATTGTGAACAACTGAGTAGATCATAAATTGACGATTCATTCGATGGAAGTCTTGCTACCAGACTCACGTAGTAGAACAACAATCAATAGACTAACCGTTTAGGAGCATTAGAAATACTAAACATAATTAATCAACATTCGGGATGACAATAGGGTTGATATATGGTTCATTGACTTGCAAATACAGTAGAAACTTACTTATGAACGTTGTAACGGACAACATACAAGATGAAATACTAGCATCGCGACAAACAACAGGAGTCTCGACTACACTCCAACACAAATACACTAAAAGTGCCATAACTACTACTGAGTGCGTGGTGGAAAAAAAAACAGAGTCGGTCGGGTCTATAGAGGATTAAATAGTGAACTGGAAATTGCCGGAAGGTGCTGACAAAGTTGGTTGACCGGCAACAGCCTGAGTTCCATTCATTACTTAAGCTTCAAATGTTCGCTTTGTTTCTAGTTTTTCTCGTGATCTCAGCTTATAGATACGTAGTAATATAGGACCAACAATCCCCGACCTATGGAGTAGACAGGGTTTTGTCGGCGAGGCACATGTACATTTTTGCGCATCAGTCTTATAATTACCAGCCTCTCGCATGTATTTTCTCTTTTGTCCTATTTATAAGTCCCCTCTTGTACCTGGTTACAGTTGGCTCTCTCCTACAGTAAGTGTTGTATGCGCTGTGCTGCGGTCTCTGTGGGGCAGTGTCTGTGAGGCTATGCTGTCCAGCCCTCACAAACCCTCCGTTCCACCCTACCATTTGTATTGACGAAGATAACCCGAAGAACTAATGATCACAAGTTTGAACACCTTTGTCACGTTCGATCCGCCAAGGCACTGTCAGCGCTTTCAAACGGCTTAGTGCGAAATGTTCTCTGACTCACCCGCTAAACGTGGTCGCATAAGCAGGTCAGAAGGGAAACTGCGATTTACAGTCCAGCTTGAGCGTGCTGGATTGAAAGAGAATGTGATGCGAGGCAGGCAATGTCACTCTCTCCTGTGAGGAATCTGAACCTCGATGAATCTGCAATGAAGAGTGCTGATGCAGACCGGACTTTCGAGAGCGTGATGTCACTGAGACACTCGAAGTGCTGTTTGCAACAGAGAAAGGAAAAGACAACAGAGAACGTAGTACAGGCTCATCTCTTATTGTAATTTACGCTAGAAAACGTCGGAAGGTGAACGGACCTCTTGTAATATATAGAATAGAATGAATGCTTTTAAGTTATCCGAGTGGGGTATCGCATTTGGGGCGATTTTTCTATCCAGGCTGTAACTTATATGCGCCTTACTGTTGCAGCAATCAATGTTGCGTGGGTCAGTCATGAATCATTATTGATACACAATGCAACAGAGAATGTAAGGGAGTATTCAAAAAGTATCGTGAGGCTAAAACATAACACAAGATACCACCAAACCAAGTGCAAGGCAATATGTCCGTATGGCTAGTTATCCCCAACTCTACGTCTCTTGCTAGATGTCGTTGATTCTACCTGTGAAGGACATAGCAACTTCGTGAAGACAAGGAATTTTGCGTGGAACTTCCCGTTGGAGGTGAGAATTTGTTCCACAGGAGGATCTTGAGGCCAGCCTTCTAATTGAAGGTGAAAATTATACACGTCGATGATTTTGTCGTGCAACTTCAAGATCTCCATGTCCATCTTCAATTTGTAAGCAGGATTCGCCTTCAAGAGGTTCATGATGAAGGTCATGTTAGTGGTGTCTGTCTTCTCCATGTGCTCGCATGTTTGATCATAAGCATCCTGCTGCTCCCGAGTGACCACAATGTACCAAGGCGCGAAGAGCTCGGTAATTGCAAGAATGAGCCTGTTGAGCGGTTTGCGGTCGATAAACACATCACCCCTAAGTTGTGTTCTTGAGTTGAGAAAAGCCGATTTAGTAGATGATCCAACCCCTTCCAATTCATCAACTTCGAAGACCTGCTTCATGAGTAATGACCATGCAGGGGCAGTCAAGCATGTCTCTGTCCATAGTAAGGCAACCCATAGAACGACATAGAGACTAGACTCTAGGTCATCCTCGACATCATGTGTGGCGTCTTTATTTTCGACCAGGTGGGCAGACATGAATTGTCAGGTTCCCTTAGTGACAACAGATTCAACAGATTTAGTATACTAACAAGCTTTGGTACGGAATGAATGAACTGTACACGTTACTTGCCGAGCACCCTTGATGTCGATTAACTTTGATAAATCCCAATCAATGAGAATGCCCTTGCCGTCGTGGATGACAATGTTTCCTGCACTGAGGTCTCGATGCAATATGCCTGCCTTGTGATATGCGTCCTTGTGAGCTGTAGCTAGTGATGTGCGGGCCTGGCTCGGCCTGAAAGCCCCGACTTGTGATCGGCTTTTGGGGGCTTGGGCTTTGCAAAACCTCAGGCCGAGCCGTGGGCCAAAGCCGCGGCTCGGCTTGGGCTCAATGACGGCTTTCAAAAACAAAATGACTCGAAATTCAATATAAGTAGTGCTCGAGTCCTACAGTACTTCGTCGTCGTCCGCTGAATCAACATCAGACTCTTCCTCCTCCAAAATCAGTGTATCCCACCCCTCATCATCTGCTGGCTCGACTTCTAACCCGCCAGTCCCATGTTTGGAATCTTCACTTTCTTCTGTAAGGGATGAGGGACCAGGCTCCCGGAATATAAGTTCGTTACGAAGAGAACACTTTACGCATTGTAGAGCCTCGACGATGTCTCCTTTCAGCCGATTACGCCGCTTGGTGATTGTGATGCCTCCTTGTGAGAAAGCTCGCTCACTCGAGACAGATGCTGCCATAATGGATAAGTAATCCCTTGCCAGCGAAGCCCACACTGGATACCTTAGGGCATTGATCTTAAAACAATAGTCAGCATCAAGTGAGTAGCGAGTGAAAGTGACTTACACCCCACCACTGAATAGTGGTCATACCTGCCGAGGGAGCGGCCTCATCAAGTACTAGTATGGTAGAGTATGTTAGAGTCAGAATGATTGGAATAGAAAATGACGAACACATGGCAATAACATAGGCAGCGGTGTCTGTAGTTTTCTCATAATATTCATCTAGCTTCTCTGCTGCTGCCTTGAGTGCGCCGGCAAACCGAATATACTTGGGCCTTTCCGCTCGTGAAGACCATGATTTGTGAAGTGTCTCCAGTGCAGGAATTGCAAGATGGAGAGTTGATCCTCGATCGGACGAGGAAGCTTGCTGTGCCACGTCGGCATATGAAAGAAGGTCCGTGAACTGGCCAACCCGTGTCCACTCCGCAGATGTCAATTGCAGAAAGTCGATTTTGGCATGCTTCAATAAATTTTGCTCTTGGCGTCCCATTTCACACATGAACATATCGACATGCTGTAATGGCAAGTCAGAGTAGGAACAAAAAGGTGTGGTGGTGTATCATACCTGCTTGTTGCAATTGGCACGATTAAGCATAATGTAAGTCGAAGACCAGCGGACCTTCATATCAATTAGTAGTTGTGTTGGCAAAGAGACACCTGCTTTCGTCTGAACAGTTCTATATAGCTCTTTCCGTTTCACCGAGGAACGTTCTTTGACACAGATACTGCGGACCAGACCAATCTCGTCACGATTGACCCTCTGAGCTAGATCCGGTTCGTGAGCATGCGGGTTATGGGGGTCGTAGTGGGGTGCCTTGCTATAGGTACTGATGAGTCGTTGCGTGCCGAGATTAATAACATGCGCTAAACAACTGTCAGGGTTGTTAGCAGTTCCATCAACCAAATTGAAAAGACTTACTTTATCTTGCGTTGACGCCACGGGAAATCTTTGTGGTACTTCGCCTCATACAACTTCAAGAATTCCTGCAGCATGGTACTATTGTTTGCTGCATTGTTGCATGCAACGTGGCCGATCTAGGTCGAGATATAAGCACAGTCATTGAGGAGGTGGAATTTTTACTGACTTTGTGTGCGACACTGACACGATCAAGCACCTTGAATAATGCACCCCCTAGGTGCTGGCCATTATGGGCATTATTGAGCTGAGTAAAGCCAAGTAATGCATTCCCAGGTACCCATTGCATCGGATCGTTTTCTTCGATCCAGTGTCCAGTGACAGCAAAATAACCATCCGAGTTATCGGCCTGCCACACGTCACATGTGATATTGATTGCACCACTGACGGATTGGCTCTAAAATCGTGTCAGATAAGAGCAGATACTGTGAAGAATGGTACATACATTCAATTTCTTCTTGAGTTTGGTCAAATGGTTCTTGAAAACACGTATGATTTCAGCACGCATGGCCTTTCGGCCTGGAATCTTGACACCCTGTGTAGCACACGAGGCAACATCTATCATTTCTTTGAACTTAGGGTGCTCAAGAGCCTGTATGGGCTAAATTCTGTTAGTTTACAGCTGACAATATCAATATGAATGAGTCTTACCTGATCTGTGGTGACAAGCCACTCAATTGCAGCTTTTCTAAAATTCTGGTGGGTGTAAGGGATGTCACACTCCGACAATTTGCGCTCAGTCAAGTGCGCATCAATCATTTGCTGTGCTTGTGCGGCTTTCTTTTTCTTGGCTGCGATGTCACCCGGCAATTTAGATGTGAAGGCGTTGGCCTTGGCCCATGTACGGTATTTTCCCTATGGACATTTAGATCTAGTACATCAACAAATAAATAAATGAGAACATACAGCGAATTTGGCTTCTGCATGACGGCGGAGGGTTGATGTCTCGTTTACAATGGTACATTGAGCCCTAAAATATGTAGTGTTAGTGATGTAAAGACATATGCAAATGATGTGACAACGTACGGACAAACTTTGCACTTTCGATGTTTTTTGACCTTGCCGTTAGTGTGAGTGCACTCCAACGGTTGACTGAAGAATTGGTCGATGTCGCGAGTTTTATCCTCGCATGTGGGAGATTCATCGATGATGGGCTGGACATCAATATCTGCAAGAATACCGTCTTCGTCAACATCTTCTTGAGCTTTAGCAGCTTTCTTGCGACGGACTCGTTTGCCTGACGACACTAGGTCAGGAAGGTACATTATCTTGCAGATAGACTTACACTTTGGATTCGTCCGTGCATCTTCGTGTTCATCATCACCGGATATCTCATCTTCATTGATTTCTTCGACACGTGCCCTTTTGCTGGTGGTTTCAGGTGCGGTGGTGTCGACATTCGGTGCAGGAGCAGACGGGATGGGTGCTTGTGGTGGTTCGGTGGCCAGAGGATGGGTGTCATCGGTGGTGCGCTTCAATGCCTCTGCAGCACGAAAGGCATTGATGGCTCTTGTTTGAGAAGGGAGAGCTGCCTTCTCAGAGTGCTCCAGGAGTGCAGTGGTCAGTTTGACTTTGCGCACTGGACACACTACACGTGGCTCATTGTCACTGTCTGTATGGACCATTCCGACCATTAGATTTTTTCAAGTTAGAGCAAGGGTAGCGACGTACCAGTACCATAGCCATGAATACCTTTTATCCCACTACAAAGGATCAATATCGTGATGAAAAAGTATACTTCGAACACAAAGCAACATGAGATAGAGTAACATCGACGGTGCGAAGCACAAAGATGGGCAACTCACCTGGGTTTCTGACATATGAAGTGTTTGTTGGATTTGCGGAAGAGACTAGAGTAGTAATGGTTAGACAGATTTAGATATAGTAAATAAACTCGTACCTGATGTCCGGATGTCCACGGAAGTCTGTAACAGACGATTCGACTCCCTAAAGTAAGGACACATGGATGTCAATGATGGATGCACAGGGACTAAAGCCGCGGCCTGAGCCGCCGGCTCAGGCTTCTCAACATGTCAAGCCGGGCCCTGGGCCGTGGTCAGGCCCTGACTTGGGCCCGGCTCGGCTCAGCCTAATCAGGCTCGGCTTGGGCCGGCCCACAGCCTGAAGCCGGGCCGTGCACATCACTAGCTGTAGCAATATGAATATAATACGTTTTGGGAGGTGTGGTGGCAAAAATATGTACCAATCAATGAATCGCGAACGGCTGTGACGAGCTGGTGAGAGCTTTCAAATTCACACAACTGCTTGCCCACAATGTTGAGGATGAGGCGATAATGAATGTGTGGAATGATCGCGTCGTGTGAACACGCTGTTACGACAAGCGGTCGTGTGCGACTAGGATAGTTCTAACAGCGACAACCACGACAGTGGTACCGAGTGCTGAGAGTCGTCGGCCTTTACAGACAAGCAAAGGTTGCGTACTCGAACGTAGCTCGTGGTGGTTAACGAGGGGTTACGCTGAGATGATAGCAGAGGCTACAGACAGTGAGAGGCGTCACTGAAGGTACGAGTCGATGTCGAGCAGGTAGCTTTAGCGGGACAAGGAGTTCAGGGGAAAACCTAGTTGATTAGACTAGTTCTGGGTAGTACCTAGTAAGATTAAAGTAAGGAACGTCTACTTGTAATCTTCGACCTTATATAAGGCTACTCTATCGTATCTAAGCTCAGCCTAAAGCTGGGTTCTAATATGCTTATCTACATGAGTCAGAGATAGCGTCCATGAGGCGGGCTTCTATCGTAGATAGCGTCCATGCGGTACGCTTCCATCAGAGATAGGATCCACGTGGTATCCTTCTATCAGTACATGAGGCAACACGAGGCTTGCCTTCTATCTTGATAACATAAATAGGTCTTCTAGACCTATGTCGTCATGTCCATGTCACGTGCGGTCCAGACCGCTGACTAAGCCGGCAGTTGCCGCTTATCATCTATCATCTATCGTCTTCATCGTCTATAGAGCTGGTGAGACTCCTCTATCTTCTATAGCCGTGCGGGTGGCAGAGGGCTGTCTGCCGGCGGGGGACTGGTGCCATGTTACTGTAACACACGCCCAGACAGCATCTGCTAACTTGTGAGTCTGCGGGGTTTGTTGAGGGATAGAGGGTACGTCGTGACATGCAATGCACGATGCAATGTTGGAAACATTGTTTTTTTTAATATTTTGTATGTCTCGCCTTCTGGTAGGACATCGGCGATTGCGACCCACCAAGAGTCTTTGAACATGACAACTCTGTCATTGTCAATATCGTACGCAGGACATGCACGTGTACATCGGCCAATAGGGGATTGACCGACTGGTGAAGGCGCAGGAAAAACCAAGGTAACCGAGCCAGTGTTATCGATATCAGGGACAGCCACCTTCAACATGCATCTAGTAGCGGAAAGGCCTAACTGCAATCTTGCAAGGCGAGATTCCTCGGCACTAGCAAGCGTTACCGAAGTGTCGACACCACGCAATGCAGGCGATGCTTGTACGTAACGATGGAAAAAATCAGCTAGATGTGGCTCTTCATTGTAGTTGATGGCGGAAGAAACTGTAGCTCCCTCCCTATCCCATCTTATGATATGAGCTTGATCGTATACGATCAGAATGGAGAATGCGTGAGTATGGTATTGTGCGCCAAGCTGGGCTGTGGTATAACTCGTTATCTGTCCCAATGTGTCCATGGCCTTGTCGGTTTCAGATATGAAGTGCGCTGTAGTACTTGGGCCACTTGCAGGCGTATAGAATGGAGTATGATGGGGATCCCACTTGAATTCAATAATCACTTCCGCGGCAGAGATATCGCAGGAGGATTGTCTAGCGCGGGGTGGCAAGGCTCCATCGGCATAAACGCAGATGTCTGGTTTGATTTGAAATGTGAATAATTTGCAATTTGTTGTGTCTGGATGGTTGTGGGTGTCGATAAACGATAGACCAGGAGCAAAAGATGACATGGTGTTAATCTGCACTCGGAGTCAGACTAGCAGCGATCTTAATATCATGTTTAAAGCACTTACAAATGGTTCATAAGCTTTCGTCTCCTGGAGAGCAGAGAGTGTGCTCTCGAACGCACCATCAGAGAAGGAGGTTAAAGGTTCATGATCCGGGATCGCTGAAGGCGATAGGAACTCCTTGAGAAATTGTTCCACCGGCATTGGACCAACCAAATATCCCTTCATCTCCTTGCCCATGGCGTTGAGAGTGGTATCTCGGCAGCGTGTATTGGTCGTGAAAGGTTGCATCATAGAACAGCTACATTTGATGGGTGTGTCGCCCGTAGGGAGAAATGGGTGCAAGTCCTGTGACTGTGCTAGTGTCCATAGCGGCAGCTCGAGCGTCCTTAGTTCTGCAGCAGTGGTGTCGCTGTCAGTTGGCTTGGCAGACACCTGTAAAACGGGTATAGGGAACATGATATTTGCATATTTATTTATTAATACAAATGTTGGTATGATGAAATGGGTATGATATACAGATGAGAAGTGAGAAAAGAGAACCGAAAACAACATTCGGAGGCTTATATAGTGAATACAATGAATGGAACTCAGCTGGACATTCCCACAATCCATTTTCCGGTATTTGTCCACGATGTAAGTGGGGTGGGAGTACGTATGGTCTAACAGATATCATATCAAGATACATTGTAGTTTATGGGCGTTTTTGAGAACCATAGGGCTCCAACGTTGGAAGGATCAATGGCTTGCGAGCCCCTAAGAGAGCATGGGCACTGGTTGAATTAGCTTTATACCAGTGGTCATTATACCAGTTGCGTGGAAGCCATTGGATGGCAATGGAATTTTGAGCCGTGCGTTTCGGCTCCAAGATACGTGGAAGGGACGAGTTTCCGATTGGAATGGTCATATTTTCTTCATGAGTTGCTGGAGCATATGACTCCACAGCATGGAGTAAGTGAGTGATGTCGGGATTGAGCCATGGAAGGCCTACTCGCCTTATTACCTTTGGTGTCACCCCAATTGGCATGTCCGTTTCATCCCCACTAACACCATCAACATCTAACCAATTGATAATATGTTTGATGGTATCCCAAGTATCAGGGTTGCGGTGTCGGTTTTGTGCCACTATCTTTATACGTCTCTCGAGAGTCTACAAAGGCATTCAGATGATACCAGGATAAAAGACTATCTGCCTACCCCATGTTTTCGAGTATTACACCTATCTAAGCACTGACTTCGCTCGTTGCATGCTGACAATTGACGGGATGCATGATTCATCTCGTCGAGATTGAGATAGTCACTTATCTGCGCATGTTGTCGACATTGGTATTGAGTTCTGCGTAGCTTGTCGATGCACAATGAATGCAAATTGTCGAGACTTGTGGCTTCCGCATGGAAAAGAACTTGCACATAGCTGCCATTCCTGATCTTTGCTTGAAAGTCTACGACTATGAGGTTGATTATTTCTGTGTTCCATAAAGACTTCTTTAGTGAGTCGCTCCAGTCGATGAAGAGGTCTTGTAGGGTGGGACAGCAGTCGTGATTGTGATTGAAGGCTTGAATTGTTTCGATTGGAGGAGATTGAGGCAGCGAGCCGTCTTTACCCTTTAGTAGCCTCTTCTCTTGTAAATAGCTGCGGAATGCGAGCTGATATAATTTGTTACCATGGTTGAATCAAAATGTTGACACACGTACATGCAAATGATTCTTTGGGCCTCTCTTACTGGGGCGCTTCCGGCAGGGACAAGGTGTCAAATTGTCATTGCTGTCACTTGCTTGAGTATCTGACGAAGAATCCTCCTTATGAGTACGACGCTGGAGACCAATGGGGGCGTTTCTCATATTGTCTGATAGCCGTTCAACCATGGAAGGAATCATGGCATCGATAGCTTGCTTCAGAGTCGGTGTCAACACGTTATGAGACAGTTCGAGGAGGCGCTGTGTAACAAGGCGGTCAAGATGACTTTCAATGGCAGAGGGCATTATAAAATGTCTTGCTGGTGAAGGAGTTTGGAGTGGGGGATCTGTGGATCTGAAATTGACGATGGGACTTGTGTCCATCGCGGGGGCGATACTGACAGCTCGAGGTTGGATTGGAGGTGTGACATGGTTGGTGTCAGTTTGGTGCAGATGTTCATATGCCATCGAAATGTCGTGTTCCCCACCACTAGATGGAGGCATAGTCAACATCTGCTGATGCCCAGTACCTGTAATGACGCATTAGTGTGAAACGTCGTAGGACACGTGCTTTGACACTGACCAAAATATGAAGTACTGGCACAACCTGACATATTGGGACTTCTTGAATGACTGCTGCCTCTGTGGGATGGCACTTCAACCACCCAATTCAATGCTTGATGACTCCTACGATCTACACTCAATCCAACATGAGGGACATCTGACCGACCAGCCGGTGTTTGACTCAAAACTGCAACAGAAGTAGGGGGTGGAAACTGAGGGGCTGGCAGCATGGGCTGAGGCGCCGGGTGCATGTGCTGAGGCACTGCATCGATAGATGAAGAGGGGTGAGATGTTGTAAGTACCGCATTCATAGCACGAGGGCGGAATCGGATATAAGGTAAGTACGTTGGTGTACTTTCTTGAAGTCTGTCAATATGATCTCAATGTTCTGGTAAGAGCGGACCTTGAGCCGATGGTGAGTTCCGTGACGTGAAACTACAAGGGAAATGATGTTAGTAGGAGTAGAGGCATGACTGAAATTTGAGAGCGCACTTTCGCATAACAGAGCCCAGCCTATGGAGTGCTGACACAAGTTCGCCAGGCGAAGGTTCCAAGGATGGTCCCCCTAGAGGACCAGTTAGAGAAGTATCGTTGGGCAAAGACATGAGAAGGTATGTGTAGGGGACATCCTGTCAGATATATGACTTAAAGTTGGACATCTAGACAACAATCATCATTGTCAAACCGGTCAACATATGGCACTACGGGCACTCACAAATCTGTGTCTTTCATATTTTGGTTATTCAGCCTACCCTTGGTTACTGCGCTTATTATGATTTAATAGGAGTAAATACTGTGAGATGGTTGTATCGTATGTATCGTAGATCAGCACTATTGTAAATCTACGATACTACAACTTGAATGGCTATTGTACATTACATACATAGTAATAGTATGTAGTCATGCAGTAGTACAATGAAAGAAAAGAGATCAGCGTAACAGCATTTTGAGGCTTAAATAGTGAATGAAACTCAATGAAACTCAGCCTGGGAAAATCAACCACAGATCTGGCGCAGACCAGATAGACTTTGAGCCCCTTGTAACGATATAACAAGTACATAGTAGATCTAATTTATTTGAATAAACATTGACAATATCCAACTCTGAGTATGCCTCTCTGCAGATAATCCAAAGATAAAAGGGCGAAACCGAGAGCGAAACTGAAGAATGCTACGGCAAGCAAAAATGTTGTCGCTTGCACAAGCCAGGTGTATGGTGGCTATAAAGAGCATGAAACTAGGAGCGCCATGGATGACTTAATGAATACCTGTTGTAAAGTAATCGGTCTGATGGTCCTTTGACAACCGATACGCTCCTGAGGGTGCACTCGACTTCGACGCAAGCCGGAAACTGAAGTTTGTTCCTTCTGCTGCATGTCAGCGGAGCTTTGGACAAAAAGAATGATGTACGTAACGCAAATCCATGTGTAAAGGAGAACTTGAGTGTATGCAATAGCAAACGGTATGAGTTGGGGCTCTGTGCTTATAAGACTCAACACAATAAGATTACTGGTGAGGTTACCAATGCCGTGTAGTCAGACCACACTGTGACAATAAGAAAATATCGCTGTTGCGTTGTAGGCGTCCTCAGGGCCTTTTGTGTACAGAAGCAATACTAATTTCAAATGATTACAATACGGAAGTAGGAGAACACTATTGTATCTAAACGGGTATTGGAGTGGAGTGGTTACGAGTGGGTCTGCAGTGCAAGAATCAACTTGCGAACTATTGTATCTAAACGGGTATTGGAGTAGTTACGAGTGGGTTTACAGTACAAGAATGAATTTGCAAACTACATGGCGCCATCGCCCAATAGGCAAGTATGTGAGCGAGGAATTTTTTTACCTTCCCTTGTCGTGATAATGGCGTCGTTCCTCTTCGCCACCTTCGTAAAGTAGACGGTCCCGATATCATCTCCACATGTCACAACAAACCTCTTGCCGTTGCCCGTTGGGGGCTCTGCGATAACATAACACATTGGAATTTCATCGTCCTTCGCGCCAATGTTCCTTGTCCTTGAGAGGTATCTGACCGCAATGTTTCCATGTGCGACGGGTCCTCTTGGCAGAAGGAACAGATCTGGAACTAGTGTACGAACCAGGCTATCATGGTAATTCTGATACCATGTGCCACTTGGTGCTGATAGTATCCTTAAGACTAATTGGCACCGAGCTAGTACCGAGCTTAATTTGCTACTGCACAGGAATTGTGCAGCTGATTGAGAAGTTAAGTGGCAGAAAGCAACAGTAATTAAAAAAACAACGCACGAGATGAATCTGGGATATCAGAATTGTTCTCCCCCTCCGAGTCTTCAGGATTCACTCGCCAAGGATCATATGCTGTGATAATACATATTACTTCCACGCAGAACAGTCAGGTTACGAAAATCTCACGAGGGGCTGTGGATGATGTTTCTTCAGATACAGAAGTCTCTGATTCAATGCTAAAGTCAATTGACCATGGATTGGGGCGGGGTTCAGGGGCGGACTGCGGAGGAGGTGGGCTCGGAGGTGGGGTGTGGGCTCTCGGAGGCCTCTGAATGTACGATTGACGCAACATCTGAATGAATATTTTCAATTGTTCTATTGACAATCTACCTCTGTTAAGGAGGTCCCCTGATTCACTGTCTGCTCGTGAGTGGTAATGATTGAGACTAACAAGAATGGAATTGACCTGACGACATGGCTTCGTGAAAGTTGCTGCCTTTGACCTTGGAAGAGGTCAACTTGACACGTATCACGTGTGAGAGAGCGCAGTGTTCCACGCAGTGCTTTCATATGCCCATGAATGATGACTACTTGCTTGCCGATGAACCGTTGTCTTCTTAGATAGATGATCTATAGATAAACACCTACAAAATCAAAAATCTCCACGGTCAGCGATTCAGACAAATACCAATGACTGATAACGTGGTTGTTCGTGGGTGGCTGTTTACACTTCCCCAAGCTATGTTCAGACAAAAAGTACTTCTTGTGAGGTCAGTAGCAATACCAGTCAATCCAACAGTATGGATGCAATAGAAAATAAAATAAACAGAATGTAGTCAGCCCAACGGTATGGTGATGACAAAAAGAAATTGATTCACTCCAATGGTATGGCAGTGTTTAGAGAACAGAGAAAAGTCAGCCCAACAGTATGGTACTGATAAAAAAAAGAAATAGATTGATAAGGGAAACCCTTCCTTCAGTAACAGTGCTTCTTGTAATAAATTTACTACAGAAAGTCGTGCAAAATTATAGCAATCACCCCCTCAGCACAAACAGGTAGAATCAAAGGTCAGGACTAATCAGTGATCAGTAGAACTCTTAGTTCACTATTGAACCTGCTGCCAAGGAACTCACGATGAGTATTAAACAGAATCAGGAACAGACGTCCTTGGATTTCAGTACCAAGTCCCCTATTCAACAACTAAAGTCTAGCAGACAAAGAAAACCCTGGCTCAGTATCACTACTCAGATGAGTGAGGTCAAGCGTCACTATCAACTTCTGAAGTCTTCCCACTAAGCCGGTGCTTAGATGGATGTAAAGACAACACAAAGATCTTGAAACAAATTCAGACAATAACACTGAGATGTGAACGAACTGAACAGAAAAAGAGACAAATGAAAAGAAAGAAACAAAGAAAGAAACAGAAAAAGAAAGAGAGAAAGAAGAAAGAAGAAAGAAAAGAAAAGAAAGAGACTAGAGGTTCACCAGTAGAAAATCAAAGAAAAAGTTTGCTCACTGTTGAGCACAGTGAGCTCAAGATATTTCACAGTTGTTGATGATGAGCTAAAGGTATTGCTGGATGTTGCTTACAATGACCTCTCAGTTAGTTGCTTAACAGCTCTTGTCACTGTTGTTGATACTGATCACACTTCACACTCAAATTTATTTTGTGGGGCTTAAAAGTTCCCTCTATGCATATTTTTATTGGCAAAAAGTGGGGTCTTATATAGATAAATTATGGTGGCTGTGTTACTATTTCCCACGTTCTAAGGGGAATAGGCTTAGTCAGATTGTACCAATACTATTTACTGTAGTCATGTGCTTTATAATTTGTGTCATCAAGCTTTAGTCATCTCAAAAGGTTGCTTTGTCATGATTTGGTTTAGGATCATAGGTCACCTGACTGTTAGAGTCATATAACTTAGTATCATGTGACAAATATTAAGTAACAGACTGATTATGTTATTTGTTGGTGTCTTGTTATGATGTTACTTTATTGACCGTAGAAATGACGCGAGCCGTGTATTTAGAGTGTTAAGAAAGTTCCCACAAGGCAACTTATGCAAGAACTATTTTACACTGTTACTTGACATGTGTGGGATTCAGTCTGAGTCATTGTTATTGCTGACTAAGCAGAATTTACCGCAAAATTAAATATACAAGAATATTCAGCCTATCTGAGTCTGTCTGAGAAATGAAAATACTATCTGAACTGCAGTCTGAACCATAAAGTAAAGGAAGATTGTTCATAATGATTTCTAGGGCATCGGGCTCATGGGAGAGCATTGGTCATCCATGCACCGAACCAGTTTGGTGCAGGTCACCGTGCCATAGGGTCGTGCTCTGCTGTTGAGCTGATCCTGGTGGCATGAGTTATGGGAATCGTGATCTGAGATAGACACAGTCAAATAAGATCGATGAATGTGACTGACAACGTACCTTTGTGTAGGGACCTTGGAATGTCAAGGTTTTGTTACTCAGGTCAACATCAAGGACAATGCCCGATAGGTTCCATGCTACCCCCCTTACAACTTGTATGATGTCTCCGGCTGCCACATCATATCCGCACGCTGGGGTAAAACGCAGGGCAGCTAGATTAGGAGAGACACTGGTCCACAGAATTGGAACAGTCAGATAGATGTCTCGTGTACCCGAGACGAGGAACGTTAACTGGTTCAATACAGCATCGACAGCTGTTACTGTCCCGATCTTCAAGTAAAAATCTCCCGCCTTTTGTACTATGACACCATCACCTCTCATCGCTGTGTCGTCGTCAGGAAGCACCGTCGATGTTGGCACAATGGTACTGAAGGAAGCGGATAACCCGCGATTGACAATGTGGGTCTGAACAGAAATACTTGATACGATGAACTGGATTGGTGTATCAGCTAGTGACTTTCCAAGGAATGAGACCACTCACCTCAGATTTTGTGACCGAATCCAGGACAACGAGTGTGTCGTTGACAGCTTCGAGAACTATTCCTTCCTTGCCCTTATACTCTGATTTCTCTGCACTTGTATCCAAGACACGGACATGATGCCCCGCTTGAATACGCCTCCGCAGGTCCATGATGGGAAATGAGACTGGTGCATCTATATCGATAAGTGCGCCATTCGACCCTGGGACGCAGGCCAGATCCACCAGTGCCATGCCATCATTGATCTGAACATCCAATATGATGCCCCAGGTCCCTGACAAAGCCCCAGAGACAACTCGCACCTCATCACCTTCTCTCCAGTACTGAGCGGAATACATATGCATGGTGACTGAGACAAATTCTGGGTCGCACCCCAACTCCTTGTGGAGGACAATGTCTTGCGCAGCAGGGAGGGATATTCTGATGACATCCGTAATAGGCTGTTCGATGCACATCAGGCCATGGATGTATTCTTGACCTCGGTATTTGTAGTTTTCAACACCAGCAGGGTGCTCAAGGAGGCGATGTTCCTGTCTGAGCTTCCCAATGTCCCTCGGGTCGTTCAGTCGTCTGGAGGCTACTAACAACTTGACAGTCTTCATAGGATCATCATATGATAGCCTGTACGCTATATCGCGATTGTATGCACCATGCGTCATGCGATACCATCCAGGAATGGCAATACTAGCATGCGGAGTCTGATCATCAGAAGCGAATGCACACCAGAGGAAGCAGTCGGCATGAGAGGATGGAAAAGCTGCTCGGATGATGATGGAATTTGGTGCAGTGACATACAAGCGTCCGGGAAGTGTTGGATGGGTATAAGTTTCTAAGCCGAATGCTTTGATGGATACTGCGAGAAATGATGTCTTTGATGCTGCAAATCGCTGAGCATGACACAGGTGGATGAAGGTTCAGATACATACCAGGTACTGTTACAACCCATTCACCTGATGTTCTGGGCATGACCACTCGTTCTACATTGCAGTCTCCCTCATCCGAGATAATATGTGATGGCCTCACAGCCCCTTGCCCGAACCGCCTATCAATGTCCTCGACCGCATCTATAAAACTGTTGGAAGGGCGACTTGACGAGAGGTTGGTCGATGTTCCTTCCAATGAAGGTAGTGTGCTTTGATGCTCGCAAGGTTGTCTAACGCGATGCCAATATTGCCATCCCCAGTGAACAGAGAGTCTACTGCCTCCTTCCAATCCTCTTCGCGATATCTGACGCCAAGATAAGCATGCAACTTTTCTAGCATTTCCTCGAATGACATGTCGGTCATTAGGTGTTCCCGAAAGATGTCCCAAGCACCAACATCCTTCAATGAGGACGAAGGATGCACGGCATTGTCGTCGGACTCATCGTCTACAATGTTGTTGTCTGAGACAACAAACAATCGATCTGCATGAAGAAGAATCAGACAGCGTACGATAAGGCAATCAGCAAACTTCACCATCATCATCTTCTTCACCTTCCGAATCTTCATCCTCTGAGGCGACTTCTGCCTCGAGACTCACGAAAGACACTATCTTTGCGCATTGTTAGTACCGACGCCATCACCTGGCAAATGCCTTACTTGTGATTTTTCACGAGATAATTTGCTGCATTTATGATGTTTTCCATGTGCTTGGGTACTAGATAGGTGCTTAGGCATTTTGTACCCAACTAACTACTTAAGTGTTTTAATCAGGTCTAGCGCTCACTCTACTAATATCTGATGGATGATGAAAGTAGGAAAGGAAAGCATGATACAAACACCGCACCTATTTGTAGTGAATGCCAATTTGGGAATACCCACTGCCACTTCAGCCACTTCGGTGTCACATTGCATGACTAAGCATATGAGAACTTACCAAAGCGCTCCACTTGCATATATTCGAAAGATTTTATTCGAGTATAAGTGGTAGGTACACAAAAATGATAAAGCATATGGATATATACAGTTTCTCGCTGCAACCCTAGCATCAAGTATAATCTTACGTCCAGACAACAGGGATTTGTACATGTTGAAGTAGTATGTAAAGAGTGGAAAAAGCGCCTGATTGCAGGGCATGCATGAGAACGTTCACAAGAATGCAGATGATGGCAAATTGAATCAATTGAAGTGTGGTCAATGGGGATGAGGATGGAAGGGATGTTGCATGCTCCTTTAACATCTGATCCAAATTAGAAATGGCCATAAATTGAGCAGATCTAACATACCACATCATCCTCCCCCCACACCTTCACGCTACTGTGCCCGTTAAGGCAGGTGCCGGTGACAACAACACACCTTGAGTGTCCTTCGTGAGACTAACTCTTGTCAGGGTTATTTCATCAGCCACTGGGAAGGATGTGACTTACTACTACAGGTGTGATGCAATCGCCATGATTACCATGGTCCAACTGTCCACGGTATGCACCCGTGGTGTAATCAAAAATTCGAGCAAAACCATCGTCACCGCCAACAAATAGTAACCCCGACTGTCGAGCAACAGAAATTTGCAAAGGAACATTGTGCAAGATTACATGGTTGAAGGACTGCACACAGTGTAAGGGTGGGAATGGTGTATTTGTCAACCCCGTCTTTGAGGTCGCTCACGAGCAAGTAGTTGCCATCAAGAGCAGTATTGCCGCTGAAACAGTGCTGGTTAATGGAAGTACAAGTGCTGAATCAAAACCGATGTACATCCTGCTTGACACTTTTTTGTGCCATTTGAGATCCCAAGGACTCTATTGAATAACAAAATCTGATAATGTGTCAGATAAAGAAGCAAAATCAAAAATCTTGACTAACATGTCACCACTTTCCAGGTATGACACCAACAAAGAAGCACCCTTGTCATAAAAGTGAACAGTGCGTGCAACATATGCCTGCTTCTCGGGCTGTGAGACCATCGACGTGAATGTCTCTACAAAATGTATTTATTAATACACACACCAACACTACAACATGGTTACGAACTGTCTGGTGTCAGGTTCCAAACCTGTGGGTGACCGTCACCAGCACTTGCCAGTCTGCAATAATTGGGATCCCATGCAAGTGACTCGATTGCGCCTGAGTGACCAATGGTAGTACTCCAGAATTCAAAGAGTGCCTAGCATAATGATGAGTGTAAGCCGAACTCGATGGCACCACGTATCATGTACTTACATCATTAATTCTTTCATACATTTGGATGTTACCGTCGGATGCCCCAAATGCAAACATGGTTTCTCCGCGATCATCCATGTCCGTCCAGGTAATTGCACTGATATATCCCGCCGCTGGTGAATATATTTCTTGAATCATTTCCCCTGATGTGAGGCTCCACAGGACAACCCAACCATCATTGCCTATGCACAATTTCAGCACAAGTATAGTAAGAAAAATGACAAGCTACCCCCGGTGAGGAGCAATGCTCCAAGCTTGCTTACAGCCAATACATTGACCGCCTTAGTGTGACGAGTCAGTGTAAAATTGTTGGAAAACTATGTGTTGTCAGTGAACATAGCATCCTGGTAGAATTGGATACATACTTCCATAATTGAGGATCTGATCAGTGTCGCAGTGATTAATGGTATATAACTGTTCAAGTATTCAGTGTCACCCAAAGAAACAGGACAAAAGGGATCTGCAAGATGCAGAGGAAACTACCGTTCAACAATTAACACTTCAAGGATCGATTGTTTGCACTTGCTATGGAGACAGCCAAGGCATTTCAAATAAGGCTCAATCGAGAATTACAACAAAATTGCGTAACACTCATCTAACATCAATACAGTTACACTATTGTCAAGAGCACGACGTTCTGCGGAGTCTGATACAGCAACAAAACTGTTCGATCAAATTCCAAGTCACAAAGTCAGTAAGTTGCTACTACACAACATGGGATCCAAATTACCTCCTCGCAAACAAAGTGCTTGTAATACATGGTTCAAACCGTATGCCAGACCGTCACCGCGCGCCATCAGGTCATTGGCGGCATACGACAGTCAAGACCTTGAATGGGACATCCAATCATCCTGGAGATCTTATCAAAATGAGCTTGAGAGTCGTGACAATGTTGAGCCAATCAATCACCTATAATTCGTGATAACTTAAATATGTTAGAAGACGCAAATGGGATCAGATATGGAGATTGACCTACCCATCATTTCCAACGGGACATATGGATGTACAGACACCATTATGGCAGATAGAGAGGTTAGCACGGCGACTATGCTGGTACATCTCACAGCTTACGCAAGTGAGAGACTGGACCCCTCACTGTCATTGCAGCCGGAAACAGGGCGCACACTGAGAGCTGCGAGAACTACTGCACTAAAAGGATCAAACTCATTCGCGGCCTGCAGAAAACTGCGGATAAGTATTTACGACGTCACTTTAAAACAGATGATCTGCGCACCGAACAGCTACGCAAGCACGTGAACACAGCACTCCGTGCTGCCACGCTGGGGTTTGATATACATGGTATGATACCGCTGAAGGTACAACAATTCAGATGGTGAGTCTAAACAATGTTGGGTCTTGCAGAACCTAGCTGCTATTCGACCCTAAAGGGTTTCTGGACCAGGCTCAAGGCTCAGAGAAGAGGAAATATCATGAAAACTTGCTGAGTACTCTGACTCATACTGGTAACTGGTGAAAAGATAACTTGATTATGTAAGCTACAAAAGTGCAAACATAACACTAAGGTAAAAACAGTCTCTGCAAGCCCAGCCAGAAATGAATCCCTACACCACACTACCGGAGCACAGATTACGTTCAACCCAGGGGGGACGAGACAATAGTAAGGCCGAACATTGACCTCAGCTATCTGTATGGCTGATACATTATTAGGTTCAAACAACAAACGAGTATATCATACCTCCTGCAGTAGCACAAGGTATTGTGAACTGTGTGGCTAAGGGACTGCGGTCACTTAGAAATGCGCTGAGCGCAAACCCGAAGTCAATAGAACTGATCGTTGATGCAGGTGAGAGCACATAGCTTACATTTAGTAAGCATGACGTAACTCCCGAAGGCGAACTAGTATACCCTACAACAATGCCAGGAGGATTTGACGCAACACTGTAAATAAGTCATTACACTGAATATATGATCTCAACTGCACACACACGTACATCGTCTAGTTTCCGCTTGCAGATGGCGATGAACCACTTGCGATGGAGAGAATGCAATGGCAAGCATTTACTATTGGACTTTGTTACAAACTATGACAACAACTGTATATCGATCACTAGCACTAACGAAATGAAACGTCTATGTAAAGTCTGTAAGTCCTGTAGTACAATTTTGTGTAGGGAAAGTACTAGACGATGGACGAAAAGGAGAAAAACAGTTGTATAAGGTTTAGAGGCTTATATAGTGAATATGGTGAATGGAACTCAGCCTGGGTATTGCCGTTATCCCATGCCCGGTCAGCAAGTGGTGAGTGGCTGAAACCTTGTTGGTAGTGTTGCCGCAGCTTTGGCTAGTGCCGGCTAAAGCCGGCTCTGATTCTCGGGCTTGACCGAAACTCACAAGTCATGCTGCTTACGTAATCAAAACTCGGTCTGGCTTATACAGCCACGGCAAGTAGCTGCAAGCTGGCTCAAGCCTGTGTAGATAATTTTAGCGTAATTTAAATTTAGAAATGAGATTAAATTTAGAAATGTTACATCTTACTATCGATCGATTATCAACAATCCAAGTAAACGACTTAGTTCCCAAGATCCTTCACATACAACAAGAATGGCACCCCAAATGGCGGTACATTGTACCTTTGTGATGTTTGGACGTGTGTTAAGTCCAAAAATAGGTCCGTATCGCACACATCACCAAAGCCAAGCAGGTGACGGCGAGGAATGCAGAGATGTCGAGGGAGACGAGAGGTTTGCAGGATCGAGAAGTGACATTTGTTTATGTGTCGGGGCATCCGTCGAGGTTTTGGATTGCGTTGGCGAAGGTACTCGGGTTCAGGGTCCGAGAGAATGAGTGAGTGCATTCTACAGCATATCCTAAAGATGATTGAACTATTTCGGTTAGTAGCAACAATAATGCGCATGCAAATGCAAATGCACCGAATGTCGTGCTTGCTCTGTCAAGGGATATGAGGAACGTAAGGTTGGTCGTCTCCTTCCACAATGAATCCCCCATCTTTCAACAACCCCTTGTCCTCTCCCTTCTTGGACTTGCGATGATGTGCGTTCTGATCACTACCCCTAGGATTAGTCGGTAGTTGTACAACAGAAATGTGAATGACACACGCACTCTGCCACTTTCCGTATCTTCGCAAGTAAGGCGTCACCATGCGCGAAAATTATGAACACATTCTTGCACGTCTCAGTGCCAGTAGCAGGATCAACAAAGGGCTCTGTGATATCCGTGTGATTCATGTACAGGTTACCCCTTAGGACATGCCACAAGACGTGCTCGAATGTCAATATGTGGGAATACCAGTCCATATGGGACGCGACCTAAAACCACATTAAAAACAGGGGATGTCAAAGCAGACTTATACATATGTTTGATAGCACCCTTGCAATACAGCTGAGAACTCAGCATTAAAAGATGGAAGAAGAATCGGGATGGCCCTGCAGATGCAATGCAAGGGCTTCACGAAAAAAGGAAGTAGTGGTATCAATATCTTGAAGAATGACTGGACACTGGTCCTGAACCAACTGAAAATGCTGCAAAGCAGCGTTCAGGTGAGAGACCCTCCAGCGTGGGCCTCCACCAGCTCCCTCATGCACTCACTCAACGTCTTGTAGCTATCGTTCATCTGCACGAGCCACGTCTCATGCTTGGCAAGTGTGACATCAAGCTTGTCAATATTATGCGCAGCACTTGGTCCAGCCGTGACTAATGGGGACGAATCATATAGAGGATGGATAGGAACGTTGAAAGGGATTGACAGCAGGGTTCAACTGTGATATCATTCAGCAGCGATAGGCAATGAAGCCACGGATGAGGAAGCGAAAAAGGCGGCAGCAGGAAGCTCCTCAGACACCAATGAGCTCCCCAAACCGTTTCTGACACGAAACGGCATGATCAGAACCCTTCCGTTAAGCAAAGCCGCACTCAAACAGCAATTCTACGACAAGATCAAAGGCGAAGCCATCAGCATCATGCGCAAATCACCCCACAACACCCACCTCCAATCCATAGATCAAACAGCACCATCCAAGAATTTCGCAAAACGGATTGCAGACCTGCCGAGGAAGCACGGAATGTTAATATTTCAGCTGCGCACAGGCCACGTCACACTCAACAAATACCTTCACCACATAGCCAAAGCGCCCTCAGCAACATGCCAGGAATGTCACGCCCATGAAGAAACTGTCCATCACTTCCTGTTAGTATGCCCCAGATACGCTAGACAGCGCAACGCACTCAGTCTGGAAGTTGGACCGCGTCAACTCCAAGTCAAATATTTGTTGTGCCACAGTAAAGGAATAAGAGCGACGCTCAAATACATCGCATGCACGAAAAGGATGGAACAGGTCTTCAGAGAGGTAACCCCCCCAGAGGAGAAGAAGAAGTGAGGAGGAAGGAGATGAGAGGGGAAGAAGAGAACGAGAGGAAACGCACCCAACCTGTAACACACCAAACCAACGCCTTAAGACGGCGTCCACATCCCTGTGCAAGCACAGACCATTGTAAAGAGTCGACATACAAAGCAACATAATACATAACTCGGACAGTAAACATAGTGTATGTAGTGTCCACCATAGGGCTCCGCCCCACAGGACAATAAACAAGGATCCAAAAAAAAAAAAAAACAGCAGCGTGACAACAGTTGAAAGGAGCACACGTACGTCCTTCAATTGAACATTTTCCAGTTCACCGAGCTCTGCGACTGCATCATGGGCAACTTCAGTCGGGATAAGGAACTGCCTCAAGCTCATCTGTCCCAAACCTGTGAACATCGTCAGTAAGTAAAACGGAGTCATCACAGTTCAGGCTCGCACGCACGGAACAGCATGGGGTAGTCGTCTCCCATGGTATTGATTCATCTGTCTATCAAATAAATGAGAGCAAAGGTCAGGACTCAGGACAATGTCAGAAAAGTAATGCCGCTCAACACATGCACAAGTGTTGCGGGGAAGTGAAAATACCGCCCATAGTCTCAACAGTCCGCCCTGAAACTCCTTGCTGGCAATCACAACGTGTTGATATCAGAGATGGTTGGGACTGGGTCGGGCGAAGCGCACACTGTCAGCTGGTCACTGTGCGGCTGGTGAGAAACAAATAAAGCATTGAAATCAAAATCAGCACAACAATGAGCAAGATAGTGCAAACAACAGGCGAGAGGCAAAACAGTAGATGCCAGACAAAAAAAAGTCATAGAAGTAAGGGTCACTTGTCGTAGATGATAGCAGTGTCCTCGATATTGTCACACTCCTCCTCTGTGATGGCTCTGAGAAGAGCGTCATTTGCGCTGTGGGTAGATGTCAAAGGCTCACTAGAGCCCATGTTGTATACCACCCCATGTTCCATGTCCCGTTGAGAGGCTGCCCAACCTTTCATAAAGTTAAGCCATTCTTTCTTGAGGAAAAATTTGACCATCTGCAATGCTTCCATCAAAATGGGACTGAGGCGATTCCTTTTCTTCATATGGGTTTCGCTGCTGGATGAAAATACTCGCTCACACGGCACCGCAGAGGCTTGTACTGGAGCGTAGTCCATGGCAATTGAAAATATAGTCGGGAATATGGACTGCGAAGCCTAGTCAACAGCTTGTGGTTAATGAAAAGGGTGTGACTTGAAGAGGTAATGGACTCACGTTCCAGAACGCAAGTATGTCTGTTCCATGAGGACTAAGCGTAGCCGTGGCATAAGCAGCGAACTCCTGATCTACTGTTTGACCACCGCCGTGTTGATGCAGCACATGTGCATGTGCCATGGGAAGTCCATAGCGATGTGAGCCTAGTGTGCGTGGCAGCGGTTGTGGGGCCACTACAGGTTGAGAATGTGCAGGATCAGCATTTTCCGCTCTTTTGCTATGCATCTGCAGAAAAATCAATCCAATGTCGTGCATTTATTTACAACAGAGACATACCAGCTTCAAGATACACTCCTTGGCTTCAGTAACATGGTCCTTCTCCCATAGATTGTCCATCCAAGACATCCACATCGCAGGGTCAATAACTATGAAAGTAATCATGAGATCAATATTTATTAAAACAAAACACGGGACTGACACATAGCGACAGAATAAGCATGTGTCGCACTCATCCGGTCAGTGTATTTGCTTGCCCAGGTTAAGCCTATGTCGACGATAGGCTTACAGTGAGGTACGTGCTGGCCAAGAGACTCCCAGCTATTGATCAACTCTTCAAAAGTTGGAACAGCACGGCTCAGTAAGGGAGTGCTTTCACTGGAGAGTTTTGCTGGGCGGTGTGCGGTGCCTGGTATGAAATGTTAAATTAGATCACGAGCTTTGAACACATCAGTACTTACCTCCAAGATCACTTCCAGGTCCTGAAGGAACTGCCAATCAACATCACTCAATCTTTTGTTGGATATGCTGCATTGAGGCCAAGCATCAAAAAAGGCATTTACCGCCTGAGCCAGTATTAGTTTATGACGTATGTTTTATGATGTGCAATCTTACCTGCTGCAGTGTCCACAAACAGTTAATCATGACATATGCCGAGTCCCATCTAGTGGGCTCATCGAGGAGGAGTTCTATGACCAGGAGCTGTATAGAGTCACCCTTGTCATCTCGAAACCAACCATCCTCATTACCCTTAAGGATGCAGTCACGAAACCTGTCGCACCGCTGAGTTGATGCACGGATCAATCGCACGATTGTCCTGGCTCACTCGAGAGGCTTGGTTTGCACGGCCTGGACATAATCGACTTTCTCGATAACCTGATCTTCGATTGTCCACATATTGGACACAGTAGAATAGTCAGCAGTAGGGTATTCGTCAATGATATGCTTCACGCATATGTTTATCATGTGCGGGAAACACGGTATCCTGTGTTCAACTGGATCAAAGTCGATCCCGTGTTGCCCAAGTAGTGTAGAAAGCTCCTGCATTGCGGTATGATTGTTGGCCGCGTTGTCAAGAGTAAAATGGCCAGTCTGAACAATGTGAGAGCACGCAACACAATACAAATGAGTACCAACCTTAGCCGTAGTTTCTGCACGATCAAGGAGATATAATATCATGGAACCAAGAGATTGACCATCGTGATTTCCTGGGATGTGGTGGAAAGCAAGGAGGGCCGTCTTCAACACAAGCATTGAACCTTGATTAGACCTAGCGATCCAATGAGCTGTAAGGGCCATGAACGGCCGGAGCTTTTGATTTGACCACAGGTCAGATGTGAAGCAGACTTTTCCCTGCACATTCTAAAAGGAATAAGATACTTTGTAGGACGCTTGGCAACTATACACTTACAGCAAGATCTTTCTTCAATGCCAGGAAGTATTCCTGCCATTGCTCGATGACCATCTCACGAGCCTTCATGCGATGAAATAGGCCAGTCTCGCCAATATCCAGGCACAGGAGACGTATGAGGCGCCGAAATTCAGGGCACTCGATCACATTTATTGCCTGGGGGCAATTATTAATAGTGGCTGTAGGCATAAACTGCGACTTACTTGATCATCGGCAACAATAAACTTCACAATTTGACTATGCATTTCATCAAGCGTGAAGTCCGGAATTACATCGTGTGGAGAGCCAGTTCCTACCAGCAATGTGTCAGTTCCCTGGTTAGGGGGGGGGCCAAGTGATTGCATTGTGCAAGGCGATTTCTTGAGTCGTTCACGAATTGTCATCAGTGACCAGCCCTCAGCTAGTTGTTCGTTTAGATCCTTTATCTGTATGCGCCAGCCAAAACGCTCTGCTGCTTCCAAATAAAGTTCGGTGTGGTGAGTGAAAGCATGCGTGCGGGGAGCTGTACTGGATGTGGAGCCCGCATATACCATGACCTTGTGCATTGTGTCGATATTATGCAGTGTTCTGGTGATGGGTGTGAGAAACAATGAAAGATTGCAAATGCGGTACTCACTCGCAAGGGATGCAAGTTTTGCTCTTAGCATCGGAATCAATCTGGTAGAAGTGAGTTATATCGGTTGGCCCTTTAGACTGCTTTAGATTGCCAGTGGCCAAAGGGTCAGTGCGAACAGTGCTATTAACGGTCTGGAGTGGGCTCGGATTAGAGCCCGCAGGTGCCATAGCGACGACGGGCACAGGAAGATTTTCCGGTTCCTCTTCATCCCCTGAGACATTGTCAAGGTCAAATACCTCACCCTCATCTGGACTGGTATGAGCTGCATCACTGGTTCTGTATCTAACAGGAAGCTGTCGCCAACGGGGGTTTTGAAGGGTAGTGGCATTAGCTGCAGCAGCAGCAGGGATCGCAGCGGGAATAGTGATAGGGATCACAGCGGGAATAGTGGTAGGGATCATGGCAGGGATAGCAGCAGCAGTGGAGAAATCAGCAGCAGCAGAAATAGCAGCAGAGGCAGTGGGGATAGCAGTAACAGCAGGCAAGGCAGCTGTCCACCTCTTGTTCTGCCTGCGTCGTCGACCTTGCATTTGTGGTAGTAGTGTTGATGATTTGATGACAGAACTGTCTGTCTATATAAGTGTTCTTTCTGGGAAACCCCAGACAATGCCAATGTATGCGAAGCTTGAGGGCGATATATTGCAGGTGACAATGTAGTGGAGTGGGGTAGGGCATCGATGAAAGGTCATTCATGCAGCATATAATAGCCTGTATGGTGGTGATATGAGTTATATGATATGAGAGAAGCGAACAGTAAAATCGCAACATACAAGTTTGGTGCCTGTCGGACGATTGACAGGGTGTGGGCAAAATTGGTCTTCTTCGTCTTGTTTTTTATCAATAAAAGCTTGCAAAGCACTATAATTTGGTGGGGGTGAGGGTGGGGGGGGGGGGGGGGGGGGGGGGGAAATCTCACTCAATGAAGGACATACCTGGAGACTAAAGTGAATTTTATCCATGCGGCTTTCTAGATTGCCATCATATAGATAATAGCTTGAGAAACGAACAGCTCACCTTTATCCTCAGGGTTTCAATTCAGAACCCAGATCGTAAGGCAGTAAAGCCATCCACCACAAGGTTAGTGATACATTTAGAAAAGGTCCCCCATGAGGCATTGCATGTAGGTGCGGATGCACTACCACTCCTCAATTTTAATCACCGCATGATACAATCGATACAGTCTAATGATAAGAATTAGCTAGATGAATCAACCATTTTACCTTGCACAGAAGTCGAATCGCTGGACACTACCACTTGGTGATGCAACCTGTTTGAAAGCAATTCAAACCTTCAGTGGCGGATAACCATAAGTTCTAACAAGACCCTCACCTTAGCGATCTTGTCTGATCAGCACGAGAAAACGCAATGGCAAGATCGGTGGTGATTTTAAGTGATGATGGCGGGTGCAAAGATCGATAGCTGCGGCTGCTGCGCACTAGTGTGAGTCTGTGCAGCATGTTGAAGGGAAAATAGTCCCACGCTGAAAGCGGTGCACGATTACACATGATGCATTGCTGCCATTGCAGTACACTATTTCTAACATCTGTAAGGACGAAGAGTTCAATCCTGCAGAACCAATTCATGTGACCCTTATAATATATATTATATACTGTAGTCTACAACAGTCACGATTTCTGCTGTGGAGTTGACGGAATTGATGTAGCACGCCATGGAGAGCCATTTGTACGCGGGCATAACCTGCAAATAAGTTATACTTCGGTTCAAAGATATGAAAGAAACATGTTACTCACACACGTGTTGATCGGTGTACTGCCTTTGGCGGGCATATTGACATTGCTTCGGCCATACAGCGCTGGTCAGGAGATAGAAGGGGGTGTATGGCAGGACAGCAAGGAGTCCCAGGACCATCAGGTTGGCCAAAATCCAACAAGCACGTAGCTGGTGCAGGCAATGTGGCACAAAGACCATTGTAGAGACTCACGCCTCTCAATGCAGAATATACAGCCCTATTACCCACATAATTCCCTACACGTTCCAGCTCTTATCCGAAGGATCAGTCATATGCACTCTCACGCGTGCGCCCTATGTATGCGCCTCGTTCACGCGCCTTACACACACTCGCGCCTTTCGCGCGTGCTCGTGTGCCTCCCCTTAGGCCTTCGTACCCTTGTCCGTCCGTCTGTCCTATGTCCTCGCTGATTTACTGGTGCGTTATTCTTATCCCTTTCACCGAATTGACGTACCTTCGGTCCGATCTCTGCGCTTACATACAGAAAGTCTATCATAGGCTTTAGAATATATTTAGAGTTGATATGGTTACTCAGTTCGGTACCACGCTCAGAAGCGCGCCGCATAGCGTAATCTCCCTTCTTAAATAGAGGGAAAGTTCCTTTTAACTTACTTCCTTCCCTTCTCCCTTATCTGTGTTACGAACTAGGATAGTTCTAACAACGACAACTCAACAGAGTTTTCGGTCGTTGAGATTCTCAGTCTCTCAGACAAGAGAGAGTTCGGTGGACTTAGTTAAAGGAGTGCTTCAACTAAGAATCAAGGTTCGAGACAACTTAAGATTGGAGGATCTTAAGCGAAGGATATTCCAGGTAAAACCTAGTAAGATTCAAGTAAGGAATACAAGCGTAATACATGTGCTTAAATAGATCCATATGTGCGCACAGACCAAGTCATCGTGAGATAATAAGTACAAGACCAAAAAGGGAAGGCATATTGTGTGAAGTGTGAAAGTATACAACGATAAGAAATAGTGGTTGTAACATTACCCCCTTACTAAGCGTAAAGTCACCGACTTTTACTCGTAATCCTGGTATTCGCAATGGTTAGAGTCGTCCTGGTTTGCATAATAGATAGGGTCGTCAGAGTAGTCAAACTGATCACCTGCTCCAGTAAGGTACTCTGCCTGTCGGAGGGCTTCTTCTTCCTGGCATTGGCTAATGTATGCGTCGTCCAGACTCTTCTCCCAATGAGAGAGTTCCTGGTAGAATCCTTCGTCCTTCCAGGTAAGCGTGGTGGGGGAAGCTTCCAGTAAATTTGTGGCAATACAACGATAGATGCCCTGGGGAGAGTTCTCTGCATATCCTGCAATAGTAGTCAGGACAGTTGGTTTGGCGATGGCCAAGGGTCTTGCAATATCTGCAAACCCGGTTTTCGTCTGGGTTCGAGGATGAGGGGCGTAAGGACGGGAGGAGCAGGGATGACGACTGAATGCTTCATCATCGCTAGAGGCTCTCTTCTTTCCCTTGCCTCGGTACCCATGCTTAGGGGATCTTCTCCTTCTTCGGGAAGATTCTTTAATCTGAGCTACGTCCTTCCTTAGCGAGTACGTAGATAGAGGATAATGGCATAGGGATTCGTTCTGCTTCCGCGATTAGCTCAGCGTACTCTGCAGGAGCGGTGGGTCCGAGGGCTTGTACTGGGACAAGACAGTCTACGAATGTCGGTGGAGTAAGCGTGGATGGGATAGTCATTGGTGGATGGATGTGAAGCGCTCTGAGTGCTTCAGCAAGCGCAATAGTTTCGTCAGGGGAAGAAGTCGACTGCTCCAGGGTTATCTCTTCGTGCGTAGAAGAGAAAGCGGTATAAAGATTTTCCGGGTGCTCTACAGTTTCTTCTGGAGCAACAACCGTATCAGACGTGGTTGCGGATGCCGCGGAGGCTATCTGTAATGCAAGTTGGGTTTCTTCTTGCAGATTGATGATCATGGCGTTGGTAATCTCCGTGAGGCTGTTAACAGCAGCCAATAACTCGTCAGACACACGAGGAGGAGGAACGGGAATTCCACCGTCATAGGAAGGCGGTGGAGTTGCAGTCGTTCGTACAACTGGTTGTGGAGATGGTGGGCGAGCGACTCCGGTGACTCGTTCAGCAACGATGTGAATAGCTTCCTGGATATCTGCCCTAACCTCCGGAGGGATAAGACGCAAAGCGTAAGCGCGAATGCGTTTCTGTAAATGCATGATGCCATGCTGGACACGTGGTTCTTCCACATGTCGTACGAGTCTTTCAATGAGTTCGGCGGATCTGATGATGTTAACGAGGAGGTTGATTGAGAATGCGTTTCGGTCGATAAGGATTTTATTGATTTCAATGGCATGTTGGGGGCAAAGGATTGCGGCTTCGATGAGAGTAAGGTCTTCGATTTCTGAGATGAAGGATTCGAATCTTCCTTCGTTAGAGGATAAGTCGGTTGGGGCGAACGTGGATTCATAGGGGAGAGTGTAAGAAACTGGGAAGGACATAATGTTTATGTTGATGGGAGGATATCACAGCGAGTGTTTTCTTTTATAGGTCGAAAGGGTTTCTCCGGCATTTTCCAGGTTTTCTTCCGGGATCCATTCGTTGCTGGCGGAGGAATATCCTTTCCATGATACAAGATAACGACGGCGTTTGCTGGTTCCTTTGTGAGCCAGTATAGCTTCGATTTCGTATTCTTCTTCTTCTTCTAGAATGTCAGGTGGTGGTTCCAAGAAGTTCGGACCGTGAACATCATTTTCGCTATAGGAAGATAATAAGGAAGCGTGGAACGTGGGATGTATTTTCCATTGCGGAGGTAATTGGAGTGTGAACGTGATAGGTGATAGTACGGCGGAAATGGGAAAGGGGCCATATCTTTTTGGGGCGAGCTTCCGGGATGGGAGTTTTAGACGGAGATTGGTTGCAGATAACCACACCTTATCGCCTACTTTCCATGGTTGGTACTTCTGGCCGAAGGATCTTTCCGCCATCCGTTGCATGGCGATATTGTGACAGGCTATCGCTTCTTCTCTGATTTTCTGAAGAAGTCGGACCCGTTCTTCCACGGCTGGTACTGTTGAATCTGCCAAGACATGGGGAATCCCTTTAGGCTCATATCCCATCATGATGTAGAAAGGAGAAGCAGTTTCGGGCGTCATGCTTTCTATGGTTGTGAACAAACTCTGCCATGGGAAGGTGTTCTACCCAATTAGTTGGGTCGTTGCCGCAGTAGATCCGTAGGTATGTTTCTAATTCTTGATTGAGTCGTTCAGTCTGTCCATCGGTCTGCGGGTGATAGGCGGTGGAAGGAGCGATGGAATAATCAAGGAGTCTCGCCAATTCTATGGAGAACTTCGAGAGAAATTGGGGTCCTCGGTCGGAGATTACTTTGTCATGTAATCCGAAGCGTTTGAATACGTGTTTCAGGAATAGTTTTGCTACTCCTTCAGAGGTAATGTTTTTGTGGCAAGGAGTAATTATCACCCCCTTACTAAGCCCATGGTCTACCACGACCATGACGGAATCAAAACCAGAGGAAAGAGGGAGATCCGTGATAAGATCGACGGAGATCTGGGAGAATGGGCGAGTGGCAAGGGACGAGATTGGGACGAGAGGTGGCGTTACTGGATGGGTATCGGCCTTCATTTGCTGGCAGGTGGCGCATCCTTCAACGTACTTTCGGATGAAGGCTCCCATGCCTGGCCACCATGCTTCGCGTTTGACCAATTCTTCAGTTTTGAAACGTCCGGGATGACCTGCGGTGGGGTGGTCATGGTAACGAGCTAGTATAGTTTTGCGATGATCAGGAGCGATATACGCTCGGTTTTTATAAGATAATATCCCTGAATCTACTTTCCAATCAGCTCAGAGCGGATTTCATGGGGGGAAGACAGACACCATTGAGGGCGTCTACAGCAGTGGCGAATAATGGGTCGCTAAGCGCATCCGAGCTGGCAAGGGTAGCGCGAAGGTCGTCATCAATGAGTCGAACAAACATGGAATCGGGAAGCAGGATGGAGTTATCGTTATCGGAAGATCCGGTATCATGATCTGATCGCCGAGAGAGGGCGTCAGGTGCAGCTAATTTAGAACCAGGGACATGGTGTAGTTCCAGATCGAAATTAGGTGAGGAGCATCTGCCATCGTGCCTGTCGACGAGTTAAGTGTTCAGCTTTCTTAAAATAGAGCAGGTTCATGTGGTCGGTGAAGACTATAATTGGAGAGGGGTGTCCTTCAAGATAATGTCGCCATTCGGTAAGTGCACGAATTATAGCGAGGAGTTCGCGGTCGAAAATTGGATAGTTTCGTTCGGCTGGATTGAATGATTGCGATAGATAGGCGCAAGGATGGTAAACGCCATTTCCGTCAGTCTGTAACAGGACCCCCCCTGTTGCTACTAACGAGGCATCTGTGGCAATAGCGAATTGTTTTAAGGGGTCAGGGTTGCGGAGTACGGGGTGCGTAGTAAAACAGGTTTTCAATTGGTCGAACGTTTCCTGATGTTGAGCGCTCCAAGAGAAAATGGTATCCTTTTTTGTTAGGTCGATCAGGGGACGGGCGATGTCCGAATAATGAGCGACAAATGAGCGATAGAAATTGCAAAATCCTAAAAATGACCGGACTTCTTTAACGGAAGCAGGGACGGGCCATTCCTTGATACCATTGGTTTTTGCTTTGTCCATTTCCACGGATCCTGGCTTAATGATCATGCCAAGAAATTCGACTTCTTGAGAGTCGAACGTGCACTTTTCTGGTTTGAGGAATAGTTTTTCCGCTCTGATCTTTGCTAAGATTTGTCTTGTTCGTTCGTGATGTTCTTCAAGCGTCTTTGAAAAGATAAGGATGTCATCCATGTATATCACCAACCATCCTTCGTTGATTTCCTGACGGAATTGATTGTCCATAAATGCTTGAAAGGTGGCGGGTGAATTGCACAGCCCGAAGAACATTACGCTTGGTTCGAACAATCCATACTCCGTGGTAAATGCAGCTTTCCATCGATCATCCGGGTGAATACGGATATTGTTATATCCTGATCTAATATCCATTTTCGTGAAGAAGTTTGCCCCGTGTAGTCGTTCGATGAGAGTTGCTGGAAGTGGAAGGGGATAAGAGTTCTTTATCGTTTGATCATTAATGCCGCGGTAATCTTGACAAGGGCGAAGCTCTCCGCTTTTCTTTCCTACAAAAAAGAATCCACTGGCTTGTGGGGATTTTGA